ATATCAGATATCTCATGTCTGTGTGAGAACATGGCGTGACTGTGGTAATAAAGTAAATATCCTATATTAGATATCTCATGTCTGTGTGAGAATGAGGAAGATATTGCATGCTTGTGTGAAAGATACCATGTGAGGGTTTGATTAAAGTACATATCCTACATTAGATGTCTAATGTCTTAATGAGGTCCTTCAGGTTAATTTCATCTGCTAATGACTGCACAATGGAAGTCAATGTACATTTATAGATATTTTGGCTTCTAATCCTAACTACCTAGTTTTTCTCTTGTGATGTTTTTATGCACTTTGGAACTTTGTATTCAATCTGTTAAACATGGGGTAAGATCTTTCAGTCACTTAGAAAAAAAATTGACAGAGGCATTAATGTAAATTTCTTAAGTGAATCATATTTTATACATATATACAAAAGGCTTGTAACAACAAAGTCTACTTGTTGTCTGTCTCGCATCGAATAACTTCCAATGCACGCGTAAATGAAGTAGACGTTTTTTGTTCAAAGCTTAAACGAATGGATGAAAACAAAAATGCAAATATCATAAAATACACCTCACAAACGTTTTTTGAGGCTGTTACCATTTTCGAGGAATGTATTCATCAGTATCCAGATGAAAGAACAATGTCCCACACATATCTTAAGCTCTTACGTGTCATTTTAATAATTCAGTATTAGTTTTCAGTTTGCACAGTTAACATATCCACCCCCCACCCCAAGGGAGTTGCCGTATTGTAAGTGATTTCATAAAACAAAACTTTATTTTCCAACTCTTTTTAAAAGATTGTTGAGCACCGTCACAGGGTTCGCCATTATGTGGGTTTTTTTCCAAGGGACCTGAAGGAAAGAGCCATTCGTCACCACTCGCCCCTTTCCGTAACCTCCAAGAAGACTTGTCCCGGAATAACACGAGTTGGTCACGAATGGGAAAGAGCATGAGCCGAGTTTTTCAAGGGAGGTAATCAGGATGAAGTAGACCGTTACACGGTAATAAATCTGGTTCATACATTGTGCAAGGTATTTATTTCGATTTTTGATAGAAACCCCTAGTACTGGCATGACATAAAAATATTGGTATTTAAATACAAACAGGTTTTAAACTAACAGCACCATAACATATCAGAGCTATCTCTCAAAGAAAGAGGGTAGATTCTACTGCAGCTTTATTGACTTTTCGAAGGTTTTCGGTAGAGATAAGCCTCAAGATTGTATTTAGAGTTAAAAGGTTTGAATGGGGTGGTAATAAATGTTAACTTTCTAAGTTAAGTACATTGGATGTATCATAACTCATCATGTGTTCGAATGAACGATGGTCTTTCTATGTTTTTGTATTTTTATCGGTATTGTCAAATATGTGTTTCCAACCGCAAACCTATTTGGTGGATGTACTCACAAAGATGCTAAAACAATATGGTGGTCAAGGTGTATCCTGTTTGTTTAATCAAACACAGACGTGTGCTGCGGTCGTGGATATACAGCTACAAAACATTAAACGTTATTGAAAATGTCCGTGAATCACTCTTAAAATGTTTGTTTTGGTTTGTATTTGTTGTTTACCGCCGCAAACAGCAATATTCCAGTCTGTAAATAATCGAGTCTGGACCAGACAATCCAATGATCAACATCATGAGTATCAATCTACGCAGTTGGGATACGGTGTCATGTGTCAACCCAATCAGCAAGCCTGACCACCTGGTCCCGTTAGTCGAGTCTTACGACGAGCATGGGTGACTGAAGAACAATTTTAACCCAGATCTCCACGGGTTTGAAGAGATGACCTTGCGATTTCTCGCCCGGGGGTTATTGAAAATGAATTCTTTATTAACATCCTGTTATTCATATATGTATTAATTCTCTACCAGACTGATGGCGATTTACAAGCATGATATGTAACCGAATGATAGTTTATTATGATATAACAGATCAGAAACCCCGACATTTTCATATTTTAAAAGTTTTGATATGACTCACTTTAACACAAATGTATGAAGACTGAAATATAATTATTTTTGCCATTTTAATTTTCTTCCTAAACGAATTCCTACAAAGTCCCTCACGATATGCAATACAACGTAGCATTCTTGAGTAGGCGTAAGAGGAGAGGTCAAGGCCACCGCCTAGACACAATCCTCGCTCCAACGTCATTGTTTTGACTGAATACAGTTGTGTGACGCTGTATTGGAAAACACCTATATTAACCCTTTGTCTCGCAGTTTCCATATTCTCCATGCATAATACTCATTTTATACATTCCGACCAGCTTGACGGGTTAATGGAGCTTATGCTAAGACATATTACTCGTAGACACAGATGACCTTACGGCATCATAGAGGGTGAGGATGCCGATGAATGAGTATGTGCTCTACAAGCATGTTATATATATACTGGCGTCATATGTACTTTAAATCCAGAAATATTGTACGTGGTATTTGGTGTTTTAGACGAGTTATTTTTTAGTGTCTTTACACAGGACACCAAAAATTCCTGGGTTTTTTTCAGGACAGGTTATTTTTGTTTGTTTGTTCGCTTTTAACGCCGCACTCATCTAATTTATATTCCGGCTATATGTCGGCGTTCTGTAATAATCACGTTTTGTCCCAATTCCAGGGACTGACATGAGCATCGTTCTACGCAATTCGGATACTATGACATACATCATCCTCTTACAACAAGAATGTGTTGTAGGGTAAATTCCAGCCAAGATCTTCACCATTACACTGAGGCGTTGGGTACAATTTTGTTATATTATAAATGCCCTGAGGACATCTGCTGACCTGGACATACATCTCCACAATGGGTACAATGTGTAAAGCCCATTCTTGGATTCAACATATGTTCCAGGGATGGGAGTTGAGTCCCATCCCAGATTAGAACCTCTCAGAGTAAGACACCTTATCGCCAGCACACAAAGGTATTGTATATACATTCTTGGATGTCAAGAATATTTACGATTGCTGAAACCGACGCTTAAGTATACTCACTCACTCATTGGGGACAGAAGGACATATTCTACGTGAATGCGTTCTAGACCAAATTTGTAGTTTTCCTCTGAACAATATTATTTCTAAACACGGCGTAAAAAGCGAACACGCTCAATAGAGAAACAAGTATGTACACTGGCAAGCTCTGCATGGTACACGCCCCACGTTACAGAAAGGCGGTACTGTGACGGAATGTGCGGTGACGCGGGGCTACACAGATGGGTTATCATTGTAGGTCTTGGGGGTGCAAGAAGAAACAATCATAACTGATTCTTCGAAAATGAAGGTTTAAGGTTTCCAAGTTGGAAAACATCTCTGTGTCATGGATGGTGGGCTGTTGTGGTCGTTACCGCCATTTTGGTCACGACCCTCTTGGAATCGAAGAAGATAAGAGGTGTTGGGTTGCTTCTAGCAGTGTGGGTGCTGCTGGTGAGGCTCTACATGGGGTGGCACTACACGCAGAAACAATACATAGTTCCGGACCATTCAACATGACTTAAGATGTGCGCTCCATTTGATTATTTCATGTTTCTGTGCCTTAACAAGCACTGTGTGTAGCTTATGTATAATATAAGTATTTGTGTACGGTTGCTAGTTTGTTTTCTACACCACACTCATCAATATTACAGCTATATGACAGATGTCGGTAAATAATTGCACATTCCATTAACTGATATCTGGATGTGATACGACATGCACTACGTCAGGGAGTCTGACCACCCGGTCCCGATTGGGGCATTACGAGAACCATAGGTTGCTAAAGGCAACTCAGAGCATATATTATGTGTTTAGTGACATTTGGTAGAAAATTGTTGTTTTGATACCATTTACACTGAAACCGAACATAAGCGCCATGTTCAAATGTTTCAGATTATCTATAATTCTGTCCATAAATATGAAACTGCTACAGGAGATATAGGAAAACGAAAGGGAATGTCTCAGGTGTTAGCTCGTGAATCTCGTCGGTGTAGTCTGGTGTTTTGAATAGGATGCGGATCAGAAATAAGACATTACCAATATATAAGATTCGTGTCGCCAAAACACCACCTGAAAGAATATTGATGTATAATCACTCACCATCTCATATGATTCGTAATGTCTCAGCATGTATGCAACCGCCTCCGTGGTGTAGTGGTTAGAGCGTCCGCCCGGAGAGCGGAAGGTCGCGGGTTCGATCCCCGACCTCGTCATACCAAAAGACGTTAAAATATGGTACTTGTTGGTCCCTGCCTGGCGCTCGGCATTAATGGGTACAACAAGGACTGGTCGGCTCGGAGTCAGTATAATGTATCTGAGTGGGTTATTCATGCTTCACTGCGGCATGGTATCTCAGTGGGCTAGCACTATAAAACCAGCTTCAGTCTGGGCTAGTACAAGCAGCCGCACATACACATACACACGCATGCACGTCGTCATATGAGCGAAATATTCTCAAGCATGACGTTAAACCCAATTTCACCTAATAATGAGAACTGTGTACAGCAGATACATCGTGTAAGTGACTGGAACGTCTCGAGCTCCTGTGTAGGCGTCTTGCACTTAAACTTAAGTTTAAAGTTTAAAACACATCCGATTTCCATAAAAGAGCATCACTTCACACAAATATAACACATCATCTTATAGACTAACGCTTAGTCTCTGAATATATGTAATTTGCATGGAAACAAATAATTACATTAAAGTTGAAAGGAGCCCCAGTGACATGGGAGAGTCAGAACCTGAGTAAATCTAGACTTCCTTCAGTTAGACTTTAGGGTTGCGGAAATGGCTGGCAGAAGGTAAAATAACGGGGCTCAGGGTCCGTGAGACAGGCTAATAATCATCATATGGAAAGTGAGAAATGTTCAAGATTTACGAATCAATCTAAACTATGTCATACACTCCCTGATAGCACGTGCAATTTACGTAAACACCAAGCTTATGGTTTGGCTGTAACCGTCGGGATTACCTCTCACACCATCATCTGTGTTTCGCCTCCCCAGGATCCCCGACAAGGCTGTACGGACCCCCCTTCAAGAGCCCTTCCCACAAACACGGCAAATTAGTTTGGTTTTCACAGTTCTCAAGACAGTAAGCAACAGTGAGGAATCTTCAAGTTAGCAAGTTTTTCTCTACCTCCACGATGAAGGACTTCCTTCTCGTCAGTCTCGTCTTGACCGCGTACATCTTATCGGATTCAGTGGGACAGTCAGGTAACAGAATATTGTTTAATATTTCCTAATATTCAGAAGGGTTACTGAGGAGTTCCTAATGTTCCTGACCTATTTCTCGCGTTGTTTTTCAAAAATTCCTCAGATGGTTCTCACATTGGTGTTCTACACTGTTCGACTTTTGTCCAACTCCTTGATTGATTAATTAGTAGAAACATGGCGTGTCAGTGAAACTTTTGAAGAACTCTACATCACATTCATTAAAACGGGTTGTTTTATTAGTCGAAGACTTACATTCATTTGAACAGAGACCATAAAATATTTATTATATGGTCTCTGATTTGAACAACGGAATTCCAAGTTTTCGCAACCTTTTGGTGATACTCTTAATGATTAGTTGTAATACTGATATTTCTTCTAAGAAAACATACAAATTTGTGGATAAGATTTTCTTGTATATTTTTTCTTCATCGTATCGTGACATTGTTTGTAGTTTGTTGGTCGCGGGTTTTCTCACTCGCTCTAGCTGTGTCGTGTTTTATGCAGATAAGATGGTTCTGCATTGTTTCAGTAGCTGATAATTTCACATTGTTAGGAATTTATTGTTCTGCCTGTAGAAGTGTTAGCATATTCCGAGATGTTTACCAAACAGTCTCTACTTACAGACTCGTCTTGTATTTATCGTCCAAGTGTGGGTGGGGTAATTGGATCTATATTGCGTTATCGTTGCCGGGGGGCTGGGGATAGGGGGTGAAGCTCGGTACTGGAGTGTTTACGTTGAGGGGAACCCGGTGTAGTGTGGTGTTGAATGACGCAGACTCGCAGGCAGCCGGGAACATCGGGACAGAACCGAGGGGGAAGAGGCGTTATCAGCTGGTAGAAATTAGTGTTGACAACTCGCACATCTGTTGTCTTGTTGTGGTGTTTCGTGCGTGGTATAGACTAACAAGTAGTCTGTCATACAAACCCATAAATAAATATATTCAAGAAAGTCCATGCAAGTCTAGATTATGTGGCAAGATTTCCACAGTTTCAGTCTGAAACTGAAGAAAATCTCTGGGCTCCTTTTTATTATATTTTGTGATCATAATTTAGGAACTGTTTTATTCTGTAAAATATGTACTAATTAACTAGCTTAGTCTCTGAATATATTCAAGTTTGATAGAAACAAATAATTCCTATAAACCTGAAATCCGGCACGGAGCAGGGCAACCGTCTTGAACGCGACGTTAAACACCGTTTCATCCCATCTCACTATTTGAGTCTGGACAAACGGTTAGTTTCTGAGTATATATAAGTCTGATAGAAACAAATAATTCTAGTTTATTGAAAAGTAACCCGAGGCAATCTAAATAAAGGATTTAGAATTGCAGAAAGGGATGGGCGGAAGGGAAAATAATGTAGTTCAGTGACTGTGAGACTATTTTCGAGGCCGACTCTTCCTCTTACGGCCTAACCCCTTATGTGGAGTCATCAATGACAAATTCTAAAACTGGGTACATTTCCGTTTTTAGGGAACTCTTTTGTTAAGAACGTGCTTCATGATTGTTCCAGATAATGAAGATGGCGCGGGGATACAGATGAGCTATACAATAGCCAACGGCGACAGCAACTCCGCGGACCCCGAACCGGCCGTCAACACATCCTCAAGGGCCCACACGAATGTAGGGGTGTGGAGGGCGAGATACAGAGGGTCACAGCATGGCCGCGATGAGACAGGCCGGGGAGGCGCAATACGACGGCACCGTCTGCGGATGCACCGGAGACGACGACCACGACTGAACCTAACGGCGTCAGCACATCCAGATAATCACCGCAGCCGCCCACAACGTCTCGGAAACGTCCAAAGACGCGCTCAGCAGCTTCGTAGACAGGGTGGAACGCGACGTCTTGTTGCGACAGGGTCTCACTCTCTTGCGACTGGAACTAGAACAAACACCGGGGGCGTAGACCCTTTCACAGCACTCCAGAATGGACACAGACAAACCGGGCCCTTCCAGGATAGACAGACAGCCTACGACTTCCTCAGCAATGGCGGAAACAGTTTCAGAGTCCGTAACGAGCACCAACGAGAACGCCGCGACGAGAACGCGCGAATGGCTTCCGTCATGTGCGGTGTGTTCGGGAAACAGTTCGTCCCAAGCGCGATTGGTGGCAGGTGCGTGGATCCGGCCTAGATACCACGTATCATGAATGCACACTTATGTATATATAATTAGCTTCTTGTTAATTGTGTACAGGTGGTGAGAGAGCTCAAATACACGAGTTTGGAGGACGTGATGGCAGGAACGAAATATCTTCATGCATAATGAAGCATAATGTGTATATTTTGCTTAATACAGGCAATTTTATATAACTTAAACGTGTTTATGGACAATAACTTCGTCTGTTGAATGTAATACTTATTACTGAAGAACACATGTTTGCATCATAAACTTTATTGGATATGTTGCTCAATTTATGGTGCACGATACCTGATTTTCATTGTTTATGACTTTATGTCACAGATGTTAATTTTGTGCCCAAGCAGTTGTAATAGGATCCTCTCCACATTGAACTTTTATATGAAACGAATGACGCTCGAACACAGATGGCAAACCTTTACATCTAACCAGGTCTTGTCAATAGGCAAAGTTGACTGATTTTTATCCATTATGCATTAAGTCTTTAAACTACATGGAGTAAATCTATGTACATACAAATTTGAGGACCACCCAATCAGGATATTGCGTGACAAAACCAGTAGTATGAACTTTTTTTAGTAGTATACTAACATGTAAAGGTCGTGATGGAAACTGAACTCCGTCTAGTGACGTTAGGATGCAGTTTTTCTATGGTGGTAGTACTTGCAGCGAAAAGTTTTAACGTGTAAATAATAACGTCATGTATACACTAATGCATTACTGAATTAGGTAAATTTACTTCTTCTTTTTTTTGTATCGTCATTCTGTTCACACGTACATAGTTACAACTTATTCATACTAAATATACCTCATCTATTAAAACGTTTACACTGACCGCCATTTTTGTGTTATTTTGGGACCTTCTTTTCACAGGGGCTTGTAACGCTAAAAACTGACATCAAGGTATATACTGTCACTGACGAGGTGTTAGTACTATATAAAGGATCATTTTATATAATACTAAGACCCCGTCAGTGACAGTATATACCTTGATGGCAGTTTTTAGCGTTACAAGCCCCTGTGCTTCTTTTTAAAAAAGCAGGTATGTAGACAGCTGGTGTACGCGTTTTGTAAACTCGGATGTTATTGAGGAGGGGGAGGGATAGGGTTATATAGAATTGTGTCTCTAGGTATTCGTTTGGAAAATGAAGTAATGAAAAACAAATTGTATTCTCCCTTGAATCGTGGGCGGTGGGGTAGGCTAATGGTAAAAGCGTTCTCTCGTGACGTCGAAGACGCGGGTCTATTCCCCACATGGGCACAATGTGTGAAGCCCATTTCTGGTGTCCCCCGCCGTGATATTGCTGGAATATTGCTAAAAGCGGAGTAAAACTAAACTCAGTCACTGCTTCGAATCGGTCATATCACAATAGACTTCAAGAAGAATACGTTATAACGTACTACTTACAAAAGTAACTGTCATTTCTCATTTGGGGCACAGATTCGTTACAGGATCTGATTAAGTGTGAAATATGTTCGTCACCTCACATCGGCGACACAGCGAGAAAGAAATAAGCGACAGCTACCATTAGTTCCGTGTTAAAGTACACAAGCTGTGACATGGCCGATGGTTAGGTACTTGAGTATACCAGCCCATAGAACCGGCGGGTTGCCTACCAGTTGGCATTGTTCCAGTATGTTTCTCAATGACGCGTTGCCAGAAGAAAACAGCAGAATACAGGCTCCCGCCATACATTTCAACCAATTGTTCGTTGATTGTATTTCGTGTGCTCTCTGAAGCGACACTTAATTTGATTTCTGGATGCTAGTCAAAACGACTTGTGTACAGACGTCTTTAACGTAACAAATAGGTGAGGAAAAGTTTCTTCATCAAAGAATGATGCGTATCCAGTATTTCACTAAAAGCGAGACAGTAAGGTTTTACGCCGCTTTTAGTAATATTCCAAGGGGCACACCAGGTAAAGGCTCCTTCACATGCTGTACCAAAGTGGGGAATCGAACCCGGGTTCGTGGAAGTAGTCAAGTTTGATTAAGAGTCACAACCACTCACATCAAACCTTCATCTGCTTTTTTCCCTCTCTTACAACACCTATGTTGCCGGTCTCCTCTTCCGTCACACCGGAAGTTACTAAGACATGGCGTTAGACTGGTTTTCAACAAGACAAAACTGCCGATTACCCTCAGATGGTCAGGCTCGCTGACTTGGTGGATACATGACACAGCTGGGATGTGACTGTGTCAAACGGTGTCCTCCCATTTGTGAGACACATTAATTAATGGTTCAGTGCACATAGGTGGCGTTTCCACATCCCCACAATAAAAGTGGGATCAGCCCAGTTGTTGAAGAGTACCCACAGGAGGCATAGTTCATTGACGAGTTGATTAATGAAATAGATTATCAAAGATTTTATTTACAAAGAAGAAATAGTTCATTAAATATTGTATTTATTCAGAAGAATATGTAATTATGATAACACATTTTTATTGACTATGGTGAAGTTTGAAAGTCATTTTGGTTTAAACATATTTTATTATCATTATCAAAGTTTAATTTTTAAGGACATTTACTGGAGTATGTTAATCAATTTATCTTATAAAGTTTCATTAAGTTACCTCCACAAGATTCAGTTACATAGCAAATCAGTAATTAGCTAGGGTTAATCCATTCTATCAGGCTGGGGAGTATGGTGTGTTTTCGTTGTTAATTACCTACTCCACTGTCTCATAACTGGGAGTCTCACAATTGGGAGTAGACCTGTCAAACAACAAATGAACGAATAAACACTGAGACACGGTCTTCATGACACTGATCACAAAGATAAGTCTCTTTAACTCATTTACTGACATAATACAAATAAAGAACCCATATCGAATGGAATCAAACATTATCGTATATACGATTAAAACAAAGTAGGGGATATTCCATTTTGCAAGCATACCACTAGCATATTAATATATATCCTTACAGATGAAACGTTTCCAAAGGAATGGAATTGATTGTCACATTTTCCCTTAATTTCTCTTCATCATTTGCATTTTATCAATCTTGTAAATCCAATATCCCCTACGGTTTTTTTAATGGTATACTATCAATCTACCCAAGCCGGGCCCTTAATCTGTATTTCCCACGGGAGCTGGAGCCTGGTAAACCGACAGTAATAGCACGTTTGATTACAATCACTCTTAACTCTGTTATGTTTACCAGTCCATTAACACACGAATTACAGAGACACCTTGTCACTCTTGTATCCGTGGAACTGGTTTGGGACCAACTTGCACAAAGCAAGTTCAGCCCGCTGACCACTGCCTTCCTATACCTACCCCCAAGTGAAGATCCGGGTTAGAATTGGTCTTCAGCAACCCATGCTTGTCGTTGGAGGTGACTAACGGGATCGGGTGGTCAGGCTCCTTGACTCCGTTGACACGTCATCGTAACCCAATTGCTCAGATCGGTGCACATGATGTTGATCATTGGATTGTCTGGTCCAGACTCGATTATGTACGGACCGCCGCCATATAGCTGGAATATTGCTGAATGCTGCGTTAAACAACCAACCAACCTTCCTCCAAGCTGGCTGCCCTTGGGCAACAGGCCATAGGACGGCGGGGCCCCTATACAACCTGAACTTCATTATCAATACAACACCAAAGTAAAACCAAGCAAAGGTCCTGTTGTCCATCATTTATTTACACTGTACAGTACAAGCAGTGGCAAAGGTATATGGACTTTTGGAGAGAGTCAGAGAGACATGGAGAGAGGGGGAACAGCCCAATGGCTGCCACTCTCAGCATACTGTGCAGAGCAGTGACCATTCCCAAAACGTGCCAACAAACAATTGTTCTCTACAGTTAAGCAGTAAGTTTGAACATATCTGTATAATCATCTTGTGATAAATTACCATTATATCCACACAAATGTCTTGGACTACGCAGGGAGATTACCTCGGATAACCTCTGCCTGCAGTCTCCCTAATGACCTGTTGATACTGTAACAACAAGTGAATCAAACATTTACCCCACATCATGGAAACTAGAAGTCCTTACATGACATCATGGATGCATCTGTGCAAGTCAAACTGGACTTTTTCTAAAACATTAAGCACAGTCCTTTGTCAAAGAAAAGAATGAAACGGAAAACATGCTATATTTGTGATTGAGTAACAAAAGAAAAACAGCATTACCTTAGCAAGCTGGGCCCGTTTCACAAAGCTCTCGTAGGCCTAAGATCTCGTAACTTTTCTCGTAGGATTCGTACCTCCTATACTGTGCTACTAGAAAAGTTACGAGATCTTAGGCTTACGAGAGATTGTGAAACGGGGCCCTGGACCACAGAGGAGATTGGATCCCATTCCAGCTAAAGTATGGGAGTTACGATCACCTTACCTCTATGCTCGTGTTGTGGAACGGGACCCTGGTTATTAACTCTAGGGGTGGACATAAATTTTACATCCCTGAGCAGTGAAGAAACAAGACCCATCTAGAAAACATTTTCTGCTTATATTATTTTAAAAGTAAATTGACTGTCCCCTCCCCTAAAATTTCAAGACTATCTCTGAATATTATACTGATCAGCCTCCCCTGAAGATCTCTACACCCACTCACTTGTTCCATAACCTACAATATACTGTTTGGCTTGAAAACATGTGCTGGTCATGAATGCTGCATGCTCCTAATTAAAGACCACCTGCTTGAAGACCGCTATCTCTTAAAGGGCAATCTCATAGTACAAGGTGACAGAACCCAAATGGATTCTGGCTATATACGTGGGTGATTCTGTATCAACAAGGAAATGATTGGAAAAGCAAACATGGTAAAATGTTCTCCCAGAATGAAATTGATTACTCAGTTTGGATTTTATAATTCATTCAAATAAGTGTTTGATATACACACTTACATCAAGTGTAACATTGGCACAATATATTAGCACTACTTGTACAAAATCTCATGAAACGAACAGGATAAAATATATGTTTAAAAAATGTACTCTGACAAATCCTGAAACCTGTGTGTTATTGTCATTGGCTCACACAAGCTTTTGATCTTTACAAACACTTTATTAACACAACTATTAAATCTTCACAAGACCATAACCTAATCTGAATTATTAAAATAGTCTGTGATAGTCAACATACATATAATTGGCTTGAGATTTACAATTTTCTAAAAAGGCCAATCCTCTGAATTTCACACAAAACATCTAGAAAATAAAACCCTGAAACATTTACACAAAAGACATAATTTTGACTTAAGTTAGAAAAATCATATAAACCCAATTTCTAACTGAGAACAAATTGATGTAATATTGAAAGCATGCAATTAACACTCCGGAAACCAATACATACACACTGAATCTTGTTTCAACCACGGAAGTCAACAGGCCATCACTTAAGGACATCACGCAGTCACATGTGTATTACCATCAGCCATACCACCTTGACTCTGGGCATTCAAGCAATACTGGGCCCTGTTCCTCAAAGTGATCGTAGCGCAATGACAGTCGTAAGTCTATGCCAAAGGATGGGAGTTACGATCATCTTAGCACTACGACAGTCGTAAGTCTATGCCAAAGTATGGGAGTTACGATCATCTTAACGCTACGACAGTCGTAAGTCTATGCCAAAGTATGGGAGTTACGATCATCTTAGCGCTACGACAGTCGTAAGTCTATGCCAAAGTATGGGAGTTCACGATCATCTTAGCCAGCCACGACAGTAAATAAGTCTATGCCAAAGTATGGGAGTTACGATCATCTTAACGCTACGACAGTCGTAAGTCTATGCCAAAGTATGGGAGTTACGATCATCTTAGCGCTACGACAGTCGTAAGTCTATGCCAAAGTATGGGAGTTACGATCATCTTAGCCTTCGACAGTCGTAAGTCTATGCCAAAGTATGGGAGTTACGATCATCTTAGGCTACGACAGTCGTAAGTCTATGCCAAAGTATGGGAGATCATCTTAAGCTCGACAGTCATCTTAAAGCCCTCGATCATCTTAGCCCTCGAAGTCTATGCCAAAGTATGGGAGTTACGATCATCTTAGCCCTACGACAGTCGTAAGTCTATGCCAAAGTATGGGAGTTACGATCATCTTAGCGCTATGACAGTCGTAAGTCTATGCTAAAGTATGGGAGTTACGATCATCTTAGCGCTACGATCGTTTTGTGGAACGGGGCCCTGGTAAATCATATGTTGATGTGATTTGTTTGATTTGAAAGTCTGCATCATGCGTACCTGGATTGTGACCTAGATATAATTTTCTGTTCATTTGCATTGCATATAATCTATATACCGTATGTCCTCTTCATTAGCACTGTAATTTCAATTGACACTGACCTCCAATAAACGCTGGGTATGAAGCAGTGTACAACACAATAGTGCTGGGTCTCTCATAATCTCTGGGTAAGTTAGATATAGATTATTGATCTCAGGAAAGAATAAAACATGGAAACTAAGGGTCCTGTTTTAGACAGGGATGAGAACGGGTATGAGTGAAAAACGAGGAAAATGAGCCGGGGTGCCAGGTCTCCTTGCCAGATCCAAGATGGACGATTCACAAGAATGACCCCAGTGTGATCAAATTTAGGATACGCGGAAAAGTCTCATCCCTGTTTAGAGCTTCCCAGTGTCATTTGTCAGTAACAGGGGCTAAAGCAACACTGCACTTAAAAACACTGGGTCTCTACTTCCTAATAAGCCTCTATAGCTCACAAGGTGTAGAATCTTGTACAGAGAAGGCGCTGGGGTAATTCATTGAGGAAACATGGTAAATAATCTTTAGAGTAGTGGTACACTTGTGCAGTTCAGTCTCAGTAAACTTGTCTTATCATATAGTGTGCAGAGATTCGGAGCACACTTTCCAGCTATAGTGTAAGTGATGCATCATCTATTTCCTGGTCTGTTTGTGAGACAGGCATAACCGTGCCATCATGTACAGAGTGCTAACCTGTTTAAATACTTCAGTCTTTGAGCATACACTTTTCATAGATGGTGTAAGATTTTATTGCAGGTTTTTATTTTCATGGTGTAACCTTTCATAATGGTAGCAGTATCGTCATGGTGTATCATTACACAATAAACATGGTATAATATCACACAGTAAGAATGGCATAATTTTACACTTTGAGGATGGTGTAACATTACACTATAAACATTGTATAACATTACACTATAAGCATGGTGCAATATTGACACTGTAAGAATGGTGTAACATTACACTATAAGCATGGTATAACATTACACAATAAGAATGGTGCAATATTGCACTGTAAGTATGGTGTAACATTACACTATAAGCATGATATAACATTACACTATAAGCATGGTATAACATTACACTATAAGCATGGTATAACATTACACTATAAGCATGGTATAACATTACACTATAAGAACTGTGCAATATTGCACTGTAAGTATGGTGTAATGCTACACACAATCGTCACGAGCAGCCACAAAGTACCACTCTACTAGTGATGACGACGACAAGATTTTGTGAACACAGTTTGCATTTGCCCCTCTTGAGTATCAAAAAGAAATTATCAAAATCCATTCACTATGACAATATTGAACATTTTTCATACAGGTATGTTAATATGTAGAAAAAAACAAGTACAACACTGCAAGGTATGTATCGATACTGTGTGCTCAGATGAGGCAGACTACCATGATCAGGTTTGTGTTCCTCTGACGTCTCACACACACAGATGTCCCTCTCCTAGACCCTAGAAAGCATATAGTAAAAATAGTCCTACTCAAGTCTGGAATGATTTGGCACAACTGAATTTCAGGATTGTTTTGAGATCCACTGGAACTGACTCTTTATTTTGGGAATTTTAATGCAACAACTATATTCCTGGGACTACATGTTTGCCAAATTTTGTTTTTCTCAAACCTGCGTCAGCAGAATCAGCACCTTTGTCAATGTTATAAAGATAGCATGTTGATAGCATGTCAGCTATCACTGACAGGGAAAGTATCAATGGTTAGTGCCCCTCTATGATCTCACTGTCGTGTAGAAGAACCAGCCCCAAATTGGTCGGGAGCTGAAGATCTCTTCCTCAGTCATATGATAGCTCTCAGCAAGGTTTACAATAAACCAAACTGACAACAGTCGGTGAGATTAGATGAAGACATGGAGGACAGCAGCTGACTGTTGTCCTGGTTACATACAACCTATCCCGGGACACTATCTACATGTTATACCTGTTGTGTCAGTGAGGCAGGATGGGAGGAACAAACACAAGCGAAGGATCTGTGCAGCTGACTGTTGCCCTGGTTACATACAACCTATCCCGGGACACTATCTACATGTTATACCTGCTGTGTCAGTGATGCAGGTGTGGGAGGGACAAACAACACAAGCGAAGGATCTGTGCAGCTGACTGTTGCCCTGGTTACATACAACCTATCCCGGGACACTATCTACATGTTATACCTGTTGTGTCAGTGAGGCAGGTGTCGGAGGAACAAACAACACAAGCGAAGGATCTGTGCAGCTGACTGTTGCCCTGGTTACATACAACCTATCCCGGGACACTATCTACATGTTATACCTGTTGTGTCAGTGAGGCAGGTGTGGGAGGAACAAACACAAGCGAAGGATCTGTGCAGCTGACTGTTGCCCTGGTTACATACAATCTATCCCGGGACACTATCTACATGTTATACCTGTTGTGTCAGTGAGGCAGGTGTGGGAGGAACAAACACAAGCAAAGGATCTGTGCAGCTGACTGTTGCCCTGGTTACATACAACCTATCCCGGGACAGTGAGGCAGGTGTGGGAGGAACAAACACAAGCAAAGGATCTGTGCAGCTGAACTGTTGCCCTGGTTACATACAACATCCCGGGACAGTGAGGCAGGTGTGGGAGGAACAAACACAAGCAAAGGATCTGTGCAGCTGACTGTTGCCCTGGTTACATACAACCTATCCCGGGACACTATCTACATGTTATACCTGTTGTGTCAGTGAGGCAGGTGTGGGAGGAACAAACACAAGCAAAGGATCTGTGCAGCTGACTGTTGCCCTGGTTACATACAACCTATCCCGGGACAGTGAGGCAGGTGTGGGAGTAACAAACACAAGCAAAGGATCTGTGCAGCTGACTGTTGCCCTGGTTACATACAACCTATCCCGGGACACTATCTACATGTTATACCTGTTGTGTCAGTGAGGCAGGTGTGGGAGGAACAAACACAAGCAAAGGATCTGTGCAGCTGACTGTTGCCCTGGTTACATACAACCTATCCCGGGACAGTGAGGCAGGTGTGGGAGGAACAAACAACACAAGTGAAGGATCTGTGCAGCTCTGTGACAAAACATTATCAGCTTTTGGAATTTCTGATGTTGAATACACCTCTGAGGTGAAGACAACTCTTAGTCAGGGATTATAGGTCTTAGTTGGGGAATATAAATCTCTCATTCAGAGAATATAGCTCTTAGTTCGGGAATACCAATCTCACTAAGGGACTATAGCTCTACGCTGAGGAACAGAAAACCATTCTGGTAATATGGCCCACTGTCGGGAAATACAAATGTCGATCAGGCAATGGAGCTCTTCATCAGGGAACACAAATCTGATCATGGACAATGACCTGCACGGCAACATAAGGGTCTTGATGTACAACACTATACAGTTTTGTGCATAAACATGCTAAGGAATTCATGCATAAGTATTGATAGTCACATGAGCACTTATCTGGGAGGTCCAGGTCGATGAGAGCAGAACCATGATACTTATTGCTTTCTATGTACAAATATTCACAAGTCTAAAATCCAACTTATATATTACAGATAGATGAAATATACAGTTTGATTTGTCTATAATATAAATAACAACAACAGTCCATTCCACTTTATTAGGATAGTCAGGAAATGTTAGTACAGCAGGTCCACAGACCGGGGGAGACACACTGCCCCTCCTACATGGGCTGACCGCCCCTCCTGCATGGACTGACCACCCCTCCTACATGGACTGACCATCCCTCTGACCGCCCCTCCTACATGGACTGACCACCCCTCTGACCACCCCTCCTACATGGACTGACCACCCCTCCTACATGGACTGACCATCCCTCCTACATTGACTGACCACCCCTCCTGCATGGACTGACCACCCCACCTACATGGACTGACCGCCCCTCCTACATGGTCTGACCACCCCACCTACATGGACTGACCGCATGGACTGACCGCATGGACTGACCACCCCTCCTACGTGGACTGACCACCCCTCCCTGACCGCATGGACTGACCACCCCACCTACATGGTCTGACCACACCACCAACATGGACTGACCACCCCACCTACATGGTCTGACCACACCACCAACATGGACTGACCACCCCACCTACATGGTCTGACCACACCACCAACATGGACTGACTGCATGGACTGACCACCCCACCTACATGGACTGACCACCCCTCCTACATGGTCTGACCACCCCACTTACATGGTCTGACCACACCACCTACATGGACTGACCACACCACCTACATGGACTGACCACCCCACCTACATGAACTGAGCACCCCACCTACATGGACTGACCACCCCTCCTACATGGTCTGACCACACCACCTACATGGACTGACCACCTGACACCATCCCCATATAGATGAAAAACATACAAAATGACCGGGTCACCTTAGGTCACCTCAGTCCGCCTTCTACCCAAATGAAGCTGACCCTTGACCTTGCACACTTACTACCATTTCTTTGGTTTGGCTACTGACAACTCACAGCAAAACCTGTTATGAAATGTATAACATCTGCATTGCCAGATACACGTGACTGTTCAATGTATGAAGTGGATCAAGGAAGAAAGATCTACAACAGATTCCTGATATGTAAACTGTGTCTCCCCCAATCTGTGGCCTATCATCAAATATGTTCTCGAAGACCTTCCTGAGTAAGTTACTGTAACAAGGGAATCAACTTTTCGGGATATAACGTGACAATAACTTTCAATAATAACTTTAACAGAATGAGACTAAGTTGAGTAATCCTCAGAGATTCTGCCACTCAATGGCAGTGAAGTTGCTGTTGAACTCCAGGTTGTGTGCGATGGTTTCCGGGATGGCGTGCGAGAACCACAGTTTCTGCAGACCTCGGTACTTCTCCTCACACAGCCGTAGAGGGTTCCCACGCCTGCAACAAACATGTTACTTCTCATGGTGACGTATGATTGTCAGTACAGTCTGCACACATATTTACTATTAGCTCAGCCTATGTGCTGACCCATACCAACAAGCATCAATACAAATCATTCTCTCTCATGTAGAACTGCTTGAAACAACTGCCAGGTATTATCCAGCTCTCAACAAAGCTTCAACTCGCTCAAACTATAATTTGTATTTTATATGATAGTCTGGTCACAAAAGCCTGATGATAGTTCTGTAGGGGAGAAAGAGGGTCGGGGGAGTGAAGACATGGGTGGGTGTACTTTATTGTCTTAGTTTCACTTTCAACTACATAAACTTTAACTGGAGATTCACTATATAAGTTATCACATCGTGTCGAGGGAAATACGGGGTTTGATCAGTCCCGAGTAAGGTTGTCGAGGGGAATACAACCTTACGAGGGACTGATAAAACCCCGTATTTCCCTCGACACGATGTGATAACGCATTTATCTAGCCGAATGTTTTTACTAAATCAAAAGAAAACAATACCCATCGAATCGACTTGTTTTTATTTAAGCGAGATGTGGCAAAACGTTTCCTTGCTGCCATGTTGACAACAGCTGATCGAGTGACCTCAATGCAGCGCACGTTACTAAAGGCTTGGCAATGCCCGCTTTTCTCACTTCGCGTGGTCACTGAGGCGTGGCGGGATAATCTGACTTTTTTACTCCCTGCTCGCGGATCGTGACGGGTGTACATGCTATTTTATCAGAGTCATGTGAACCAATAAAAACTCGACATTCTGACATGAGGCTGGATAATTGGATTTACGCAACAATATAAATTGACTTCATACGAGCTGATTTAGAAAATGCACTTGCATTTGAAAAGAATGTGCAAGGCTAAATAATGACCATCTCTCTATAGATGCTTTGAAAATTTAGACTCTTGGATTATTTTTGGTGCCGACTGACATTTTTGTATGAATTAAGTAAGACAAAGTCTTGTCATAAATTAGTTGCCAATTCATAACGAATACAAAAAAAATCAGAATGGCTGGCAGCTCTGCTGAACAATGCTGACAGTGTAGTGAGTTGACACTGATACCTGCACCCATGGCAAGATTCCACAATCAGCTGACACCATCTATTATAACATGTGACAGACTGTAGAACAAATACAAAATACTGAGGAATTAGGACGGGATCATCTTTTTTCTACCCTCATAGACATAACTATGTCTCGAATACATCGATAAGACAAATTTATTACTTGGTCCCCAGCGATTCGACTCATCAGGATTTGACTGTATATGAATTATGGAGACTTACCTGAGGCCTTGATCTGTCTCCCCGTAGTTGTCCAGATACGGGGGTGCTATGAAGCAGCCTTTGGTTTTACCTGCCAGCAGCAGTATCTGACAGTCCCGCACCCTGTAACAACAAGCAGCTGAAATAATACTGTGCATATCATAATTTGTCATATCCTAAATGTGCTCTGAGTGCCACATTTTTACCCCGTTCAGTGTGTCTGCACATTCAATCTCAGTTACATGGCCAACATACAAACCATGTTCCCTGGGAAGTGGTAGAAAGTTACCACCTCGTACTACCAGGTACCCTTTCAGAGCTGCATAAACAGTCACATTACCACCTCGTACTACTGGGTACCCTTTCACTGGCGCATGAACAGTCATATTACCACCTCGTACTACTGGGTACCCTTTCACTGGCGCACAAACAGTCATATTACCACCTCGTATTACTCGGTACCCATTCACTGGTGCACAAACAGTCATATCACCACCGCGTACTACCGGGTACCCTTTCACTGGTGCACGAACAGTCATATTACCACCTCATACTACCGGGTACCCTGTCACTGGTGCACAAACACAGTCACTTGCTTAAGAGTAAGTGAGTGAGTGAGTATGGTTTTACGTCACTTTTGGCAATATTCCAGCAATATCACGGCGAGGGACACCAGGCACGGGCTTCACACATTGTACCCATGTGGGGAATTGAACCCAGGTCAGCGTGATGAGTGAACGCTTTAACCATTAGGCTACATGCCTCTTAAGACATTGTGAGCTGTTAAGCACATGTCCTAACGTGAACTACCCATTGTTTGGGTTACTTGCTGACTTACCGCAGGAAGATGCCGATACCAGCTCCACACTTTGCGGCATGTTCCGTGGCAGCTCCGACCGACAGTCCATCCAGATCAGTCTGACAACAGTAGCTCTGTGAACACAGCATCCGGCCACATGCCAGGCACATTGTCGGGGCACGGCTGTCATCTCCATCTGACTTGGGGCACCTGTAACCAACAACATGTCTTACATCTCACTGTCAGACATCAGATATACTCATTACTGGCTGTCACTCACAAACATTATCAAGCTGGTGTATTGGGTGAAAAACAATGAATCGACACAGTGTGGTGGAACATTATATTAGAAAAGTGTTATGGTTACAAGGGAGTTAAACTAGCTTTCTGTGATTTTTTTGGACACACCTCATTAAATGTAAACAATTATACTATGGCACTGTAGACACTTAACAAAAGTTCCCTGCTGGGCCTTTCAAATAATCAATGTGGCCAAATATATTAACATAACGTGAAACAAGTAAACATATTTCCATAAACAGGTTCATGGGAACAAGCCAATGAAATATCAGCATCATTAGTCAAGAGGATTTTGAGGAAATGAAGTACACATGTGCCACATTTCACAACATTAACTTTGATCAATGAGAGTAATGGCTACAAACAGCCTTCAAACAGGTCGTTCCATATGCCGCTTGACTCCATGGCGTGAACGAGGTGTGTCCAAGGAATGTTTCGGGGTTGTGATGTGAAGATGGTTGGAACTGATGTGAGGGTACTCACGTGAAGGTGGACACCTGGTTGATGAGTTCGCTGAAGTCCTGGGGTAGCTCCACCAGGGTGTTCACCTGAAGGGGGTAGTGGACCAGCTGGACGCTGCTGGCCGACAGGCGTTCCTTCAACTTCCGACTGCAGCACCAACTGCGGTACACAAGAGCAACCAACATCATACACCAGTCAAACATTCATACTACACTCTCCCTATCTTCATTTGTGGTGGTGGTGGAATTGGGTTTAACGTCGTGCTTGAGAATATTTCGCTCATATGACGACGTGCATGCGTGTGTATGTGTATGTGCAGCTGCTTGTACTAGCCCAGACTGAAGCTGGTTTTATAGTGCTAGCCCACTGAGATACCAAGCCGCAGTGAAGCATGAATACCCCACTCAGACACATTATACTGACTCCTAGCCGACCAGTCCTTGTTGTACCCATTAATGCCAAACGCCAGGCAGGGACCAACAAGTACCATATTTTAACGGTTTTTGGTATGACGCGGTCTGGGATCGAACCCTTGACCTTCCGCACTCCGGGCGGACGCTCTAACCACTACACCACGGAGGTGGTCTATCTTCATTTGTGGATGAGACACTTCAACATACTGCAAGTAGGTCTATGCTTATTGCTGTTCAAATCATGAAAAGACATCTTGCCTCTGGATAAGAGTGCTTGTGATCTCTCCTTGCTTCTCAAACAACTCAGACATGGAGACTGGTAGAGCCAGGTACCGACACAGAATCTCAAACTCATGGGTCTTCTTTCCTGAAAGATACAAATTCTAAGTTGAATGTGTCCATTGTAGGAATCCTGTACCCTGCAAAGACTGACCTTGACACAAAGACGGACATCGGCCTTAATCCTTTAATGTATTCACATTAGTGGTGTTCCGATTAATTGAAATAATCGAAGATTGGTCAAAGTGACCAAACGACCAAGCAATCGATCACATTTTCTCATAATCGAACATAAACGATTTTGGAACTACTGTTTTAGTCTTTGCAACACTTGACAATGGAACATATCTCAGAAGTTGTCAGGGCCTGAAAACGTGTTTAACTTTTAGAAAACTGACTTCACTAACTGAAAAGTCATGACTGAATATTTCTCTAAGACTCCAGGAAGTTTATGTTCATGATATATTAGTCATCACTTTAAAGTAGCAAGTTGCATCATGTTATACATATCTGCAATAACAACCTGGATAGGAAAATCTGAAAAATGACGCTAACCAATTTTTTTGGATGATTGTTCGTTGGTAATGAAGCAATCATCAATTGTGAAATTTCAACCAATTCCCAACACTAATTCACATTACTATTTCATATACACTAGTTGAGTTATATTAATCTGACTTGCAAACATATACATAACTAGTGAACGGTTCTTGAGATATCTTGCTGACAAGAGTAAAACGTTAAAGTCCCCTTGTGACCTTGAAATGAAGGTCAAGGTCACCAAACCTGACTAGGACCTTTCTTATACTGTGATGAACTTAGGTACCAGATATGAAAAAAATCTAGTCAACGGATCTTAAGATATTCCAATTCGTACGGACGGAGCCTAATACTATATCCCCCGCTTCGCACTAAACGCGCAGCGGGGGATAATCAAACAACATTTGACTAAGTGGGAGACAGAAGAGAATATAATCCATACGGAAATATAGTTCTCAGAGACAGCAATACAAAGCTCTTCTTAATGTTAGTTGGTTGTTTGGTTGGTTGTTTAACGCCGCACTCAGCAATATTCCAGCTATATGGCGGCAGTCTGTAAATGATTGAGTCATGTCCAGACAATCCAGTGATCAACAGAATTTGTATCGATCTACGCAATTGGGATACAATGACATGTGTCAACCAAGACAGCATGCCGATCCCGTTAGTCGCCTCTTACGACAAGTCTGGGTTACTGAAGACCAATTCACACAGATCTTCATGGGTCTCTTAGTGTTGGACTGATTAGGGTTGAAGCATTGGATAAGTCCACTGTGACATACAAATATCAGTAACAGATAGATGAGGAGGTAAACTGTGTTGGCTGCTCACCCTCAATGTAGAGATCCTCTGGTGCGATGACGCCAGTGACATAGTGGTAGAGGATCGCGGCACAGCGGAGGAAGGGGAGAGCAGCACGGTGGATGTACTGCAGAAGCTGGTGGGGAGATGGAGACTGGTCCATCTTCGTGCTAGCAGATGACAAAAACACACATCACTGTCATGAACAACACGTAACGGAAAGTTAAACAATGCACAAGAAACGTACTACTCAAACGAGTTAAGGACCACACGATACTTTCATATTACTTTAGTTCATGCCATGCCAGATTATACAATAGCAATGAGAAAGAATCGAGTAGTCCTTCACAGTAGTATGGAACCATGCATATTTCTGTTGATACTTCTATAAATAGTTGGAAAAAAGTACTAAAACACCCAAATTATTATCAAAATATAATCTGTGATTCATTCTTAGCATTAGAGTCAGCGAATGAGAGAAGTTGTTTTATTGCTGCTTTTCTTTTAACAGTACTGGTTTATACCACAGTGTATCAGTTTTATGTGTGACTAAGCCTGTAGTGCTGCAGGCCTAAGATGTCTACCATGACTAAAGCCTGTAGTGCTACAGGTCTAAGATGTTTACCATGACTAAAGCCTGTAGTGCTGCAGGTCTAAGATCTTTACCATGACTAAAGCCTGTAGTGCTGCAGGTCTAAGATGTTTACCATGACTAAAGCCTGTAGTGCTGCAGGCCTAAGATGTCTACCATGACTAAAGCCTGTAGTGCTACAGGTCTAAGATGTTTACCATGACTAAAGCCTGTAGTGCTGCAGGTCTAAGATCTTTACCATGACTAAAGCCTGTAGTGCTGCAGGTGTAAGATGTTTACCATGACTAAAGCCTGTAGTGCTGCAGGCCTAAGATGTCTACCATGACTAAAGCCTGTAGTGCTACTGGTCTAAGATGTTTACCATGACTAAAGCCTGTAGTGCTGCAGGTCTAAGATCTTTACCATGACTAAAGCCTGTAGTGCTGAAGGTCTAAGATGTTTACCATGACTAAAGCCTGTAGTGCTACTGGTCTAAGATGTTTACCATGACTAAAGCCTGTAGTGCTGCAGGTCTAAGATGTTTACCATGACTAAAGCCTGTAGTGCTGCAGGCCTAAGATGTCTACCATGACTAAAGCCTGTAGTGCTACCGGTCTAAGATCTTTACCATGACTAAAGCCTGTAGTGCTGCAGGTCTAAGATGTTTACCATGACTAAAGCCTGTAGTGCTACAGGTCTAAGATCTTTACCATGACTAAAGCCTGTAGTGCTGAAGGTCTAAGATGTTTACACCATGACTAAAGCCTGTATGCTACAGGTCTAAGATGTTTACTATGACTAAAGCCTGTAGTACTACAGGTCTAAGATGTTTACCATGACTAAAGCCTGTAGTGCTACAGGTCTAAGATGCTTTACCATGACTAAAGCCTGTAGTGCTACAGGTCTAAGATGTTAACCATGACTAAAGCCCGGGATAGTGCAGGCCTGTAGTGCAGGTCTAAGGCTGCAGTCTAAGATGCTACTGGTCTAAGATGTTTACCATGACTAAAGCCTGTAGTGCTGCAGGTCTAAGATGTTTACCATGACTAAAGCCTGTAGTGCTGCAGGTCTAAGATGTTTACCATGACTGCAGGTAAACTAAAGCCTGTAGTGCTGCCTAGGTCTAAGACTAAAGCCTTACTACATGACTAAAGCCTGTAGTGCTGCAGGTCTAAGATGTTTACCATGACTAAAGCCTGTAGTGCTGCAGGTCTAAGATGTTTACCATGACTAAAGCCCAGTGCGTGCTACTGGTCTAAGATCTTTACCATGACTAAAGCCTGTAGTGCTACAGGTCTAAGATGTTTACCATGACTAAAGCCTGTAGTGCTACTGGTCTAAGATGTTTACCATGACTAAAGCCTGTAGTGCTGCAGGTCTAAGATGTTTACCATAACTAAAGCCTGTAGTGCTGCAGGTCTAAGATGTTAACCATGACTAAAGCCAGTAGTGCTACTGGTCTAAGATGTTTACCATGACTAAAGCCTGTAGTGCTGCAGGTCTAAGATGTTTACCATGACTAAAGCCTGTAGTGCTGCAGGTCTAAGATGTTTACCATGACTAAAGCCTGTAGTGCTGCAGGTCTAAGACGTTTACCATGACTAAAGCCTGTAGTGCTACAGGTCTAAGATGTTTACCATGACTAAAGCCTGTAGTGCTGCAGGTCTAAGATCTTTACCATAACTAAAGCCTGTAGTGCTGCAGGTCTAAGATGTTTACCATGACTAAAGCCTGTAGTGCTGCAGGTCTAAGATGTCTACCATGACTAAAGCCTGTAGTGCTGCAGGTCTAAGACGTTTATCATGACTAAAGCCTGTAGTGCTGCAGGTCTAAGATGTTTACCATGACTAAAGCCTGTAGTGCTACAGGTCTAAGACGTTTACCATGACTAAAGCCTGTAGTGCTGCAGGTCTAAGATGTTTACCATGACTAAAGCCTGTAGTGCTGCAGGTCTAAGACGTTTACCATGAGAAACTCATGAGCAGACTATGGCGTTGACAAACCTGGAAACATATGTCTGAACATTATGATATATCTAGGTGTGAAAGCAGTGACAACTTACCCAGCACACTCCCGCAGCTTGTTGTACACCCGGACCAATGACTGGCCCTCCATCTCTCCTTCAACTTCCATGGGGTCTGAAATGTCCACATGGCCCACATTATCAAATATTAACAATCATAAATACAAACCTCGGGGCCAATATACAGCCTCAAGTCTCCAGCAAATGTAGTCCTATATTAGAACAAAACATTTCCCAGCTCACTATGTTAAGGATAAAGTTAATGGTTTGCTGTGGAGGTGACTTGTATAAAATGGATAACAGTTCAAACATAGAGAAAACATATTTAATGCTTAGTTGAACAATATTCCATTGAATGAAATAACATTCAATGCTAAAATGCCTCAGAAATGAGAAAAAGAAACATTTGAACAATGTTATAAGTGGATTATACTAGACATACAGAATACATAGGGCAAATTTGTTACCATATTGAATTATGAAATGTTGCAACACAGGACTACGTCATCTAACTTGTGTGTTCATTAAATTGTATCTGTTAAAGGTCACAAGCAACGTAAAACACAACTTTGCAGATTCTGATACCTTTCGCTATGGACTTACCGAAACAAATCGTCAAAAATGCAAATTCAACTTATAAAGTTGAAAAATAACGCGATGAAAAAAAACGCCAAATCGAGAGTTCAAACGCTTTTACCAATTTTCCCACACTTTCTGGGGAATACGGGTTTCAACAGCTGGCTAAGCGCCATAGCACGGCGCAGTGAAATAGGTTCGCGCAAGAACTTGGAAGCCGGGCTGTCTGGTGAATACTTCGTGAAGGCTTTGGTGTGAGCTATTTTCATAATGTTTTGTTGATATCTCACAGGCCGAGCTTTTTTATATGTTATGACAGTAAATAAACTGTTTACATAATCTCATTTGTCTATTTCACCACACGTTCTTCTTACCGAGTCGCTTTCTCAGTTCGATACTTAAAAGCAATGTCATTATTTAGCGTTGACAGAATTTCTAACTGTGATATAGATATGTCGCTGTCACTGACAAAACTCAATGTCTTGTTTTATTGACACCTGTGTGTCTGCCTGCCTGTCTGCTAATGACAATATTCAATACACAACTGTGATCACTGACCACATGCAATTTGAACTTAACACCAATCAGGCTATATATACACCATAAACAAAACGCATTGATTTATGGCCCGAGTTCGGTCTCTGTCACATTATGTAATTACACAGACAAGCAGGTGTGATACTTGAACACATGACATGTTATGATGTCTGTTGATTGCAAAATGTTATACACAAAAAATGAGCATGTATTTACAAAACCCAACATCTCTATATATACACACACAATGAGCCGTGAAGGCGGCATCTGCAAATGAACCAGCGGTTACACTTGAGTGCACACCCACCCGCTCTGACTGGGTTCGGTATCCCGGCTGCTTCGTTTCGAGGGAGGTAAACCCAAGTACAAAATATTGCACTTTTGATTTGCGATTATACGCTTATAATTTTGTTTATTTGTTTTTTCATAATCAGCAATGCATATTATATGTCATGAAGAAGTGATAATTGTGTTTTAATTATGTTTGATTTTTTGGTTGCATGTGACCTTTAAAGTTTCATCCTCAGTTCATCTTCATCTAGCCTGTCACAACATACCTTGTGGCTGCTCGTCAAATGAAAGCATCAGCTGCGTGATGTGAGCTGTGAGAACCAGCTGCAGGGCATGTTTGTTGTTGAGACCACCCGTCGGCAGTGTCGAGATAGACTTCAGCTGCTCAGCATACAGTGTCGGCAGGGTCATGGTCAAGGTCACCAGATAGTGGAAGAGGTCAAGGTCAAGTAGACATGGCGATTCTCTGTTCCTCTTCTCCATTTCATTTGGTATCAAGGCTGAACACAAATCAATTACTTGATCATTAATCTGAATCATCACGTGGAAGTTACAAGTATATTCCGACATCAAAACATATGGAATATGACATGGGGAAAGGGGCCTCGCTGATGCACATTACATTAAGGTCAATGTAGTCTTCATCCCTTTTCAAAGGAGGGGGTTCAAACCTCCTGAAACCCCCCAATCCGTCAATGATAAAACTGAGTTCCAGCTAGATGTTTTAATGCAATACAAGACAAAACATAATCTGAAGGGCATACCTAACTATGCCTCATAATACAACCATTGAACCATTAGATCACATCTCACTTCTTGCTCCTGCGAAACAAAGATCTGACGACATAAAATTACCAGTCAAGACAGAACCCCCTTTTGTTTGACCAATCAATGCCTCGCTTACCAGACCAGGAATGTGATAGTTGGAATGGGATTTCTAATCATGCAACCTTGTAAAGGTCAACATGTGGTATTCAGAATGACAGTCCCAGGCTGTACAACTCAATCCATCAAAATCATTATTGTTTGTTTAGACTGGTGAAACAAATATACAGAAAGACTTTGTACAGGTAACAGTAAGAACTGCTTTAAAATCGTGTCTATCTATTACACATTCCAAACAATTTCTTAGTTCACTTTTCATGTTTTGAATTCAGAACTGTGCCCAAACTTCAAGGCAGAGTCTGGAATGAAAGTGGCCAGTTGGATTGATTGATTGATTGATTGAAGTTTTGCACTACTTGTAGGAATATTAGGTCGGGGTACACCAGAAATGGGCTTCACACATTGTACCCTTGTGGGGAATTGAACCTGGGTCTTCTGCGTAACGAGCGAACGCTTTAACCACTGGGCTTCTCCATCGCCCCTGTCCAGTTTGAAACGAGGGTCATACAGTCTGAGAGAGTCGCTTTCTGATACACTCATGTCAACTTCTTGTTAGTTATTTATATGGTCGCTCCAAAATGTCATTCTCATGTGACATCTAATGGGATGTCTTCTGGTGTACCCCACTGTGATATTACTGGAATATTACTAAAAGCGGCATAAAACCATACTCACTCACTCACTCACTAATGGGATGTCCCAGATCTTTGTTTAGCGTAAACAAGAACTAAAATCTCAATGTAATGAGAATGCGAGGGACAAGCTTATCAATAGATCTGCTTCCCACTCAACTTGATGGGCATTACACGTACAAACCAGAACTCATCAAGGGATGGGAAGCACATAAGTACAAATGTGATGTGAGCTCAACTGAAGTACAGCTACCTACCTGAGAGCAGCCTGACACACTGTTGCCGCACCTGGTCAGGGGACATCACTTGACTCACCACCGCCCCGAATCTCACCAGCGACCCCAGCAAGTCTGACTGCCGATTCGGCAGCGATCCAAACAGGCTCTTGTCTTCTGACTGAAGTACTTGCTCTGAACATACAATTGGGACGTTTATTTAAGCTGTTTCACACAATATTTCATAAACAGACACACACAGACTCATAATGTAATATGTCAAACATCGCTATATTTATCTTAAATTAATGTTTGTGATAAAATGAGTAATGGGTAAAATGATATGCAAGTAAAGGAATAAGGACACAACTGCCTTACTGTAGAGTTGTGGCCATTAGATAAGAGAGAACGCTGACTGTTTCCAGGTTTCAACACCTGTGGGTTTAACAAGAGTGATAAGCATGCAAGACCAGTATCACTTGAAGAAATGTCTCTGTATGACAACTGACTACCTACCTATAGCTTGTATAGTGAAGGCACATGTGCTCCACGCCATCACAGACACTCGTGGGTTTTCATCATCAGGATCCACATTCAGTCCAAACTGTAAACAGAAGTCACATTTGGCAACACGACCCGCCACAAGAAACTGATTGGCTAATAGAAATTTTCTGTCTAGAAATTTCAATCAACTGAAAAAGACTCTTCGTCAAAATCATAACTATTATTTGCAGTTCTTTTCTAAGCTGTTTTCACAAAGATAAGGAAACAATTTGTAAGAGCCATTTTGAAATTGAGGATTTCAGATTGGAGTGATAACCAGCATTGTGACAATGTATGACTTTACAGCCAGGAGTACATCTAATCATGGAGCCACACAACCAGCACTGTGTGACACATACTTCTACAGTAGTACATCTAATCATGGAGCCACACAACCAGTACTGTCATGACACATAGCACTCACATACTTCTACAGTAGTACATCTAATCATGGAGCCACACAACCAGCACTGTGTACATCTAATCATGGAGCACATACTCCTACAGTAGTACATCTAATCATGGAGCCACACAACCAGCACTGTGACATATACTCCTACAGTAGTACATCTAATCATGGAGCCACACAACCAGCACTGTGATATATACTCCTACAGTAGTACATCTAATCATGGAGCCACACAACCAGCACTGTGATATATACTCCTACAGTAGTACATCTAATCATGGAGCCACACAACCAGCACTGTGATACATACTCCTACAGTAGTACATCTAATCATGGAGCCACACAACCAGCACTGTGACACATACTCCTACAGTAGTACATCTAATCATGGAGCCACACAACCAGCACTGTGATATATACTTCTACAGTAGTACATCTAATCATGGAGCCACACAACCAGTCACTACTCCTACACAGTGACATAATCATGGAGAGCACACAACCAGCACTGTGACTCCTACAGTAGTACATCTAATCATGGAGCCACACAACCAGCACTGTGACACATACTCCTACAGTAGTACATCTAATCATGGAGCCACACAACCAGCACTGTGATATATACTACAGTAGTACATCTAATCATGGAGCCACACAACCAGCACTGTGATATATACTCCTACAGTAGTACATCTAATCATGGAGCCACACAACCAGCACTGTCCTACATACTTCCTACAGTAGTACATCTAATCATGGAGCCACACAACCAGCACTGTCACATACTCCTACAGTAGTACATCTAATCATGGAGTACCTAATCACAACCAGCACTGTCACATACTCCTACAGTAGTACATCTAATCATGGAGCCACACAACCAGCACTGTCATATATACTTCTACAGTAGTACATCTAATCATGGAGCCACACAACCAGCACTGTCACATACTCCTACAGTAGTACATCTAATCATGGAGCCACACAACCAGCACTGTCACATACTCCTACAGTAGTACATCTAATCATGGAGCCACACAACCAGCACTGTGATATATTACTCTACAGTAGTACATCTAATCATGGAGCCACACAACCAGTACTGACACATACTCCTACAGTAGTACATCTAATCATGGAGCAACACAACCAGCACTGTACATCTAATCATGGATATATACTCCTACAGTAGTACATCTAATCATGGAGCCACACAACCAGCACTGTGATACATACTCCTACAGTAGTACATCTAATCATGGAGCCACACAACCAGCACTGTGATATATACTCCTACAGTAGTACATCTAATCATGGAGCCACACAACCAGCACTGTGACATATACTCCTACAGTAGTACATCTAATCATGGAGCCACACAACCAGCACTGTCACATACTCCTACAGTAGTACATCTAATCATGGAGCCACACAACCAGCACTGTGACACATACTCCTACAGTAGTACATCTAATCATGGAGCCACACAACCAGCACTGTGATATATACTCCTACAGTAGTACATCTAATCATGGAGCCACACAACCAGCACTGACACATACTCCTACAGTAGTACATCTAATCATGGAGCCACACAACCAGCACTGTCACATATACCCCTACTGTAATATATCTAATCATGGAGCTACATCTAACAGACGTGTCGACATACCTGGCATCATCATACACATACTCCCAGAGCAGCTGGAAGTTCTTGGCGACACTCTCGGCCATCATGCGCGTGATGGTGGAGATCGGACATGGCTGGAACAGGGGGAAGTCTTCTACAACAGAAACACTTCATCACACATTCACATCACACAGATAGCCAAGATACATGTACTTGGTGAAGGAAGTGCTTACTACTAGTGTAGAAGTGCTCCATATGGAAGTTGTAGAGTATTTTGTGTTACGCTGTTGTCGGCAATATTCAAACTTTAACACAACCACATGTTCATAACCAAATACGGGCCAGGATGAATATATGTTTGAAAGGTCACATGCAACGTAAAACACAACTTTGCAGATTCTGATACCTTTCGCATGGACTTACCAAAACAAATCGTCAAAATGCAAATTCAACTTATAAAGTTAAAAATAACGCTGATGAAAAAAAAACGCGCGAAATCGAGTTCAAACGTTTCACTAATTTTCCCCGACTTTTCTGGGGAAAACGGGTTTCAACAGTTGGGCTGCGCCTCATAGCACGTGCACAGTGAAATAGGTTCGCGCAGCTTGGAAGCGGGTTGTCGGGTGAATACTCGGTGAAGGCTTTGGTGTGAGCTTATTTTTCTAATGTTTTGTTGATATCTCACAGGCGAGCTTTTATATGTTATGACATTAAATTAAGTGTTTATATAATTTCATTTGTCTATTTCACCACACGCTCTTCTTACCGAGTCACTTTCTCAGTTCGATACTTAAAAGCAATGTCATTATTTAGCTTGACAGAATTTCTAACTGTGATATAGATATGTCGCTGTCACAGACAAAACTCAATGTCTTGTTTTATTGACACCTGTGTGTCTGCCTGCCTGTCTGACAATATTCAATACACAGCTGCTATCACTGACCACATGCAATTTGAACTTAACACCAATCAGGCTATGCACCATAAACAAAATGCATTGATTTATGGCCCGAGTTTGGTCTCTGTCACATTATGTAATTACACAGACAGGCAGGTGTGATACTTTGTACACATGACATGTTATGATGTCTGTTGATTGCAAAATGTTATACACCAAAATGAGCATGTATTTACAAAACCCAACATCTCTATATATACACACACAATGAGCCGTGGAAGGCATCTGCAAATGAACCATCCGTTACACTTGAGTGCACACCAACCCGCTCTGACTGGGTTCAGTATCCCGCTGCTTCATTTCTAGGGAAGTAAACCGAAGTACACAATTTTGCACTTTTGATTTGCGATTGTACGCTTATAATTTTGTTTATATGTTTTTCATTACCACCACTGTATATTATATGTCATGAATAAGTGATAATTGTGTTTTAATTATGTTTGATTTTTGGTTGCATGTGACCTTTAAGCAAATGTTAACAGACTGGTGAAAATGACACACTTTGTTGTTTAATGCCAATATTCCATCTGTATGATGTCTGTCAGTAAATAACCAAGTCTGGATCAGACAATCCAGTGATTGACATCATGGGTACTGATCTATACGGGTACATGGAACATTGGTACATGACATTCATCAACCAAGTCAGAGAGCCTGACAACTCAATTCAGTTAGTCACCTCTTACCACTAACCTAGGTCTTCACGTGGGATACTTTTGTACAAAGCCAGTTAGCATTACGGTGACCATAACTTCCATATCTAACACAGACTTACAATATCCTTAGCACCAAGGTTGTTTTGTATGACAGAACCCTGGTCGCATAGTGCAACCAACTCAACCTTATTGACCAGCTAGTACAACAAGCATGGGAAGTAGGGGGCCAGATGAGGGACCATACGACTTCAGGAACACACAGTATTATGAAATAAGGTGACACCTGTTCTACCTTCAGACTCCTTGTCCTTGGTTTCCTGGATGCTATTCTGTACAGTCTTCTGGATGCCATCTAGCCAGTCATCATACTTTAGGTCCACCTCTTGCTCCCTGTACACAGCATATGAAATGAGGATGAACAGTGAGTGAGTTAAGATTTAAAGTCACATCGGCAATATTTCAGCCATATCGTGACTAAAACTAGATCTAAATTTATAATACATACATATAATATATAAAACCCTGTCAACGAAGGACAGTAAAACCACTAGATTATCACAGATTGAGTTAAAACTAGCTAGCATATATCTTTAAAAGTAGAAAATTATTTCTGGACAATACAATGTAAAAATGGGCTATAGATCGCCAACAACTGAAGGTAGATCACCATACTAGGGACCATGGGGACTTACAGTACCTTTGATACCTGCATGGACCCTAGTTGGATTTACACCATCCCTTCAGCTGCTGGCGATTGTAGGACAAGTTTAGCCGAAATTTAAAGGAACAAATATACTACGTTTAAAAATCGGGTAGGATGAACAGTGACCTACATGAGACAACACTGCCCTTCCAGGGGGTACAGTATGAACTGCTAGTGCATCAGCAACACATCAGCAACACCATGGCAGGGGAGCTTTGAAAGGACTTTTAAAATAATGCGGAAAGTGGAACAAGGCTGCTTGACAACAGTACATACATAGCACCGGGTTACATCAAGTGTCTAAAATAGCTGCCAAGTCTGTTGTGACAGGTTACATATATTCAAGTTAGTGTACATGTACTCAGTCAAAAAAACTTTTGCTTTGCTGGGAATATTGAGCAATTGTTGTCCTGCCTATTTGTTGTTCATTTTTGTTGTTGAGTGCGGCACTCAGCAATATTCCAGCTATTTGATGGCGTTTCACTTTGCAACTAGTAAAATCTAGATATTTTTATGCCCCCGCCCCATATATGGCTGGGGGCATATAGGGTTACCAACCGTCCGCATCTCCGTCCGTCGTACTTTCCACAGGGAATATACATTTGCTGAATTTCTATGATGATAGTGTAATAGGGATGAAGTCTATCCACTTCTCCACAAAAGCTGCTCAACAGAATTGAATGAACTTCTACATGTCTTCTTCGTAGGGACTCTAAAGGTGTGCATTTCATAATTTTTATGCAATTTCTTAATTTTGTCACTTTAACAGATGTTTTAACTTACTGTAAATGTACTTATTTTCGCTAAGTGGGTAATTTTTCGAATTGACAGTTTAGACTACATCGCTGTCAATTATTCCCGCCAATCAGTAATTGCCGGAACTGCCAGCTGTCTCTTTGGCTCGCAACTAATAGCAGTGAAAACAAACAGAGTGGCTTAACCTGTCAGGGCGTAGCGCTTATTGCTTACTCACAGGAAATCCCTATCTGTGCGATATACTAGTACACAGTAATCCGCTTACTCACGGAAGAGATGAAAACACATCAGTCTTATGTTCGAATTTGACGATCTGATCTAATTAACTCTACTACTGTATATGAAGCTCTTTTGTGATTTCAAACAAGCCAGGTTGTTGTGAATGAGATGATTGAGTGTGAAGTGACTATTCGCTTCATGATGTACTGGTAAATAAAATCTTAATGAATAAATAAAATACTGCTGTATTATTTCTTTCCGAAGTCGCTTCATGGTAATCTGTTTTTGTATCAAACCATCTGTCATGTGACCAATTTCCATGGCGGCCACAACAAACATTGCTGTTTTCGCTAATTCGCGATGGGATTTGGCTCATTATTTAATTATGTTTTGGGAAATACATTACAGCGACAGTTAAGTATGATTCTTTATGCTACTATCAGTCATTTTAAGATTCCCGTAGATTTCTGTCTTCAAACTTGATGTTTATGGTAACAACTCAGGGGCTTAGCGTGCTAGACTGACTGAATGACAGGTTTATTCAAGGGTGTATAAATTTTCGCTAAAATGTTTCTCTTGTGAAAATAAAACCCTGCGCCAAATATAATACGCTTACAGTAGTTGAATTTTGTTCTATTCAGCCTGTTCGTTACATCCAACAGGGGTGTATGTTATCCACTTCTCAAAACTACTTTATGGAATTCATTTAGTTTACACATGTGCTTTATAGGGACTCTAAAGGCGCATCCTCATATTTTTGATTTTGTATTTTATTTATTTTCCTCATTTTAATGCCGTTTGAACTTACATAAACTTTGTTGAATTTCTCTCTGAATATAGTGTTATAGGGGATGAAGTCTATCCACTTCTCCACAAAAGCTGCTCAACAGAATTGATTGAACTTCTACGTGTGTTTCATTGGGACTCTAAAGGTGTGCATCTCATCCAATTTCGTAATTTTGTCACTTCTACAGATGTTTGAACTTAGTTCTATTCATCCTGTTCGTCCCATACAACAGGGGGTGTACTTTATCCACTTCTCCTCAAAAACCACTGCACAAAACTCATTTAGCTTACATATGTCTTTTATAGAGACTCTAAAGGTGTGCACCTCATATTTTGTTTTTGTATTTTATAGTTTTTTGTATGTTTAGAGACATTTGAACTTCGATAAATTTTGTTGAATTTCTCTCTGATGATAGTGAAATAGGATATATTTATTTTATAATCAACCTTGATATTTATTTAGTAGAAATTAATCACCAGAGCACACTCAGTGTAGGGAACTCTTCCTACAGCAGCGGGGGCATCCGTGTCCCTGGACACAATTTTTTCTTGTTTATATTTGTATACTTATCCTGCATTACTCCTTAATGCATTTACTGCTTTCCTTTGACAAGACGAAGCTGTGCGATGGAATCATCGAAGAGAAGTTGTTCCAACTCAGCGAGGCGCCATACTGCCATCGCACTGCGACCACGTGACCCAAAAAGTGCTGACGTCACGTATTTTCACATTATTGCTGGATCGTAACATCTGAAGAAAACCATCATGAGGAGGTAGCACAGCGATGGGCGGGCAACGACACTCAGTAATGCAGGATAAGTACACAAATATAATGAGAATTACTCATGAGAAAAAGAAACCTCTCACATCGCAGGAGATAATCCGTCAGTAGTCGTGGTCGAAGAATCCAAGAGAGGGTGAGGAATGGAAGGCGCCCAGGTAGGATAGCAGTAAAACAGAAGCAAACGCTACAATCTGAAACTGACCTACCGAGCAAATGCAAACATCATGTAACCTGCTCGTCTAGGGTGACATACACCAAGAGAGTCACAAGGCTCGCTCAGGACTGGCGTGGAGTTAATGGTGATCGGGATTGGTAACCTGCTGTGCCACCACCAGGGGACCAAAACTGTGTACGCCCTCTACAACGTCCCTCAAGTAGTGACTGGCGAAAACTGTATCGGATTTCCAAAAGCATCCTTTCATGATGGAGTTAATGGAACAATTACTATGTTGGGCCATCGTGGAGGCTACCGCTCTGATCTCATGAGGGTTGTTAGCCCGCGGAGGGTCCAAGTCGGCAGCTTCATAAGCCTGGAGAATGGTGGCTCGCAACCATAACGCCAACGTGTTACGACTAACTTCAGCTTTGGATGTCTTGGAGACAGGAATAAAGAGCCGTTTCCTTGCACCACGATGAGCCTTAGACTGACAAACAAAACACCAAAGTGCACAAACCGGGCATAAATGAAGTTCTACGTCATCATCAAATCCCACAATCGAAGAGAGAGAGGTGGAATCGTGAAGATCTGTCAGGCTGTCCTGGGAGTTGATTTTTTGCAATGAAGTCCCAGCACAGTCCCAGGTGGACGACTCCATGAAAGGTCCGTTTAAATCGAACACGGGTGACATCGAGAGCATGCAGCACACTCACCCAAGTTGCCGTGGCCAACGCATGGAGAAAAAATCGTCTTCTTTGTGAGGTCGTAAAAATATGTGAGAGGTGGTGAGTCGCTCTGACCTTTTGAAGGGCCCTGGGTAGAAGTACCGGTGGTGGAAAAGCGTATGCGCTAAGGTTTTCCCAAGGAACGCTGACAGCGTCCCCAGCCCACGCTTGTGGATCCGGAACCAGAGATATGTAGGTTCGAATCTTGAAGTTCTGACTGGTGGCAAACAAGTCTTTGTTGGGACGGCCGAGAAGGCAACAAATGATGTCGAATGCCTCCGGGTGTAGCTTCCATTCTGTGGGCGCTATCCTGTCCAGTCTGGAAAGGTCTTCCGCAAGAATGTTTCTGCAACCCAGAATATGCTGGACGATGAACTTCAAGTCCAGGCGATCGACAAGATGAAAAAATCGAAATGCCCAGAGACGACGTCTCCCTCAAATGGGCTCCCCAGCCCTGGAGAGACGACCTCTCCCTCAAATGGGCTCCCCAGCCCCGGAGAGACGCGTCTACGGAACAGGCATAGAGTAGGTGTTAGCACAGTCAAGGAGACGCCTCCTGAGACTTTCGACTCTATCGTCCACCACCATAGGTACATCTTGAGGTGAAACAGTAGTGTGATGGAGACCGACTGATCCTGGTGCCTGATGAATGGGCTAAGAAAATTTGGATCGGACGTAGCTGAAGGCGACCTCTGGTTGTCAAAACCTGAGCTGACGTTAGTAACCCCAGAAGTACTTGCCACTACGAGATTGATGCAGCGCTGGATAAAGATGCTGCAGAATCTTGAGCCAGCGGTCCCTTGTAAAGGATAAGAGCTTCAGAGTGTCTGGAACAATCCCCCTATGAACTGTAGCGTGCAAGAGGGAGTGAGTTCCGACTTCTGCTTGTTGACAATCCATCCCAGCTGATGAAGCAGGCGTCTGGTGAAATCCCTGTGAAAGACAAGAGTTGACGGGTCCTGCTGATTGCGGAGACTGTTGTCGTTGTAAGACTCGAATGGAATGTTCCTCAGGTGTAGATAGGCTGCTATTGGCTTGGCTATTCGTGTGAAAAGCCACAGGGCCGAAGAAATTCCAAACGGGAGTACTGCCCATTGGTAATGGATACCATTGAAAATAAACCTGAGGAAACGCCTGTAGCTGGGGTGGATTGGCACATGCAAATACGCGTCATGCAAGTCGAGACAGGTAGTCGTGAGCGCTGATTCCGGTCCTGAGCAGTCTCAACGTTGTCATTTGGAAGTGAGGCGGGGGTTCCAGATAACGTTCGTTAAACCGAGATAGATTGTGGATCATTCTGAACTTGTCGGTGTCCAAGTCAGCCCCTGCACTATCTCTATGGCTTTCTTGTGTAACAAAATGTTTATATTGTCCAACAAGATGTGATGTTGGTTTGCGGGGGGGAAGTATGACGGCTCGCTTAGTTGGAACAACTTCTCTTTCATGATTCCATCTCACAGCTTCGTCTTGTCAAAGGAAAGCAGTAAATGCATTAAGGAGTAATGCAGGATAAGGTAAAAAATAGATTCAACTCTTGACCATTCAGTCCAGTGATTTATATTGTGAGCAGACAAAGTCACTCACCTGATTCATATAGTCAGATACATGACATAAATCAAATCATATTTGCCTCTTACAGCGAGGGACCTGTATTCCTACCTCCAATACCTGCAGGTCGAATGTTACAAGACATGTGACAAGTGTACGTACGTGTCTGCCAGCATGGAGACGAGAGGAGGGACGATGGGTATCACAGTGTTGCTGAGGCCCTCACAGAGGGGACATAAATATTCCATCTTGTCTATGTCGTAGCTGTAGCTGTGGCGGAAACGTAGAGGCCGCCGCCGCTCCTTGTTCATCACATTGTCAAAGTACCTGGGAATAAATTGCAAAATGTCAAGCAAACAAGTTTTCAAGATTTACTCTCAGTATTTAAAGCTTTATAACAGTGACAAAACATGAGTTGCTAAACCAGTACATACCTATTGTCACATCATCTGGATGACTACAGTGATGTTTATAGAACAATCCCAGTTCGTAAACCTTTTGGATTTGGATCCTAAAACCAGGCTTGTGCCAAGTAAATGCTGTCATACTTTCACTCGGATATAATGCTACATTATTCCAAAGAGTTAAACCTAAGGTGAAGAATTCAAAATGACTGTTTCATTCTGAGTGGGTTTACTGAGATTTCATAAACAGTTTGTCCAATCAGTATCGAGTAATTTCCAATTCAACGTGGAATATTGCATTGGATCCATCAAAATAACAAACAGTCAGGTGAGTTCTCCAAACAAATCAGACTTTGAGGTCATGTGAAAATACATCTTTGTAAACCAACTACTGATGAGTAAGTGAGTGAATCTTGTTTGCAGCCAAATTAAGCAATATACCAGAGAGGTTAACCAGTGACAGTGGCAACAAGATACATGCCCTCAGCACATGACAGCAGGCAATCATCAAAGATATTGATCAACTGATAGCACTTAACAGCTTTTCACAGCCAGGAGCTGGGGATCTAACTAACCCAGGTTCTGACTAATGATCCCAAACAATACTGAAGGGAAAGGGTATTATGTTCCTACCTCTGCCAGCAGTCATGGTGCATCACATGGCCACAGGAGCTGGTGTAGGTGCCGACGAGGAGGTCAGGGAGCATAAACATGGGGTCAAAGTCTTCCTTGTTCTCCGCACTCTTGCCCCGACACTGCGACAACACAGTGGATCTGAAACAGGTTCACACGTCACATGATACGCTAATACACATTACAAGATTCACATGTATACACAGAACTTGTAGTGACAGTACACACGGTACCATTCACCTTTTACTAGACTTTAAGACATTAAAAATCGGCAAAACGATCTGACATCACATTTTCTGACAATTTTTAGGCAGTGAGTATGGTATGGCCAATCTGGGGAAGAAATACAAGAAGTAACACTTCATACACTGTAAGGTAAAGAAGCAGCTGAGGATTGAACAAATATACCACAACATCAGTCTTGACTCGAGAACCCTATTACAGTGCAAAATAAGTGTGAACACCTTTTTTTTAAACATACCTCTGTACAAAAGCCGCAAGGACCATGGCTTTGCCGCTACATGTGACTTCCTGTTCCTCCTGACACAGGATACATGTGGCGTGGATGGGCGCCGTGACGACCGCACTGCTGCGACAGCTGCCCAGGGCTACAGGGAAGCCGACAGGAAGACTCTCACTGGAACAGAGGCGGCCCATGTGACAATTTATGTGTGAGTGAGGGAGCTGACACCTGCATAATGATTTGTGAGTGTTTGACTGTGCGTGTGTGAGACTCTCTCTCTCTCTCTCTCTCTCTGTGAGTGACTGTGTGTGTGAGTGACTGTGTGATACTCTCTCTGTCTCTCTCTGTGAGTGTGAGTGACTGTGTGTCAGAGAGAGTGAGAGAGTGAGTTATATGAATGCATTCATGGGTGGGTTGTGCTAAACGTACTAAGCAATATTTCACTTATATGAAAGGTATGATGTAAACAACCAAGTTTGAACCAGATGATCCAGTGACTGCTATTTATGCAATATTCTAAGATGCTTCAGTGAAAGATCAAAGGCGCCGACAGTACTTTATCAGACGATAATGTGCACTTTTTACATTAAGTCACATTGTAATACCATTCTATTCTGCCCCTCGTAATCGAACAAGTTTGCATTACGTCACAATGTAAAGCGATGTCACGATGCATGTCAGTTGCCATCCCCTCCTACAGTAAACTACTCCGTTGCATCCCGTTTCTTGGTTTGCAGTTGCTTCACCCAGCTAATATCACTGGTGGAAACATTGTGTTTATGGTTTCCGACGTTTTAAATGTCTCAATTTGACTCACAAGTTTTCAGCGACACGGTAACGTTCGCAATGTTTACATTCCCACAATGCAATCCTGGAATGTCGCGTGACTACTCAGCTTCATCTGAATGTACAGATGTAAACTTACTTTGGTAGTAGAAATGCGACGTTCATATTGCCCCATGTGGTTTACGTTAATCACAGATCTAATTAAAGTAATTTAGAGAAGATATTTAATCCGAACGTAAACCGACATCAAACTGTTTATCATTTGTATTTTTGGGAACATTCGTCTTAATGTGGGGGGGGAAAGACAAGGGGGCAAGACACATCAATGGAACAACGCGCCAGTTAGCCCTGTGCGAGGATTCTTAATTTAGGTCACCGACACCGTCGTTTGTTTTCTGCCTTAGATTAATCGTAATTATCCTGAGAAAGTATTAAATTTAGCATCTTAGAAAAGAATACCACCATGTATAGTGTAATAAAGCACACTTTCGCCCTGAACTATTATAGTTAAAGACGCGTGCTTTAGGCTACTACAGTGATGGTCTTGGCTACTACAGTGATGGTCATGAAGTCACGTGTCACTACCAGCACAGTGTGGTAGGAACCCATAGCGTTTGGCTACTACAGTGCGTCATCAACGTGATGGTCATGAAGTCACGTGTCACTACCAGCACAGTGTGGTAGGAACCCATAGCGTTTGCCTACTACAGTGCGTCATCAACGTGATGGTCATGAAGTCACGTGTCACTACCAGCACAGTGTGGTAGGAACCCATAGCATTTGGCTACTACAGTGCGTCATCAACGTGATGGTCATGAAGTCATGTGTCACTACCAGCACAGTGTGGTAGGAACCCATAGCGTTTGGCTACTACAATGCGTCATCAACGTGATGGTCATGAAGTCACGTGTCACTACCAGCACAGTGTGGTAGGAACCCATAGCGTTTGGCTACTACAGTGCGTCATCAACGTGATGGTCATGAAGTCACGTGTCACTACCAGCACAGTGTGGTAGGAACCCATAGCGTTTGGCTACTACAGTGCGTCATCAACGTGATGGTCATGAAGTCACGTGTCACTACCAGCACAGTGTGGTAGGAACCCATAGCGTTTAGCTACTACAGTGCGTCATCAACGTGATGGTCAGGAAGTCACATGTCACTACCAGCACAGTGTGGTAGGAACCCATAGCGTTTGGCTACTACAGTGCGTCATCAACGTGATGGTCAAGAAGTCATGTGTCACTACCAGCACAGTGTGGTAGGAACCCATAGCGTTTGGCTACTACAGTGCGTCATCAACGTGATGGTCATGAAGTCATGTGTCACTACCAGCACAGTTTGGTAGGAACTAAATTCCAGATTCACCAAGTGGACTTTATTTCTGTAGCTGAAGTTTGTGAGGTGAGGTGAAATGAGGTTTAACGTTGAACTTAACAATATTGAGGAAATGTTGCTTTATGCCTTAACATTATCAAAGTAGTCACAGTGATCAGGAATAAAATGTTAAAGAGAATTATATTTCCATGTCATCCCTGTAATGAAACCTAGCATATTCATCCAGCAAAACTAGAGATGTCCAAGTTCACTGCAGGCACAAAAGACTTTTGCGAAAATCACATCCTTATTGTATAGAGCATGTTACACATAGATAAACACATCTAGGGTGGTTTCCCTCAAGACTTTTAAACCATGGCACTTAATAGTGACCATTGGATGACACAAAGAACTTAATGAGATATGATCAAAGTGGTATAATCCCTGTTATCCTTTAATTCCATCCACTTACCTCAGATCCATATCAGAAGTGGCAGCCTTCAGGTCTGTGCTGGTGTTTTCAAACAGATCAGCATTCTCTGCAATAAAGTTCCTCTGCATCTTGGACATCTGAGCCATGACCCTTGCCCTGCGTTTCGCTGCCCGCTCGGCTTTCCTCTTCTTCTCTGCCTCTGTCTTGTGGTCCCGGCCACTGGCGATGTTCCCCAGCGTCCCCACATCCACAGAACTGTCCTTCCGGGTGCAGATCTCGGCAAATTGCTGCACAAAACATTCTGGAATAAGTACCTGCACCAGGGCCATGTATTTATGATGACCATAACCTTCACCCTTGAACATAGGCTTACAACAATCATGGTGATACCATTGCTTGAAAACTGGACACAGAAACTACATCTATCTGGCTTAAGTGAAGCCAATGTCATTTCCCAGGAATGGTCACATTAATTGTCATGAATCTGAGGCAGTTTTCTGGACAAAACACTGATCAGTTCGGCATCCTCAACACTTCACAAGCAAGTATTACATGATAATCTCTTACGGTCACAGCAAGCTTCCTTCAACACAAATTGTAAATGTTTCTATTTCAAGTCATCATTTTTTATCATTTCAAATACCCCCTAGATATTGAAAACACCAAATGTAATAGTAAAATGGGCACATTTGATCACATTTGTATTCTGGGTCACAGTTCATTACTGATCAAAATTACGGAAACAAATTGGAGTGACCACAAGTATCGTTTAATTGAGTGAGTTACTGAATACAGTACTACTCTGCCCTAAAAAAATTTGCAGCTTATCACAACAGAGAATACCAAATATTCTCTTTACGCTTGGTACCCATGTGGCATCCAATAATCAATCAGATTATCTGACACAATGAATATTTAACCACAAGGCTACCCGACTGCCCATTATCTACAGCATCCTACAGATTATGTCCAGTGTGACGCACCTTCAGCATCCAAGTAAGTAGGTCTTTCACCGGATCCTGGCTGACGTTCTGGTTGCCCACCAGGGTCTGCAGCAGCGACAACAAGCCATTGTCTGTAAACACAACAGTAACCTTAAACTTGTGTCACACAACACAGGCCAGTGACACAACAAGCCATTGTCTGTAAACACAACAGTAACCTTAAACTTGTGTCACACAACACAGGCCAGTGTCACAACAAGCCATTGTCTGTAAACACAACACAGTCACCTTAAACTTGTGTCACACAACACAGGCAAGTGTCACAACAAGCCATTGTCTGTAAACACAACACAACAGTCACCTTAAACTTGTGTCACACAACACAGGCCAGTGTCACAACAAGCCGTTGTCTGTAAACACAACAGTAACCTTAAACTTGTGTCACACAACACAGGCCAGTGTCACAACAAGCCATTGTCTGTAAACACAACAGTAACCTTAAACTTGTGTCACACAACACAGGCCAGTGTCACAACAAGCCATTGTCTGTAAACACAACAGTAACCTTAAAGGTCACATGCAACGTAAAACACAACTTTGCAGATTCTGATACCTTTCGGTATGGACTTACCGAAACAAATCATCAAAAATGCAAATTCAAGTTATAAAGTTAAAAAATAACGCGATGAAAAAAACCGCGCGAAATCGGAGTTCAAACGTTTCACTAAATTTCCCCAGACTTTTCTGGGGAAACCGGGTTTCAACAGCTGGGCTGCGCTCATAGCATGTGCGCAGTGAAATAGGTTCGCGCAACTTGGAAGCGGGCTGTCTGGTGAATACTTCGGTGAAGGCTTTGGTGTGAGCTATTTTCATAATGTTTTGTTGATATCTCACAGGCGCGAGCTTTTATATGTTATGACAGTAAATAAACTGTTCATATAATTTCATTTGTCTATTTCACCACACGTTCTTCTTACCGAGTCACTTTCTCAGTTCGATACTTAAAAGCAATGTCATTATTTAGCGTTGACACAATTTCTAACTGTGATATAGATATGTCGTTGTCACAGACAAAACTCAATGTCTTGTTTTATTGACACCTGTGTGTCTGCCTGCCTGTCTGCTAATGACAATATTCAGTACACAACTGCGATCACTGACCACATGCAATTTGAACTTAACACCAATCAGGCTATACACCATAAACAAAACGCATTGATTTATGGCCCGAGTTCGGTCTCTGTCACATTATGTAATTACACAGACAGGCAGGTGTGATACTTGAACACATGACATGTTATGATGTCTGTTGATTGCAAAATGTTATACACAAAAACTGATCATGTATTTACAAAACCCAACATCTCTATATATATACACACAATAAGCCGTGGAGGCAGCATCTGCAAATGAACCAGCCGTTACGCTTGAGTGCACACCCACCCGCTCTGACTGGGTTCGGTATCCCGCCTACTTCATTTCGAGGGAGGTAAACCCAAGTACAAAATATTGCACTTTTGATTTGCGATTATACGCTTATAATTTTGTTCATTTGTTTTTTCATAATCAGCAATGCATATTATATGTCATGAAGAAGTGATAATTGTGTTTTAATTATGTTTGATTTTTTGGTTGCATGTGACCTTTAAACTTGTGTCACACAACACAGGCCAGTGTCACAACAAGCCGTTGTCTGTAAACACAACACAACAGTCACCTTAAACTTGTGTCACACAACACAGGCCAGTGTCACAACAAGCCATTGTCTGTAAACACAACAGTAACCTTAAACTTGTGTCACACAACACAGGCCAGTGTCACAACAAGCCATTGTCTGTAAACACAACAGTAACCTTAAACTTGTGTCACAACAACTGACAAATCACACACACACAGTCCCTTTAAACTTGTGTCACAACAAGCCTGACATTGTCTGTAAACACAACAACAGTAACCTTAAACTTGTGTCACACAACACAGGCCAGTGTCACAACAAGCCATTGTCTGTAAACACAACAGTAACCTTAAACTTGTGTCACACAACACAGGCCAGTGTCACAACAAGCCGTTGTCTGTAAACACAACACAACAGTCACCTTAAACTTGTGTCACACAACACAGGCAACTGACACAACAAGACATTCTCTGCAATTTTGACACGGGTACAAATCTTTTTTGTATAGTCACCATAAACTTGTGTTAAGTTACACTGTCCTGGATAAAACACTTGCATATACTCTGGTTCTTGCACAGATTGGCCAACCGGTTGTGATTATATTTATTAGTGTTCTAATCTTTAGGACATCAGTCAATGTAGAGGTTCTTGAGGTCATTACTGTATCAATCTAACTGTGACAAAACAAAAAGATAGAGTCTTGAAATTACCTTTCACAGCCTTATTGAGGAAATCAAAGCTTGTGTTGTTCATGTCAATTGCTCTGCGCTGCTCATGGAGAGCTATTCCAATGATATATAGAATCTGAAAACAATAAACTACATGTTAAGATGGCTAACTGCGGCAACTGTGGTGGTGTGTGGTCCTGTGCATAGAGCTCAGGTCACAATCAGTTGAATATAAGCAATATTGGGCGTGTATAGTCTGTGGATGGGTGACCAGGTTTGGCAGCTTGACTCATGAGAGTTTCTAGGACTTCAGTCCTGCCCCACAACAAAGTACATGTGATACATGTTGTCTCACCTTAGGCAAGTGAGTTTGTTCAAAATCGCCTCTGTTCACCCAGTAGAAAATGGGTACCCAGTGGGATAAGTCATGTGACTATAACCTTCTAGCGTCTAACAGGCAGCTTTGATTATCCGGGGTAATAATATGCTGGGCTTTGATTGTTAGTGCTATGAACATTCACCTAGTGAATGGAGTTTAGTGCATTATAAATGCACTTATTATTTATTATTAACTAAGGCATAGACTACACATCATTCAACAATCAGTTGTCCTGCAAGGATAATATGTAGAGTAACACTTGACCAGCATTTCATCCTTACCCTCTCAAACTGGGCTTCTGACCATGACCTTGACCTTTGTGCAGCTGTGCGTGTGAGAACAACTCGCATGATATGCAGCATGACGTCACACTGTAGGATGTTGACCAGTGGCTGGAACTGTGAGGTTAAGGACGGAGGTACTGGAGGGGGAAGAGCTGCAACACAAGATGTCATGCTCAGTTTGTGTTTGTAGCTTAACGCCACACTCAACCATATTCCATCTATATGGCGGCGGTCTGTAAATAATCGAGTCTGGACCAGACAATCCAGTGATCAACAGCATGAGCATCGATCTGTGCAATTGGGAACCGATGACATGTGTCAACCAAGTCAGCGAGCCTGACCACCCGATCCTGTTAGTCGCCTTTTTACGACAAGCATGGGTTGCTGAAGACCTATTCTACCCCGGATCTTCACGGGTCTAATTGGGATATGATGACATGTATCCTGTTAGTCGCCTCTTACAACAAGCAGTGGTTTCTGCTGGATCTCCACGGGTCTCAAGCTCAGCAGATTGAAAACAGCATTAGTCACCTTCATTACATGGAGATATTTATAATCTAACTGATAATTCAGAATGGCAGAAACAGCATAACAACTGATTTTAGAATGAGGCAAATAGCGAAAGGACATTTGCATCATTTTATGAAGTTTTGAAAGGACATTCTACAGCACTACTAAACTTGAATAAGAAGTGGGGGTACTTGAGAATACAATCAGTTGATGTCCAAAAATGTGCCATTCTGAAATAACTGTACATATATATATATAACATTAGAAATCCTCCATTTACTTAACTCTTTGACTAATCAATGCTTATTAAACATAGAAAACATAATGTGTCCAGACAGACAAATATTTCCCACTTATTTTTCATAAAGAGTTTAAACAAACTAAACACATGTTCCAAACAAACACACATTAGACAAAATGCAGCATTTTAACACTTTATTTCTTGTTAAAATCACTCGAGTAAATCTGTATCCAAAAGTGGTTTGCCTAAAGAAAACACTGAACATGCCATGTTAGAGGCATGAACAGCAAACCTGACAAGTGGACATCTAGCACTCTCATCTCCCCCAGTACAGGCATCTTAAGTGTGAATTATCAAACACTCTTTGTCCTATGTGAGACTTGCGACTGATAAGAATACAGTCAAATCCTGACGAGTCGAATCGCTGGGGACCAAGTAATAAATTCAACTTATCGATGTATTCGAGACATAGGTATGTCTATGAGGGTAGAAAAAAAAGATGATCCAGTCCTAATTCTTCCGCCTAAGCATTTGTTTATCTAATGATTTCCATATCACTAATAGGGACACCTTATCAGTTCCAGTCTGATAAGCACAGACAGTGATTTCAGTAAAATCACTGATCTGCCTTTTGAACTCACCCATCAGTGGCGGAAAGGTGTGAGCCGCGCTGGTTTGTTAATTGGATCAGTTTGCTACACCAATCAACTTCTCATTGACTGACTTCGGCTTATGTATACAAGATTGCTGTTGTTTGAATCTCATGGGACCAAATTTCCTTCTCGAGTCATCGTGTGTATTTATGAGACGAATTCGTGTAACCGGTATTCAAATGATGACAACTATAACAGGGAATGGTCGGGACCGACAGGTACTTCGAGTTATGCATAATATTCGAGACACCGCATTCGACTCATCGGGATTTGACTGTAATTCATGTTATCAGTAAGTGGACACTCGACAATCCCTGTTTTTATCAAGTGTAAAGTTACAAACCTTGATCCTCATCTTGTTGCTTCTTCCTTTTTCTTTGGGTTTCTTCAGACTGAGGAGGAGGAAAAACAAAGTCAGTTAGAATTCCTGGATTTTTCTTGACACAGGTCAAACAAATCCACACAATGTGCTTGAAATATTCACCTCTCATCTTTAATAGTATCTCACACTCAAACCCCTGACTACAAAAACTGCCTGTAAAGTTGTCAGCGACACTTAAACTGATTAATGTACTGCTGGTTGACTTTAGTCCTCTCAGTTGTGTTACTTGAGAAGATCACTGGAAGCAGTCTATTGGGTACAACTGTCATTTTTTATTTATTGGATGGAATTTAAAAAGACATGAAACATGAAAAAATCCAAAAACATTTAAAAAACCCAAACAGTTGAGCACTTGATTGAATCTGTATATTTTAACAATATTAATATCAGAACTTGGGGTGTATCTTTTCAATGAAAGACCATACCTTGGACTGGTCTGTCTTGGTGTAGTGGTAAAAGTATGGGCAATACTGGCTGTAGAACTCCTCCTTCAACTCATACTTCCCCTTGTCAGTAGAGGACGGCTTCCTGTGGAGCAATACACACACACAATGACAGCGAGTATGGAGCTACAGAACTTGGAGTAGTATTGCATCATGAATTGTGATAATGCATAGAACTGGTCCCAGAGCCCTTAAAACAAATGGTTTGTAGAGGCAGGCAAAGCATGTAAACAAGACTACTTCAACATAACAGAGCCAACATAACATGACAAAAGTGTTGAAATCAATACTCTGGTTGTAACATATGTTATATTTGGGATTACACTTTCTTCATGAAGTACAAATTCTAGTACTTTTGTGGGGTTGAGTCCCATTCGGGATTCGAACCTACACCCTCAGAGTCAGGCACAAAGTCAGCTGCCTAATCCACTCTTCCACGTGGAAGTTGCGGTGGCTAAGTTAGTTAGGCGGCTGTATTTTATTAAGAAAGTGTAATCCCAAATATAACATATGATACATTTGACCACTTTCTAAAATGGCATCGTGTTATCATATTCTGGTTATGTTGGAAAATAAGCACAGTATTGGTACTGAGCTTACAAGGAGCATTTCTCACAGATTCAGACTGTGACTGTCAGTTAACAATCGATAAGTCTGCCTTAACTCATCATGAAATTTATGAGATTCTTGCAGAATTTATAAACATTTTCTGAGGAACACTGAAAGTCTGGCTGCAGAATTCAGCAGGGACAGATCTTACAGCAGTCATGGAATCAGCATACTGATGTCTGAGAGGAGTATCCATGATAAACAGAGACAAAGAATCTCTGCCGGCAGTAGCTCAAACTGGCGTAAGTCACACACAAGGCTATGCATGATGAAATGTAAGTAAAAGAATCCACAACGTCGTGTTAAACCCTATCTTGCTTTACCCATCTACATCATTGGTTTGACTGGCTGGTCAAATGAAGATGGAATCATGCTATCTCAGATAATTACAACAAATGGAAGAAAAGGGTGAAAACATCACCAGGAATAAACGAGGCTGTACACTGCCTGTTCTATCAATCTGAAAGTGAGTTTAGTTTTATGCCACTTTTAGTAATATTCCACTATTACCAAGGGGTAAGGCAAAAGGCTGACTGAGTTTGGTTTTATACGCCGCTTTTAGCAATATTCCAGCAACATCACGGCAGGGGACACCAGAAATGGGCTTCACACATTGTCCCCATGTGGGGATTCGAACCCGGGTCTTCGGCGTGACGAGCCAACACTTTAACCATTAGGCTACCCAACCGCCCTGGTAAGGCAAAAGAAAAGGGCTTCAAACAATGTAGCCATGTAGGGAACTGAACCCTGGCTTTGACGTGGTAAGTGAACACTTTAACCACAAGGCTACACTACATCCCCTTTTTCAAACTGAAACAGGACTTGTCCCCTACCTGAAGTTGGCAACCTCGCTGACAACATCTTCAACACCTGTCTCATTGTTGTGCTGTAAATATATATCACACAGTCATCTAGGATGGCAAAACATAACACCAATAAAACCATCTAGGTCCTGATGGCAAAACACTATACCTCAGAAACATTCTAGATCACTGAATGTAAACAATCAAAAGGTTAGGTGTCAAATATCAGCTGATGCTACTTGATAAAATCATTTAAGTTTGCTTCTATAGTCCTACCAGTATAAACATAGAGGCCTCAAAACCTCTACTACTTCTACAATCATCCATTATTTCATCATGTTAATAACTTTCCGAGTAAAATCTGTTGACTGATGCCTGCGGCAAGCAGCAAATATCTTCATGACCTTATTTTCTTCCAAACTGCTATTACTTATTATCAGGCTTGTGCATTCATCACATTCATTTCATATTTTGTAAAGGATATTATTCTTCATATGCGTCATTCAATCAGTATAACGTGCAAGATGTATACACTCACATCTTCTGGTAATGCCTTGACAAGTTCACTATGGGCCATCGGTGCTATACACAACTGATGGATTATCTCCCTTTTCACTACATCCTGCTGAGTGATCTCCCCTATGCCAGGCACATAGCGCTCCTCTGTGGACAGAAACCAAACGTATGTGAGGACCGATAATGACATGAGGCAAGTTAAATCCAACAGGACAGGCCAACTCAACACAGAATCCCTCCACTCACAATTAAGAACTGACTCCATTACAATCATACACTCACCACATACTGACCCATAGATGTCTGGGCCTAGATTTTCGTAGTTCTCTTAGCGCTAAGATAGTCGTAAGTTAATGTTAATGTATGTCACTTACGACTATCTTACTCTTAGCTCTAAGAGAGCTTCGAAAATCTAGGCCCTGGGCTGGAGTTGGTCTCCGGCAAACTCAAAAGCGGACCGATGAATTGCAATCTAACTCGAAAACTAATAAACATAAAATACTCAATGAAACGCTGATCATAATCAAAACATCATACCCACTCTGTGAGGGTTTTGCAGAATTTTTGTCCTAAAAATAAAAAAGTTGTTTAACAATCTATCATTAAAATATTGACACAGTTCACTATTTGTTACGAGGGAGGAGTGCAGAGAAAGAGACAGCCAGGTGTTCGAGAACGGATGGAGACGGCACAGCACAGGTTAATGAATAAATAACTTTGTCTGTGAACGTGCTTCTCGCACACCTGGCTGTCCCTTTCTCTGCACTCCTCCCTCGCAACAAACAGTGAACTGTGTCAATATTTTTATGAAAGTTTCTTAAAGAACTTTTTTATTTTTAGGACAAACATTCTGCAAAACACTTACAGCTGGAGTATTGCGGAATGTGGCATTAACCATGAAATACTAAGAATAGATATAGACAATTCGTCTCAAATGGACATCGTAATGATAATCTAGAGCTGAACCTCTGACATTCAGTAAATGCTGGAAGCACTATGCCAGCCAGCAGCTGTAGCGACTCACCCAGGACGATGATGAGGAGGTTGAGGAACTCCTCCGCTAGCATGACTGTCTGCCGTACAGAGTCCTCCTGCCCACCCGGGACATCATACTCAGGTCTACAAGGGGAAGCACCTCATGTTAGCACAGGACATGCATTTCCAACATATACAACTCCCGGGAATTAATTCAAGATTTAATCATTAAATTTTTCAAAATCATTCAAAATGTCAAATTCATAGACTTGGAAAAAAGCTGGAATAACTTGTTGCCAACTTACGTATCTCCAATGATCTACTGGATCTTCGATGCTGTCAGATTCTGGCTTCTTAATATTCACATTTCCTGTTGCACTTAAACGGTCAGGTTCAGCCACAAGGTCTTTCTCACAAACTGATTGTGTCAGAAGATTTATCTAAGATTCTACAGATCCATTCAAACTAGTTCCAATCAAAACTTTGCTTTCAGTACAATAGAGTAAAACTAATGTCGGCAGTATTGATCCTTCTATCAGTGACATACAAGTTACCTCGACACAGTCTTACCATTGGACATAACTTTTTTAACATGACGTAGGCCATTTGTAATGCCAATCTGGAAAACTAGCCCAAATAATCATGTTGCTTTACCACAATGTAAGTCAGAGTTCAACAATCTGCCTGTATTACCTGGCCCAGTGGAGTAGATTGAACTTATGCAGGAGAGACACAATGAAGTCGTCCGGGTTCATCTGTGAAGCACCAATCTACAACAAACACATTGGGACAGGTTGGCTTGTAGCAAATAGGATGTAACACATCATGGATGAGGAAACATAATTCTTTGGTTCTAATACACACACTGCTATAAAGATCCTCAGAGGGTTTTCTGACAAATGGAGTCGTCCAGTGTCCTGACACATGAATGGGTCCAGTGTCCTGACAAATGGGGCCCAGTGTCCTGACAAATGGGGTCCAGTGTCCTGACAAATGGGGTCCAGTGTCCTGACACATGGGGCCCAGTGTCCTGACAAATGGGGTCCAGTGTCCTGACACATGGGGTCCAGTGTCCTGACACATGGGGCCCAGTGTCCTGACACATGTGGGTCCAGTGTACTGACACATGAGGCCCAGTGTCCTGACAAATGGGGTCCAGTGTCCTGACACATTGGGTCCAGTGTACTGACAAATGGGGTCCAGTGTCCTGACACATGTGGGTCCAGTGTACTGACACATGAGGCCCAGTGTCCTGACACATGTGGGTCCAGTGTACTGACACATGAGGCCCAGTGTCCTGACAAATGGGGTCCAGTGTCCTGACACATTGGGTCCAGTGTCCTGACACATGAGGCCCAGTGTCCTGACAAATGGGGTCCAGTGTCCTGACACATGGGGTCCAGTGTCCTGACACATGGGGCCCAGTGTCCTGACAAATGGAGTCCAGTGTCCTGACAAATGGGGTCCAGTGTCCTGACAAATGGGGTCCAGTGTCCTGACAAATGGGGTCCAGTGTCCTGACAAATGGGGTCCAGTGTCCTGACACATGGGGTCCAGTGTCCTGACACATGGGGCCCAGTGTCCTGACAAATGGGGTCCAGTGTCCTGACACATGGGGTCCAGTGTCCTGACACATGGGGCCCAGTGTCCTGACAAATGGGGTCCAGTGTCCTGACAAATGGGGTCCAGTGTCCTGACACATGGGGTCCAGTGTCCTGACACATGGGGCCCAGTGTCCTGACACATGGGGTCCAGTGTCCTGACACATGGGGTCCAGTGTCCTGACAAATGGGGTCCAGTGTCCTGACACATGTGGGTCCAGTGTACTGACACATGAGGCCCAGTGTCCTGACACATGTGGGTCCAGTGTACTGACACATGAGGCCCAGTGTCCTGACACATGAGGCCCAGTGTCCTGACAAATGGGGTCCAGTGTCCTGACACATGTGGGTCCAGTGTACTGACACATGAGGTCCAGTGTCCTGACACATGTGGGTCCAGTGTACTGACACATGTGGGTCCAGTGTACTGACACATGAGGCCCAGTGTCCTGACAAATGGAGTCCAGTGTCCTGACAAATGGGGTCCAGTGTCCTGACAAATGGGGTCCAGTGTCCTGACAAATGGGGTCCAGTGTCCTGACACATGGGGTCCAGTGTCCTGACACATGGGGCCCAGTGTCCTGACAAATGGGGTCCAGTGTCCTGACACATTGGGTCCAGTGTCCTGACACATGAGGCCCAGTGTCCTGACAAAATGGGGTCCAGTGTCCTGACACATTGGGTCCAGTGTCCTGACAAATGGGGTCCAGTGTCCTGACACATGGGGTCCAGTGTCCTGACACATGGGGCCCAGTGTCCTGACACATGGGGTCCAGTGTCCTGACACATGGGGTCCAGTGTCCTGACAAATGGGGTCCAGTGTCCTGACACATGGGGTCCAGTGTCCTGACACATGGGGCCCAGTGTCCTGACACATGGGGTCCAGTGTCCTGACACATGGGGCCCAGTGTCCTGACACATGGGGTCCAGTGTCCTGACACATGGGGCCCAGTGTCCTGACAAATGGGGTCCAGTGTCCTGACACATGGGGTCCAGTGTCCTGACAAATGGGGTCCAGTGTCCTGACACATGGGGTCCAGTGTCCTGACACATGGGGCCAGTGTCCTGACACATGGGGTCCAGTGTCCTGACAAATGGGGCCCAGTGTCCTGACACATGGGGTCCAGGGTCCTGACACATGGGGCCCAGTGTCCTGCACAAAGTTGTAGTTTCCTGACTAATGCTGTGTAGTTTCCTGACTACCTGGGTCTGGTTTCCTGAACAATAAGATCCAGTTTCCACACTACCAGGATCTACACTAACAAGGTTTCAGTGTTCAGGAGTCAACTAGTTTCACTATAGCTGTTTGGGTCTACTGCCTATTTCCTTGGCAGATCAGTATGTGTCATTTTCTCATTCTCACCTGAAGCATTGCTATATCCCTGTCATACATCTCACCACGACATCGCACATTATGATAAAAGAAAATCTGAAAGAAAAACACAAGCAAATATTAATCTAATGGAATCAACACATTCATCTGGTTGCAATGTTGCTACATCAAGACACATCAATGGACTCCTGGTATGAGTTCTGCGTGCCCTACAGTGAGTGACCAGAGCTTCACCTGAATCAGCAGTTTCCTCCAGCTGTGCAACTCCTGCCTCACAATCCAGCACAGTGAGGACTCTGCATTGCATCACTGACACAAGTTCATTTGCATATCACATGACCAGACTTTTTTTCTGATTATATATAAACAAACACTCTCATACTAAAATCAGTTATCATTTTACAGTGATCTAGAATACTAGGTTTACGGAAAGGAACTCTAGGCAGGAGAGTGTCAGCCATTACCTGATTCAGTAGAGCGAATCCGTTCCTCCTCCACATCCCCGCCTGTGTCTGGGCTATCATCACCTGAGTTCGCAGCGGAGCTTCCATCAGCTCCATCGGCTCCAGACGTTTCTACAAGAGTAGTTCAACATGTGACACAGACACTGAAGTGTAAATATAGCCATTTACTTCAGGCAACTGTTCTAAAATAAATTTTGCAAAATATTCCATACTGATTAAAGGTACTGCTTACACATGAACTGATGTATTGTAAAACAAGCAGTTGACACTAAGGTGACATAATCCCCTGCCGCAAATTATCAAATCCAACTTGAAGAGTAATTTAAGTGAAGGTCGCAGGTTAAGATGAAGTTAAATGTCAACAAAAACATGACCAGTCAACCTCTCTTGATATCTTGCTCTGCTCTGTAGCTGTTCAAACACACAAATATTTTCAATACTGACTTTGACCTTGCCATGAATGTCATGGTGTATGAAATATGCAAACAAAGGTAATAGATAAACTGCTTATCAAAAAACATTCAAGAGAAGTCTTGAAAGTCTACAAAGAAGAAATCCAGAGAACCGTTCTTGAGATATCTTGCCGACAATCTTAACATACTGAAATCTTCAAAGTGTCGCCAAGACCTTGAAAATTAAGTGAAGGTCACCAAACTCAACTGAGCCCTGCACCTTCCCTCTATGAAGCCTGGTGTCAAATATGATGAAAATCCAGTGATCGGTACTTGAGGTATCTCGCTGACAAGCCTAACATGCAGGTTAACATGCTGAAATCTTCAAAGTATCGCTGTGACCTTGACAATTTAGTGAAGGTCACCAAAATCAACTGGGCCCTGCGCCTTCCTTATATGAAGCCTGGTGTCAAACATGAAGAAAATCCAGTTATTGATTCTTGAGCTAACTCGCTGACACGCTTAACATGCAGGTTAACATGCTGAAATCTTCAAAGTGTCGCTGTGATCTTGCAAATTTCGTGATGGTCACCAACATCTACTGGGCCCTGCACCTTTGCCAATATGAAGCTTAGTGTCAAACATGAAGAAAATCCAGGGAACAGTTCTTGAGATATCTCGCTGACAAGAGTAAAATGGTTAAAGTCCCCTTGTGACCTTGAAATGAAGGTAAAGGTCACCAAACCTGACTGGGACCTTTCTTATGCTGTGATGAACCTAAGTACCAAGTAGGAAAAGAATCCAGTCAATGGTTCTTAAGAGATTCGTACGTACGTATGGACGGCGCCAAATACTATAACGGGTTACGTGCTAAACAGGTTACGTGCGGCAGGGGATAACAAATTTGTGACGTTGAAAAAGATTATTGAGTTCAATAAATTATAAAAATCAGTGAAAATTGGCGAATTCTTCACAAAAATTTACACCAAAATGCAGCTGTACAATGCTTTTCAGCAATTTGATGCATGATCCTCGTGCAATTGTTCTGCAAAAGGTTTGCTCATGGTAAAAAAGGGCATTAACTCTCCCTTGACAGACATGAAGGCAGTCCTGTGATTGTAATTTATTCCACCCCAGACCATGACACTCCCACCACCCAAAGGTCTGTCTGAGCCACACACTCATCAGCATAACGTTCACCACGTCTACGCCAAACACGTAATCGGCCGTCAGCAGTACGTAGATGAAGACGTGACTTATCAGTGACTACCACACCATGCCATTGTTGTAACCTTTACTGAAAATGCCTGCTAGCCCATTGCATACACTCATTATGGTGTCTGTCAGTCAGAATTGGTCTAACTTAAGGACGTCGAGCATGGAGCCCTGTAGGGTGTAGACGGCATTGCATGGAGTCAGCGCTGATGACCCCTACGTCAACCTTGAACTAGTGCAGCAGTCCTGGCACTCAGCAGTGTTCAATCACTGATATGGACAAGGTTAATATGGCGATCCTCATGGAGCGTCGTAACACATTGTTGCCATGGTCATTGAAGGTCACGGGTGCTGCCTGTCTACTGATGTCGTCTATGAAGCCTAACGATGGTGGAGTGGCCAAGTCCAAGTTGTTGAGCAATACCTGAATCATGCCTAGTGCACGTTCTCTTTCGTGAGGTGTTAACCTCGGCATCTCTGTCCTTGTTTCACAATCGTTAGTGAAGCAATGAGAATCGGTTCTCATTTACACCTGCTTTTAATGTCACAGTCAGTATGATTTCAGAATGAATTTCACGTTTTTTTATGGCGTGGCTGCATGTTGATGCATTTTGGAATTAAGAGTCATACTGTGGACAGGAAGTTATTTCTAAAGCATTTTTTCAACTGGACATGCCCTTCGACTTCATGTTAGTTATATTCATTGATCATTGTCATGCTCAAATCCATCTTGATGAAAATATGGACAAGTTTAGACTGGTGCGTTTTCAATGATGTTCAGTATATATACATAACATATAGTGAGTGTTTTAAGTGAGTCTGAACTTTAGAAAGGAAGTATAGTAAGCCCTTACCTTTGTACTAAGCTCTGGAGCGTTGAATGAAAGTCCAAACTTGCCAAGGTGTAAGTGCAAAGCTGAAAAAAGAAGATAATTTCTTCTGAAAATGTTCCAGTAAATGTGAGAACCTCTATATTTATTCTGCCTTGTGCTAGGGAACATAACATCTTTTTTAGCTCCCACCATGTTTCTGGAAAAAGTGAACTGTAGCTAAATATACAGCATGTCATCAACAGTCTGTCCCTAAAGGAGTCGATCCCATGTCATATACTCGGTGCCCAAGAGTTCACATGAGTCAAGGTAACAGGGTGAAAGTAAATTCTCTAGATCCTCTACCATCAGTAGTTTATTAAGGGCTCACTGATATTGACATCTAAAAGCCAAAAATCAATCCCCTAGTACTATTATCTTCTCTTTCAAAATAAAAAAAACACCCAACAGCATATCATTGCTGAATCTCAAAACAAACTAAACAGTTGATCACTGATGCATCGACGCTGAGAGATGTTCCTACCTGACAGGAACCTTGTGAGGGGTAGATGTATAGACGTGGGCTGACTCGACACATCATACTTGACACATTTGGTGTTGTAGCCAGCAGCTGGAAGGACACACAGGGGTTCATACAAAGATACAGTCCACACACCACAATCATATATTGCTAGCCACTGATGACACACAAAGATACAGTCCACTGTTCATACAAAGATACAGTCCACACACCACAATCATATATTGAGTGAGTGGAGTGAGTTTGGTTTTGATGACACACAGCTTTTAGCAATATTCCAGCAACATCATTGCTAGCCACTGATGACACACAGGTGTTCAGAAATGGGCAGTTCACACACAATCATGTACCCATGTGATGATTCAAACCCATACAAAGATACAGTCCACACACCACAATCATATATTGCTAGCCACCGATGACACACAGGTGTTCATACAAGGATACAGTCCACACACCACAATCATATATTGCTAGCCACTGATGACACACAACTGTTCTTACACTGACAGAATTGAAGCTATATCATGGATCATGTGTTGACCACACGAACCACTGCTTGCAACAAATGCAGGGCCTATCCACCTGGGCCTCGTTCCACAAAGTGATAGAAGATGATCGCAACTCCCATACTTTAACACAGACTTACGAAGGTCGTGATGCGATCGAGATCGCTTTGAGGAACGGGGCCCTGGTCATGATGAAAAACACTCAGATATTGTGCCAATGTTATCTATAGATTGACACATTCTTACGACAAGCATTGGGACATTGGCATCTATTCTGCCCTGGAAATGTGTGGAATACCCCAGTGGGAAAGATGACATGTGATCAAGATTTACTGGCACTGACGCTGAAGCAATCCCTGTTGTGACCTGTTGGAAAACACAAGGCCTGAAACAGGTAAGATTTCACTACTAGTTCCCTGTAAACACAAAGTGTGGGAATCAGAGGACTGGTCTTACCCTCGCACTTCTCCCGTTTCGCTGAGTCCCTACACTGGTACAGAGCCTCTAGTGTTTCCTTATATGCTACTGTCAGAATATGTTTCTGAAATCAAAATTATTTCTGTTTGTACCATCAGCAGAACAGATTGTATTCTCCAGACAACACATTACAAGCATGACACAGCCGGGATTACTTTCTCCAACTTTGCACAAAGTTCACATTCTAGGGATGAGTGAAAACAACTGGAAGTATGATTTCCAAATTAAATTGCTCTTACAATTCCACATACACATGGTAAAGGAAATCATGAACAGTCAAACAAGGACATTATTTACTAATAACTTCTTTTACACCTTATTCAAAGGAGATTTTACTCAAAGTATGATATCCATATCTCACTGGAAAAAAATATTTGTTTATGGAGACAAAAGTAATGCTGGAACAATATAACAAACTCAGATTGTTTTAACAAATATTTACAAACTAAAGTTTGGGAAACAGCATTAAAAATGCTTTAGACAAATATCTTGATCTGCAATAGAGAGGAATGGGCAGTTTAGTTGTCTATAAATGTGTGTTCAGAGTTGTGTCCCTTAGTTTTGCCAGGATCCATTTCTGTTGACTTTGATGAGTCACTTGGGGGTCTCCTTTCACAATATACTGACACTCTATGACTGGACTATTAAACTCAGGCTGGTAAAAACCAAACAAGCCTATTTCAGACTTGGGCAGAATGAAAGTATCTCGATATTAGAGTTCTGTCAAAGTATACTCACATCCTCAGCACACCAGCTGGCAAACAGTTTGAGATCATCCTCCAGCTTCAGCTGCAGATTAAAGGCCCCCTCCCACTCCGGCTCGAACTCCAGGTGCTGTCCAGTCTGTCTCGTCACAGCATCCATCCCCTGTCACACAAAACACATTCAAGTCTTAACATATTAGGCACTGGGAATTCTCATTATACTATAGGTGAGGTGAAATTGGGTTTATCGTCGTGCTTGAGAATATTTCGCTCATATGACGACGCATGCATGCACAGCATCCTGCTTGTATCCCAGACTGAAGCTGGTTTTATAGTGCACCCACTGAGATACCATGCACATTGAATAAGTCAGACACATTATACTGACTCCGACTGACACCAGTCCTTGTTGTACCCATTAATGCGCAGACAGGGACCAACAAGTACTCATATTTTAACGTCTTTTTGGTATGACGCTGTCGATCGAACCGCGGACCTTCCGCTTTCCGGCGGAACAACCACTACACCCTGGAGGTGGTCATTATACTATAACAAGGATCACATGATTGTGCATGATCAGGTGTTGAGTTTCAGCAACAAAAAACGTCTGAATCAAATGCTTGTGAATCAGTCAAAGAATATATGTGGAATGTCATGGCACTACAGTCTCCTGTCTCATGATACATTGTTATCGATACAGATTGTATCACTAAACTCATTTCACAACAAATTTAAGCGGATATTTTTATTTCAAAGGCCTTAAACAATAATAATAAAGTTTCCTGAATGTCTAGTCTCATCTTATTCAATAATGTTTTGTAGAGAAAAACAGCAGTGTCAACAAAACTTCGAAAAAGACTACAACAGAGGCTTTTCATAACCAAAGGTTAGAACATCATATAATCAGGATCATTTACTTGTTCTCCAAATGAACGTGTTCGAATCAATTTATGCCCAGAGTGGCCCTTCCCACAGTGACCCCTGAGTTTTCATGCCTTGTTAACGACCCTTCCCAGAGTGACCCCTGAGTTTTCATGCCTTGTTAACGACCCTTCCCAGAGTGGCCCCTGAGTTTTCATGCCTTGTTAACGACCCTTCCCACAGTGGCCCCTGAGTTTTCATGCCTTGTTAACGACCCTTCCCACAGTGGCCCCTGAGTTTTCACGCCTTGTTAACGACCCTTCCCAGAGTGGCCCCTGAGTTTTCATGCCTTGTTAACGACCCTTCCCACAGTGGCCCCTGAGTTTTCATGCCTTGTTAAAGACCCTTCCCAGAGTGGCCCTGAGTTTTCACGCCTTGTTAACGACCCTTCCCAGAGTGGCCCCTGAGTTTTCATGCCTTGTTAACGACCCTTCCCAGAGTGGCCCCTGAGTTTTCATGCCCTTGTTAACGACCCTTCCCACAGTGGCCCCTGAGTTTTCACGCCTTGTTAACGACCCTTCCCACAGTGGCCCTGAGTTTTCATGCCTTGTTAACGACCCTTCCCACAGTGGCCCCTGAGTTTTCATGCCTTGTTAACGACCCTTCCCAGAGTGGCCCTGAGTTTTCATGCCTTGTTAACGACCCTTCCCACAGTGGCCCCTGAGTTTTCACGCCTTGTTAACGACCCTCCCTACAGTGGCCCCTGAGTTTTCACGCCTTGTTAACGACCCTTCCCACAGTGGCCCCTGAGTTTTCACGCCTTGTTAACGACCCTTCCCACAGTGGCCCCTGAGTTTTCATGCCTTGTCAACGACCCTTCCCACAGTGGTCCATGAGTTTTCATGCCTTGTTAACGACCCTTCCCACAGTGGCCCCTGAGTTTTCATGCCTTGTTAACGACCCTTCCCACAGTGGCCCCTGAGTTTTCCTTGTCAGTTTTCCTACAGTGGCCCTGAGTTTTCATGCCTTGTCAACGACCCTTCCCACAGTGGCCCCTGAGTTTTCACGCCTTGTTAACGACCCTTCCCACAGTGGCCCCTGAGTTTTCATGCCTTGTTAACGACCCTTCCCAGAATGGCCCTGAGTTTTCCGCAGACCCTTCCCAGAGTGGCCCCTGAGTTTTCATGCCTTGTTAACGACCCTTCCCACAGTGGCCCCTGAGTTTTCACACCTTGTTAACGACCCTTCCCAGAGTGGCCCCTGAGTTTTCACGCCTTGTTAACGACCCTTCCCAGAGTGGCCCCTGAGTTTTCACACCTTGGTAACGACCCTTCCTAGAGTGGCCCCTGAGTTTTCACGCCTTGTTAACGACCCTTCCCAGAGTGGCCCCAGAACACTTAAGTGTTCCCACACTGGCCTCTCTTAATCCAATCAGCTTAATTACCAGCAGTGCAAAAAATCTTGGGGCAGGTCTTGAAGGTACCATGGAAATGGTATTGCTCTTGCACAGCCATTGCAGGTTATCAACAGTAGCAAAACAAGAATGCTACTACTTCAGAAAGTCATCACCAGAAAAAGGTCTCTGTCCATTCACCATCTAGCTGGATATCTTCACCATCTAGCTGGATATCTGTTGCTGCTTGCTGTATCTGTGGAACTTTCTTATCACATTGTCTGTACAAACTCGACTTCACACTGTGAAAGAGCTTAAGATTTGTAGCAACTTCTAGTGGTGTTGCATCTGCTGAACCTGTGGCCCCGGAATTTGGTTGTTACGTAATAGACAGGGCGGGCCACTCTGGGAATACACCGTTCGAATCGATGATACAGGATCTAAATCAGGTCGATGTGAATTGTTTATTGTATCATGTAAGAATATTACTGATACCCTGATGTATTGCTGTCTATATTCCCTATTGACTGACAGCGATTAGTGTTCCAAATGTGAAGATCAGTTGCCCTGATTTAACATTCTGCTGCAGAAGAAGAATAGAGCATCAACCTGAATTGTAAGTTTCTCTCACTATAACTGACTGACTAAGTTTGGTTTTACGCTGCTTTAAGCAATATTCCAGCAACATCACGGCGGGGGACACCAGAAATGGGCTTCACACATTGTACCCATGTGGAGATTCGAACCCAGGTCTTCGGCGTGACAAGCGAAGACTTTAACCACTAGGCTACCCCACCACCCCCTCTCTATAAAACTTGTCACAAAGGTCAATACATCTTACCTGCATAATCTTTAACAAGTCCAGCAAGGCCACCACTCCATTGAGAAAGTTTGTGCGTAGTCCATCTGACCATTCTTCAGGACTGGTTGGCTTCGCAAGGAGTGCATATCTGGATAAAACAATGTCAGTGTAATGGAAGGGTCTCATCTGCACTGCCGTAACACTGTCAGTACATCCAGGACTGCTCCAACTACAACGTGTTGCAGAGTGGCCCAGTCATTTAAACTACTGAAAATCGTGGTGCAGGAACCTATGATTGTGGGTACATATTCAGGATGAACGGTAATATATTTCTGGGTCAGCAAGAAACTCATGCTTCATGATTTCACCAAAGTCACAAAGCTCTAATACTGGCATCACTGACTGACTGACTGAGTATGGTTTTACGCCGCTTTTAGCAATATTCCAGCAACATCACAGCGGGGGACACCAGAAATGGGCTTCACACATTGTACCCATGTGGGGATTCGAACCCGGGTCTTCGGCGTGACGAGCCAACGCTTTAACCACTAGGCTACCCCACCGTCCCTGGCATCACTGAGCCATCTTACTGTTACAAAACTGGAATAATGTCCAAAGTAGAGTTAAAAATTCATTTCGCTCACTCTGACTCTGAAATACTAGTTGAACTTTCTACAGATAACGGTAGTCCTCTATCAAATACCCAAAGCAAGTTTTCCATCATGGTGTTATTTGTTACCATTAATCCTAAGGTTTTGTCCAGTAGAACTTGAATATAGTTTCCCCATAATCTTTAACTTGTAACACTGTGTTCATTACAAGATCCTCTTGACTTTATTAATGAATTAATATTTTACTGTCACAATGTCCAGTCTAATCAATCTGACCTCGACTGACCCAACTTACTTGAGATCATACAGCATGTACCATGCCCTCTTATATACTGGATTGCGATCATTCCGGTCAAAACAAAGTTTACCATCTTCTGAAAAGGAGACACAAATGAACACCTTCAGAATAAAATATCATGATTATAATAACACTACACACTTTAAATAAAGTTAAAAAATTCACTATAGTAAAACAATGTAATTTTTATGATAATTTTTTTATTTTCATACTTATCCTGACTCATGATTATTGCTTATCTCCCTTCTCCTTCGACGGTCAAGTGGAAACCTTGAATCCTATTCAAATTCACTGAAGTGTCCGTACAATCACTCACCCTGAGTTACCTCCCTTATTCCTGCCAAAACTGGTCCCACGTGACCTGAGACTAGCTCTTATCATTCTCTCCTTTATCGCCCTTGCGACGGTCGGGCCGTCCTTACGGGTCCTATTTGCGGCAGATATCCTTTCATTTCGGCCTTATATTATAAATTTGTGGCTGCAGATTGTATTTAGATCCATATCAGATGTATCTAATAATAAATAAGTAGACTGACTTACTGTTTTTCTTGTTTTCACAAGGCCTGAGAAATGACTTTAGAATGACACTGAGTAGATCATACTCCACGATGAGGGACCGAGCCTGCAATATGGAGGTAAATGGTCAAGTTCACATACAACATGCAGCAAGGAACAGTTAGGATGACCATCTACTCATGGTCAGCTGGTTATACACGGGTTAACAGGAGATTCGGGACAAATATACTACCCATCAAAAGTTTAGACTCACTAGTGTAAATGTAGCCATTTACTTCAGTCAACTGTTCTAAACTAGATTTTGCAAAATATTCCATACTGTTTAAAGGTACAGTTTACACATGAACTGATATATTGTAAAACAAATTTGTAACGTTGAAAAGATTATTGTCATGAGTTCAATAAATGATGAAACTCAGTGATAATTGGCGAATTCTTAACAAAACTTTACACCAAAACGCAGCTGTTCACATGCACGATATTTGCACATGATTTTCAGCAATTTGATGCATGATCCTCATGCATTTCATCTGCATAAGGTTTACAGTTGGTTCCCCCAAGTTAGGGGAGAAATTCATCTTCGCTGTAACCACATATGTATACATAACATATAGTGAGTGCTTTAAGTGAGTCTAAACTTTTGATGGGTAGTATAGGGTGCTTCACAGTGTCACAAATATAGTCAAACATTTCAATTGTATCAATATTAAAAATAATTACAAATTTTGACAAAACTATCAATACATTTCAGATTTCATGTTTAAATATTCATGAAAATAATCAGTCACTACATTTTGAATTAAATAGCATAATTCAATAAAAACAGATGCCAAAATGTCTTAGGCATAAACTCGTTTCCAAAAAATGGAAGATCAAATGGAAAAGACTGTCTGTGTATCTGAACCACTGCTCTTCTAAAAAATGTACAACCTAAAATGTTGAAATAAGAAACATAAACCTCGAACATGTAAAAAAACGTGTGCCTTGTACACATGAACTGATAATAACAATAAAATATGACAAGTTTATGGAATTTTGTGCCATTAACATACTTAAAACATCTTATTAGACCTGAAAGGTGAATAGTAAGTTACGTTTGATGTTTTTAAAAATGAACATTAACAAACATTATTTTGATAAAAAATGAAATGAAGGACAATTCAGAACCAAATGTATGTTGAAAGTATTAGTACAAATGTAATCAACACAAACCTGCAATTCCAGATTGTAGATATCATGTCAGAGGTGACAATAAAGCGACATACGTACAGTGAAATCTTGTGAACTCAGTGCTGTTTGGATACCTAGTATTTATGGAATATTACAAGAAGCAGATTACAATCAGGACATACAGGTAAAACACAAACTACACAATGGTGTATGAGTTCTTGTATGATGCACAGCAAAAACTAATGTTAACAAATCCTTGAAAATCAGAAGTAGCCTCAACAGTCTTGTCTTCTCTTCAAAACAACAAGCCTTAATCAGTTAATGTACCACCATCTACTTACAGTCAAAACAGGGCATTACTTTCAGTCCTTGACCTTATTCAAGACAAATTCTTAAGATTCAACCATTTCCCCATGCTTGGGGAATTGTACCATTAAAGGTATTGTGCAATGAATGACACAACATTCCAAATATCTTCAGAGATGACCTTGACCTTTGATGGACATTAGACTCAGCAGGACCTTCACCTTTGTCTTATTTTGACCTAAACTCTTTCAGTGCCCCATCCTAAAGATCGTACATACTAAATTTATTGATACATGCATTAAAATTTTAAGAACACCAAGGTTTTGAGTGACATTTTGCTATTACGTGACCCAACAATTTCATGGGTGTGCAAATACTAGGGCTGCGCAATATAACCGGTTTACCGGTATTTACCGGTTCAGACATGAAAACGATACGTATTGCGATACGCTGATCGAAAAACGGTATTTTGACATGCATTCGGAAAATTTCGTAACACTCGGAAATCTTCGGATATTTCCGTTTATTAAAGTGTTCCTTTGCCTGTTTCATTAGTGCCAAATGTTACTTACATTTTTATTTTGTCATGAATAAAAGTTTTTATAAAAGGTTAATCAATCATAGTGATTTTGTTGTGTTTTTGCTTTATAATCAAGCATTAACTCGATTATAAGTAGTTTTTGTTAAAAAACTAATCCTTGCAATATATTGCAATACATATCGCAATATATGCTTCCGCATCGCAATATATCGTAATATGAAAATTCTCTGCAATACTCACCCCTAGCAAATACACTACTACACTACTCATGCTCAAACATGATCAATACATATGTACCTGCATCTGTCTAACCTTTACAAGCTTACAGTCACTTATCTCTCCATACATGATCAATACATATGTACCTGCATCTGTCTAACCTTTACAAGCTTACAGTCACTTATCTCTCCATACATGATCAATACATATGTACCTGCATCTGTCTAACCTTTACAAGCTTACAGTCACTTATCTCTCCATACATGATCAATACATATGTACCTGCATCTGTCTAACCTTTACAAGCTTACAGTCACTTATCTCTCCATACATGATCAATACATATGTACCTGCATCTGTCTAACCTTTACAAGCTTACAGTCACTTATCTCTCCAAAAACAAATAAGTATTTTAAATGAAAAAGACAATTTCAAGGTCATTGCAAAAGAGATCTAAGGGATGTAGTTATGAATAATGGCCAACATCAAATACCTACTTCAAAGCGAGTGAGTTTATTTTTATGCCGCTTTTAGCAATATGATGGCAGCATACTTCAAATTAATGACATCTGAGTTCACAAGGCTTCACTGTACAACTAAGTATTATCAGGAATATTCGTTGGAATAATTTTGGTGTCAAATCAAATTTTAATCAGCGGTTCACATAATAAATAGGAACAAACGGAATACAGCTGTTATCTATACAGCAATGTGCTCCAAGAACACTCAACTACATCTAAATGCTACTGCATATAGTTAGCACATTGGTGGCGTAGGCATACGATAGTCACATGACCATATGCTGCATAACCTACCAAAGTGGGAACTGTGAAAATTTGGACTGAGATACATGTTATGGACACGGATCGGTAATGGTCATCCCGTATAAAGTCCTTCATTACTGTTGAATAGTGCTACAAATATAAAACAGCAGTTTAAAAGTCAGAACATGTGAGGCCATTGACAGCTAGATTTTTATGTTCACCCTCCACAAGCCAAAATCTGAAATTTGAATTTCCCATAAATGATGGTGACATAAAAATCTAGCAATCAAAATACCATGGCCTTATTTGGAATTAAATTAGAATGATCACAGGCCAGAAATATGCCTTGAGGTTAGACTTCCTTTACCGGTACTTCTTCTGGTCCTTTTTTGACCAATGACATTATTACATTTTATTTTCATCTTTAAACAAGGCATATTGGTACACACCAATATCAGTCTCTTTGATTCTCCTCCAAAGAAATTATTCTCTTGTCCTGTGATCATTCTTGAAGTGAAGCATATAGAGTTTTGAGATTCTCCATGCAGAAGCATCAAGATATTATACAGAAAGCAATCAATTTGATCACTGTAATAAATGTCGATAAAACCGCCTGACGCCGATTTGAATTCTTCAAATAATCTCAGAACTCTCTGTGCTGTTTCTTCCCTCTAAGAAGGAAAGACGTGGTGTGATGGGAGATATCACGATTACCCGTCACACTCAACCTACCAGACTGGGCACTGTAAACATTTGAACTGTTAATGACGTAACAGACACGTCGTGATCATGGTCGTCTTTGCAAAAGTCCTGAAGAAGCTGATCATATCGCTGTGGAGAAGGCACAAAAGCATGTGACATCATCACAACCACTCTGAGAAGTACCGACCCTCCACCAACTACCCCCAGCGTAACAGTGTGTCTCACACAGCTATAGTCTATTGCACTCTGGAGTCCCGAGGCACAGTTACATTTGAAACATTTAGTAGCAGGGATTGACGTATGATTACTAACTACGCACCTTGGCAAGCAAATTTGGAAAACATTGTTGATGTGTTCATATTTCATTATTTCTTTGAAATGTAAGTTTCCTAAATTCTGAGAAATCTTGATAGTACATGCAATAATGTATCACCCAGCATCATCTTTCTCTATTGGTCCTGTTATGAGTGAGTGAGTTTAGTTTTACGCCGCACTCAGCAATATTCCAGCTATATGGCGGCGGTCTGTAAATAATCGAGTCTGGACCAGACAATCCAGTGATCAACAGCATGAGCATTGATCTGCGCAATTGGGAAACGATGACATGTGTCAACCAAGTCAGCGAGCCTGACCACCTGATCCCGTTAGTCGCCTCTTATGACAATCATGGGTTACTGAAGATCAATATTCTAACCCCGACCTTCACGGGTCCTCTTCAACAGGCTCTCACTTTAGTTATAACTATAACAGCAGGAAGTGGGAAGTTGATGAATACAATTTGGGAATTTTGACTGACATTTGCTGCCGACTTGTGGCCAAATATTGGCCTCTGAGTAAGTGTAGACAAACGTGCCAGACATGATGAATGTTTCCAAGCCAATACTAAACTGACTACATGGAAATGCAGTCTAATGATGTTGTTGTTCAAGTTTGTTTCAGTTTCTTACACAGTAAATTGTAAGAAGTACAATATTCTGTTCAAACTTGTATCTGATTGAACTGGAGATTGAACAGACTTCTACACTATACTAGCCATTTCAAAAGTGTTTAATGCATATCTTGCTGATGACAATGAGCGGAGACAGCAATGATCCCCACCAATCTCACATAACCTACAGATCATCAAGCACTGGAAAGTAAATCATGATCCACAAAGCGTTTGTAGTGCTAAGACATTCATAAGCCTATGGTAAACTATAGAGTTACAGCAGGTCATAACGTTACAAACGCTTCGTGTATTGGGATCCTGTTTTGCAATACATACATTACATTACATTACAGGTTACATTGACGTAAATATATGTGGATAATAACAGAAAGTCTTCATAAAAAAGTTTAGGCAGATTCTCGGATATTTCCTGATCGACTATAACCAACACTCTTCACAGTGGCCAAACCTATATATACTTAGGGAAACAAATAAGGGAACACATGAAAGCACAAGTGTTCCTATATTTTTTTCCAGATTTCTTCAAACACAGTGCGATACAAAGCTTTTGACAGACTGAGTTTGGTTTTACGCCGCTTTTAGCAATATTCCAGCAACATCACGGCGGGGGACACCAGAAATGGGCTTCACACATTGTACCCATGTGGGGATTCGAACCCGGGTCTTCGGCATGACGAGCCAACGCTTTAACCACTAGGCTACCCCAGCACCCCACAAAGCTTATGAAGAAACATGAAAAAAAATAAAGGAACACTTGTGCTGTCATGTGTTCCCATATTTGTTTCCCTAAGTATATTTCTCCCTACAATGTTCTATCCCTGCTGTCTGAGATTTCAAAACATATCACTCAGGATTGTGATTCACTTGAAGAAAGGGAGAGAATATGAACTATGATAGAATCCTCTATCAGGATACGAATCGCATCACATCAGTATTATTGGGATACGTACCATATCGAGTCTCATTGTATAGTTACCCTTCTACACACTACCAGTATCAGGAAATTCGTTGTGTTGTATAGTGTAAGTTGGGAAAGTGAGTGAGTGAGTATAGTTTTACGCCGCACTCAGCAATATTCCAGCTATATGGCGGCGGTCTGTAAATAATCGAGTCTGGACCAGACAATCCAGTGATCAACAGCATGAGCATTGATCTGAGCAATTGGGAACAAGTCAGCGAGCCTGATCACCCGATCGCATTAGTCGCCGCTTACGACAAGCATTGGTTACTGAAGATCAAATATTCTAACCCGCATCTTCACGGGTCAAGTTGGGAAAGTGTTCAGAAGAAACTTGTGAGGTAAAAACGTCTCTATTCACAGAATGGAGTTTTGAAAACAACTTGATCTTAACAGACTGTAGCGTACAGATTGAGGGAGAGATATCAGCTATTAATCTCCAGTGAGGCTGACAAGGCTCATCTTGTAATTTCAAGCCCAATCATAACTGTAGTGCTGGTTGAGATAGTTAGACAAGATTATCACTCCTTGTGTGTTCTCTATCTGTCAAGATCACTTGAGATAAGAAAGCATAGAGACTTTGCCAACTTGTTTGTATCTTACTGTAACCGGGTTTGTATATTATAGCAGTTACATGCCCCGAGATCTACCACTTGTACGCTGGAGGATTGAGTAGAATTTTCAAAGAAACCTATTCTTAGTTGTTTCTACCCTCATTTGTAGACTGTTCAGGAGCATGGTGCATCATACACTGCATGGTTGTGTAACCTTTGTTACAGTGATAGAAGCATGGTGCATCATACACTGCATGGTTGTGTAACCTTTGTTACAGTGATAGAAGCATGGTGCATCATACACTGCATGGTTGTGTAACCTTTGTTACAGTGATAGAAGCATGGTGCATCATACACTGCATGGTTGTGTAACCTTTGTTACAGTGATAGAAGCATGGTGCATCATACACTGCATGGTTGTGTAACCTTGGTTACAGTGATAGAAGCATGGTACATCATACACTGCATGGTTGTGTAACCTTTGTTACAGTGATAGAAGCATGGTGCATCATACACTGCATGGTTGTGTAACCTTGGTTACAGTGATAGAAGCATGGTACATCATACACTGCATGGTTGTGTAACCTTTGTTACAGTGATAGAAGCATGGTGCATCATACACTGCATGGTTGTGTAACCTTTGTTACAGTGATAGAAGCATGGTGCATCATACACTGCATGGTTGTGTAACCTTAGTTACAGTAATAGAAGCATAGTGCATCATACACTGCATGGTTGTGTAACCTTTGGTTACAGTGATAGAAGCATGGTGCATCATACACTGCATGGTTGTGTAACCTTAGTTACAGTAATAGAAGCATAGTGCATCATACACTGCATGGTTGTGTAACCTTGGTTACAGTGATAGAAGCATGGTGCATCATACACTGCATGGTTGTGTAACCTTTGTTACAGTGATAGAAATATCCATGAATGTACACACATATACACCAAATTGCATGCCAGTGACAATATATTACAACAAAGAAAACCGTTATACACATTTCATATGTTACTTGACATGTTAAAGAGGGGTGGTGGGGTAGCCTAGTGGTTAAAGCGTTCGCTCATCACACTGAAGACCCGGGTTCGATTCCCCACTTGGGTAAAATGTGTGAAGCCCATTTCTGGTGTCCCTCGCTGCAATATTGCTGCAATATTGCTACAAGCGGCGTAAAATCATACTCACTCACATGTTAAAGACATGTTTAAGAGTGTGTTGGGTTGAAAGCTGCTTTGAACATTATTCCGGTTACATCGCAGCGTGTCAGCTTGACGTGGGAGGTAAACCAGAACTGATGCAGATCCTGGTGTTTACCACTTTGGTAGGACCCACAGACACGGTGCTGACAAACCGTGAAATATGATGAGGGCAAACTAGGATTTGAACCCATGAGCATAGGTTTCTGGGGTGGCCAAGGGAGACAACTCTGCACAGAGAATTGTGACACCTTAGGTGTCTTGGATACCAGTGCCCCTAAGAAAAATAAATAGGTTTATGTCCGTGCAATTCATAAATCATAATAACAGTGATCATGATACTTGATTACTCTGTAATGTGTGTGTTAGAATTTACCTTGGTGAAAATGCCGGCAAACAGTTTCTTGCACTCTTGGTCCATGAGAGCACTGAAATAAAGGGACATAACTCATAAGTACTCTTTCAATTTGTGCTCTCTGGAGGCAAAACAGCTGCATAGAACAAAAAGTAAGCATATGTGTTTTAAGCACTGAATACCGACACATCACTGACATATAGTCTATATATCATCTGACGCAGACTACCACGTGGCTGTGTCTATCTACATCCATGCAAATTTTTAGCAATCAACGATCTGAAAGCCTGATGTGGATAGCTTAAGCCAAGGCTAATGACTTATTTAGCATTAAAATATACAACACTTTCTGTATTAACATCAATCATTCAAATAATATCAAAACATTGTTTTCTTGATATTATTATATTGACTGGTTCTTCAGCATGTTCAGATGCCATTTTGAAATTAAACAACAAAATAATGCACTCAATTTCTCTTGAGTCTGAAAGCTTGAAAAATTAATTGTTTGAAATGCCTACTTATGTACTTATTAGCGAAATTCATCTAAACATGATAATTCCATTGGAGAAATGTTCAACTTAAATACCCATGTTCCAAATGTATACTGCTCAAAACAAGTTAAGGACCACCCATTCCTTTCATATTACTATAGTTAATCTGTCATAGTAATATGACTGACTGAGTTTGGTTTTACGCCCGCTTTTAGCAATATTCCAGCAACATCACGGCGGGGAACACCAGAAATGGGCTTCGCACATTGTACCCATGTGGGGATTCGAACCCGGGTCTTCGGCATGACGAGCCAACGCTTTAACCATTAGGCTACCCCACCGCCCCCACAGTAATAAGAAAGAATTATGTGGTCCTCTACTGTTTTTGAGTACTGAGAAAGTCTTTAATTTTGTTTCTAGTGTAAAAACCTCAACAGAACCTATCTTTTCTGCATGTAACCTACAATGTCATTACAAGCTAACTGGCAAGTTACAGAGGTTGCCCTACTTTTAAGCGTTGGTTAGTACATACCCAGCCATAAGCAACTGATGGCTCTGAACTCGAGCAACTGAAAATACAAACACACATATACTGAGAAAAGGTCCTTGGTCCAGTGCACATATGTTAGTAGCTAGTGGATATTGTGGACTACATGGAGGCTTAAGATTTGATTTGATTGAATTCATATCCTACAACTTCCACCGGAATGCTGGTTGTTGAATCACAAGAAATACCCACATAAACAGTCACTCTGGGACACTTAACTAAGTGTCATTTGCAGTCAAACTGGGACAAATGTTTATTTTGCACAAAATGGAGTTACCATATTTATGTTTCTGAAGTTATGTCAAAATCGATGCCTTGTTTCATTTTGTCAGTGTGTGCTTTAAGTCTGCACTTTGCAACCTGGCAACACAGACTCCAAACAATTACAATGTCACATAGACAAGGGTAGGAGTAGCTTCCCTTTGATAAAGGTCACTAACTCCAGCAGGATGATCGATAGATTGCCAAGGCTCACTAAATACAATGATTATTCCTCTTAACGATATTTACCATCCAGAGTATGCTCATACAGCCTCTATGGCTACCTGCATGTGTGATCTGTAAGGGAACACTGACTGACTGCGTGAGGATCTACCAGAGAGCACTGACCTTTCCATAGCTGTGTGTCTGCCAGGAGAACCCGCTCCATGAGAGACAGTGGAGCATCCTCATCTTCCACCTCCATAGCACTGGCACTCGACCGTTTTGGCACCTGCATTGACAGCATGCAGAACAACCGCCGCAACCCGTCTGAAAGTATAGGCGATCCCAGGTCACACTAGGTCATCTCATATTCAACTAATACATACATACAATTAGCCCAACCATATATTCTGCAGATCCATCTTGTGGTGTCTCTGGCTTATATTTGGTTCTTGTCAAATCCTTGGTACATGTTCAATTTTTCCTTTAATTTGTACTGACAAATAGTGTTAAGTCAACTTTTTTTCAACATCAAATCCTAAAATATGAAGAAACACATACCAAAACCATATAAAACTTTAACATTAGAGTATTTCAAAATTTGGGTTGTCAAAATCACTTGATCATTGAACATTGATTGAAAATCATTTTCTAAAGATATTATTTTGATGCTTTCACAACAGAATCATGACATTGTAGCTTGTAACATTTCCTATCAATCCAGGTATTAAATCTTTGACAAGATTATGACCATAATCAATCGCTAACTATTTGCCACAATATAATTGATATTTACTGATTGTGATATTTTAGGGTGAATCCAAGAGAAAGTCTCACCTGATTTGGAGATGATGTTCTGAAGCCACTGTATCATCTTCATGGCAAAGTTCTGGTGGGCTACGACCGAGTTTTGCATCACTAGCACCTTCAGGGGCTTGCTCCCGTGACGTGAGGTGTTCCGCTGGCAACAGACACAGGTTTCAGACCACAGGGACAGACAGATGTTGTTAATCCTGACTAGCGATCATTTAGAGGACTGCATTTCCTCTCCCACAATCTACCAGAGCTCCAGATAAGGGCTGTATCAGCGTATGTACGGATATAAAATAAGCACGATACGATAGGAAACAATTTTAAAAACGTAGCAGATACGGACCACAGCAATGGTGTACGGTTTCAGAATCATTTACAGACGTATTTATCTGAAAAAGTATTGTTTTATTGTTTACTGACCTGTTTACACAAGAGTAGCAATGTTGTGGTGCATATATGAAACGAAACACAAGATTACTGATACGCCATTAAATTCCATTCAGTACTCATATTGTTTTCCAGTACTCCTATATTGAAAAAATAAGGAGTACGTACTCCTGATCATGAAAAATTATCTGGAGCCCTGATCTACTTAGGGGATGTACATAAGCTGCTTGTCTAAAGTGAGTGAGTGAGTTGGGTTTATCCCCACTTTAAACAGCAACTCAGTTGTATCAGGGCTTGTTGATGCTGGAAGAAAGCCCAATGTTATACAAGTCTTTCATGAAACCCCACAACCATGAGCGTTGTGGTGACAAAATAATTAACACTATCAGGGCAAAACAGAACAATTTGTTTATAAGCTGCAATCTCACCTCAATGATTTCCTTGGCTCTATCACATTCTGCCTTACTTCCAGTCCGGACATTGCTTCTTCCCTACCATGACAAATCATTGACAAAATATGTTAAAATTACTCCCAAATAGAATGCAATTGAAAGATATGCCTCCAATAAATTACCGAGTTATTTGGATGTTGTAAGCCAGGGCTCGATTTAGTGCTTTGTTACTTGCACTGGTGCAACCCAATATTATAAAGTGCAACCTAGTTATTACTCTAACTTGCACCAGGTGCAAGTCAATTTTTGAGTGGGTAAACTGCTGAATGAAACATCTAAGTAATTCAATAGCATATTTCTTTCTTTACATATTGCAATAAAAGCAGTGCAACTGGAATTTGGCTGGTGCAACTATGTTTTTATCTTAGGTTGCACCTGGTGCAAGTAGGTTAACATCTCTTAAATTGAGCCCTGTAAGCTACTTTCTGATATACCCACTGCTGAAATGAAGGCACACTGAATTGTGACATCTGAGCAACCCATGGAGCTTACCTCTCTGTCTACAATGGTGGCAAAGTCGATTGCCTGTCTTGGCGTACAGTCAATGGCTCGCTGGAGGGTTGTGATAACCTGAATAAACAAACAGCGGTGTTTGAATAGAATTCCCTATTACAATATTTGCTTGGTTAGGCCAATTTTTTGCATAAATCTACGATTGTACAGAAAAATCCTGGCCTTAAATCTGAACAAAAAATGATATTTCCTGACAATAGTTTCTGTTGAACAAGTACTCGGCCTAGATTTTCGAAGCTCTCTTAGCGCTAAGTTAGTCGTAAGTGCCATACATTAACATTCACTTACGACTATCTTTGCGCTAAGAGAGCTTCGAAAATCTAGGCCCAGTAGATGGCATATAATGAACAAGTTGACATTGAACTGACGGGTATAACAAACCACCTATTTAGTCCAGGCCAACTGGTGCTTATTTTAGTTGAAATGTGTTCATAACAAACTAAACTATATTAGTGGTTCCTCTAAGTTTGCTGTAACCATAGTTTACTGTTTGTCATAGTCAGGCTGCATTTGAAGTCCAGTCACTGTATCAACCTAAATAGCTTTGATCAGAAATTATACACATAACTGGAAAATTATAATCCCTGCCACAAGAAAACATTTATTCCTTGTGGGGCCGGGTACAGATGGAATCGTGTCCTATTTATTGGAATCGAGTACCCGGAAAGGGAGAGAACTCTGTAATGACAAGGGCAGATAATAACTTGTCTTTTTCATAATTGATGCAACACTCATTTACATCATTGACATTGTCCGATTAATGAAGGTTATTATTAACGACTGTAATTTATCTGCGCAGTGAGTAGTGAAAGTTACAGTAACAGCGGGAACGGAAAGTTCTGTGTTTCAACGATGAATGTAAGTAATGGTGTTACTCTCTATATGGTTAAGCAGATGTAAATTAAATAGCCTAAGATCTGTTTTAATGTCTTATTGCCATCCTTTTGAGTTTTCTATAATAATCTCTGTCAACTCGTGATTGAATATTCAGACAGTTGACAGAAGCGATGTATTCCTTACATTTCCGGGTACTCTATCCCGATTCGGGTAAGTACATGCGGTACTCAATTTCCATTATTTCCTACCCGTCCCAGCCCTAATTCCTTGGACAGGAATACCTGCTTCCTTTAATTAAATGCATTCACTAACAGTAATATACAGCAGCAGAGTTGACAGGTTAACGATGTAACATCTCACCTGATCGTATGTATGAACCTCATCATTGAACAGCATGCAGTGATAGAGGTTACTGTCCACGGTGTCCTCCGCCTCCAGCCCCCCGGGCAGACTGGCCGTCTCCTCCCAGGTCAGCATGTCCACACAGTAGGTCAGCGTGGCCAGGAACAGGGCACTGCCACGGTCAGTCAGCTCAACAGGGAGCAGGTCAATCGGGTTCTACATAGACCGAAAACTATTACTGGTGAACTGTTAAATAACTTGGCAAGTCTTGTAGCACAGTGTCAGCATGTTTGCAAGCCAGGGGTGGAAATAACTTTAAAATTGCTAGTGTACTCCGTTACAGTGGCACATGTAAAATCACTTGCCCTGATAATTTTTCCACTATACCGTCCGTTTTCTTGTTGATTTTTAAAAACCCACACAATTACTATTGGAAAGTCAACTGGACACTGGTACAGTGTGATATACAAATTTGCTTGCCCGACAGAAAAAAACACTGGACTCGGATGTCGGGCAATGGGTTATTTCCACCCCTGCAAGCTCTGGTCAGACATTGCATTAACATGACATTGTGACACACAGTTTTGATAGTTTTTACATCAATCAACAAAACATAGGCAAACTGTTGACAACAGGTTTAATACTGTAGTTTGGTATGAGATTGAACAGGCAGTTTTTCTATACATCTCATTTTGCCAGTGTGAAAGATAGTCCTTAAATAATATCACTATATTACATGATTTAGGTTCATTTACAGACACTGACAGATTATATTTAACAAGTTACCCAAGACTTTTTAAATTTTGTATTGACAGACAAATGTCTTATCAAAGGTTGATAAATTCAGGTGAATCTCCAGTATAATCAGGGGTGGAAATAACTTTAAAATTGCTAGTGTACTCCGGTACAGTGGCACATGTAAAATCACTTGCCCTGATAATTTTTCCACTATACCGGCTGTCTTCTGGTTGATTGTTTAAATAAACAACATAATTAACATTGGAAAGTCAAGTGGACACCGGTACAGTGTGATATACAAATTTGCTTGCCCGACAGAAAGAAACACTGGACTCGGACGTCGGGCAATGGGTTATTTCCACCCCTGATAATACTGTTGTATATATTAAAGGTATGACATAAGGCATCACCTGCTGATGGTTCTGGTCTAGAGATGACCTGTGTATACTGCAGTAAGGCTCCATCTTCCACGCCTCGATGTCTCCGCAGTCGCAGTACCCGTTACCCCCCGACGTGTGCATCTACAACACCAAACGTAATACAAGCTGAGGACGGAATGCATATTATCATTATTACACTCACATCTAAAAAATGAACACTTATTCCAGTCTATGGTTCCTGGTAAAATAAACGAACACCGGATGCACAAAACCACATATACCACAAGTGATACTGCCACAACTTTTAGAATTGAACACACAGAATCTGTGCTTCTATGATTCATGTCTTTAAATCAGGTTTCCAAGACGGCAACAAGTTAAAGAACTGCCACCCCTTGATTTAAATGGACTTACCCTGTATCTGTGCTGCCTATGGACGCTGTTCTGGAAGCAGTCAATACACAGCACACATGTCGGATCGTTGGCACAATCCCTGAAAGAAATCATGTGATGAGTTAGATAGTTGAAGCTGATAAGTTGGAAATATTTGTTTCTTTTGTTCTTTTGTTTGTTGACAAATATTCTAGTCATAAGGGATGATTTTATAAAGGACCATAATACTGACTGACTGAGTTTGGTTTTACGCAGCTTTTAGCAATATTCAAGCAATATCACGGCCGGGGACACCATAAATGGGCTTCACACATTGTACCCATGTGGGGATTCGAACCCGGGTCTTCGGCGCGACGAGCCAACACTTTAACCACTAGACTACCCCACCGCCCCAGGACCATCATAACCTACCAGTGATCCAGTATTAGGTATTACGTATCATAATTATACCTGATTATTCATATGACGCAGAAGAAAGTTCAGATTTACTGCCATCAATAATTTTAAAACTCCAGAAAATGCAAGACTGAAAACAAATTGGTTTGGGATATTTTGAAAAGGGAGTTATTCCATCTTCAACGTCCATATTTGTACTCCACTACAGTTCGGGGATGTATGTGTACACAGAAAGGTGCCTGTGCTGTAAATGGATCTATCACCACACACAGCCACATGGGTGAGATGTAAACATACCTGCAAGAATATGTTGGTTCTCCTGATTTGAAGACATGGCCACATATCTGAGAGGGTTGGTTTTTGGCCTTGAGTTGTTGTAAGACACTTTCTGAGTCGGTTGTACCACAAAGGAACTCCTCCATGGGCCTGAACAGGTACTTGTTGGCCATCTGCTCCTCCTTGCTGGAGTCATGGCTGGTGGAGTACACAAGCGGCGCGTACACACGGAAGTGTTGCTTCAGCCCCTCCAGGAGCTCCCCTTTCTCACAACATGCCCACCATGTCTAAAGATGGAGACAAACAGATTACAGCATACACACATTGTATAGGATACACACTTGTGAGTGAGTGAGTGAGTGAGTGAGTGAGTGAGTGAGTGAGTGAGTGAGTGAGTGAGTGAGTGAGTGAGTGAGTGAGTGAGTGAGTGAGTGAGAGAGTGAGAGTGAGTGCGATCGTGGAGTGGGTGCGTGCGTGCGTGCGTGCGAGTGGGTGGGTTGAGTGAGTGAGTGAGTTAGTGGGTGGGTGAGTGAGTGAGTTTACTGTCAGAGGAAAGTCTGGAGTGATGCTGGTCTCAGACGTTTACCACTATTGTGAAACCTACAGGCAAAGGTATGGTGCTGAGAACCCATGAACATAATCAGAGTGGACCTGGATTCTGGTGTGCCCAAGGAATGCAACTCTGCAGAGTTTATTGTGGCAACTCAGATGATAGATACACTTGATACACTAGACGGTGCCTCTGGTAAACAAATAGCTCTATCCCTCCGCTCGATATGACATACCAACGTTCATCAGGGGACAAAAAAGTTAGCTTGGTAGAGTTCATCTCCACTCACTATTGTCAATATTTCCAATTGAACATGTCAATATTGATATGGATCACTTATCAAAATCAAGAAATTCAATTATTACTTGCAGGGAATTACTGGGCAGTGTTCACGAATGGTGTTTCAAAGTAACAGGACATTGGGTCCTCTAAGTTTAAGATGTCTGTCTGACGCATTGAAAATTCACAGGACCCATGGAATAAAATTAAACACACATTTCAGATTTAACATTTCTTATAATTGGCATTGAAATTATTAACAAACATAAGAAAAATTAAAATAAAATAAACAGCAAACAAGTGTCACATGTCACATATAACAACTTCAGTCAAAGTCATTGTGTAATATAGTCAGACACTGGGGCCGGTGGGTTGTAGACTTCTATCGGATCGTTGGTGAATCTGCCGGATTTGTCAGAGGGTCAGACACTATTCGTGAACACTACTGGGCATAAGCTCCTTCAACCCATACACATGGAAATTGAAGACAGTTCATCCACTGGTACACCAAGACACATGTACACTTTTATAAATGAATTCGGGTATTTCAGATTTGTTATCCATCAAAACGGCAGCAAACTACGGTCACAACAAAGACAAAGCTGTCACTAATTTTAGTTTATATTAACCGTAGTTCAATCAACACATTCGGACCAAAACATACAGCAAGTGGTGGGACATAAAGACCCAACAGTTTTTTACATCCATCAATTTGTTGGATATGTGTATTTTACTGTATATACAACACTCCCAAGTTTTTCACAACATTCTGGTGCCATGACTTCTTGTTTCATTTCAGCTGGGCATATATGAAACTGTTACAAATGTATCGACCTCTGTGGCTGTGAGCCGCCTTTACCCTCAACATATACAAGCCATGAAGACCACTTCTCTGGCATGTGTTGTATACAGAATACAAATATATACAGTCGAGCACCGTTGTCTCGATATTTATGAGACCCAGTGTTCACGAAAAGTGCCTGACCCTCTGACAAATCCGGCAGATGCGCCTACTGTCAGACAGAAGTCTACAACCCGGCGGCCCCAGTGTCTGACTGTATATTTCACAATGACTTTGACTGAAGTTGTTTTATGTGACATGTGACACTTGTTTGCTATTTATAAATCTTATGTTTGTTAATAATTTCAATGTCAATTATAAGAAATATTAAATCTGAAATGTGTGTTTAATTTATTCCATGGGTCCTGTGCATTTTCAATGGGTCAGACAGACATCTGAAACTTACAGGACCCAATGTCCTGTTACTTTGAGACACCATTCGTGAACACTGCGAGACCAAGAAAAAACATTGAGTTCTCCGAACTTCGAGACAACTGACCAGGGCATATCATCACATATCACTATGAAAGAAAACAAAACGCTTCTCAGTATGTTTTGATTCAAAACTATAATCCGTTATCAGTAGTGTTTACCGTAGTCGTAACAGTGAGTACTTCCTAATTAACTCCTTCTTAGTTAATCCTAATTAAATAACAAACAAGTGACACCTTCAACTAAATTAGCCCTATTTAGTTTACACTACCCCATCCCTTTGATTCATGCCGCACCGTGTGGAAACGTGTGGGAACAACCTCAGTTCAGAGGGATACTTGCCCATGAATGGTAGGTGAATATCGAGATTTTTTGCAAATATCGAGTTAATTGGGTAATTTTGCTTGTTGGGACCATGAGATATGATATCCGAAATATCGAGACATCCATATTGAGTTAAAAGAGCTTGAATAGTGATAAATTATGATGGATTTTACCGGGACCAAGATGTTATATCGAGACAACAGAGATATCGAGTTATCGGAGTTCGACACAACGGTGCTCAACTGTACATGAATTTGAAATTCAGATTTGTTTGAAGTGCTTTTGTGAAGTTTTTAAATATATCATTAATGTACAAAATGTGTAAAGAATAGGGTAGTACATGTTGTGTAATATATCAATAGATTCATACAATATGCGTTTTGAACAATGTAAAATTGCTTATATATGCAGTAATGCGTGTGTGCATAATGCATGATAGGTGTATCTGAAAACATGTTGGGTTGTTTGAACCTAAGGATCTGTAACTCTCTGTAACAAATTAAACATGACTTTCAATGACGAAGTTTCATACATAACCTTGACCACTTGATATGTACCCAGAAACTCACTGTTGTTAGATTTCAGGTTTCACAGTACTACCCATTCTCTTCCCACAGAGGTTACTCCTGTCATATCTTCCTCACGTAACCTCTGTTCTAATCACGATGACCCTTTCATGGTGTGTGGCGTTCAAGACTTCGTGATTGGAGGTAATCAGATTTAGTTGTGCAATCAGCGGCGTTGTTTCAAAAGTGATCATTGGCAAGGCCTCGGTAATTTCCATATAACTCGAGAAAACTAAACCTCTTCCCCTGCCGCGATCTAAAAAGCGTTTCTTCTAGACAGAACTCAGTCATGTTATGGTGGGTCAGTGGCGTCTCCATCAGCCCTCATTAACAACGGACAAGCTAGCTATTAAAGGTCTTGTATGTAACAATATGTAAGTCCCGGCAGATGGGGATATTTGTGGCCTCACATTTGCTTGTGTTAGTCATGTTGAATCTAAGTCGGCGTAACACGTGTTCTGATTGGATAGAAAGAAGGGAGATAATTAGTGTTTAGCGATCTTTTGTCGCTTAGGGGATTTTACGAGAACCGGGAAATATGGTCAGTATTAGAACAGAGGTTACGTGAGGAAGATATGACAAGTAACCTCTGTGGGAAGAGAATGAGTACTACCACACCTTGTTCAGAAACAAAACTATAAAAAGCCATCCTGATAAACATACATCTTCATTGATTATGTCATATGTTATATTTGGGATTACACTTCCTCAGTAAAGTACAGATTCTAGTCCTTTTGTTAGGTGGAGTCCCATCCGGGATTCGAACCCACCCCCTCAGAGTGAGGCACCTAATCACCAGCACACAAAGTCAACCACCTAATTGCTCAGCCATGCTGATCAAACTGGTGAGTTTATTATATATATACATGTTATGTCATATCCACACCTCTGCATTCTATGCCACCTCAGTAATGAGGGCTTAATTCCCTGAAAATTGAATAATGACATTGAACTAAATGGTAGGTCATTCTGTTCATTCACCCCAGTTATGCTGCTCATTGTCCTTCAGGGATAGAAATACTTTTTTTTCTAAGTGTGCCTTAGGGCACCAGGAAATATTTTAGGTGTGCCTTTCAGAAATCAAGTGTGCCCACATGTTTTCAGAATCAATGACTGTAGCAAGGATGATGATCTTTTGAAATTTATTGTCAGAAAACAACAAATTTACCGGTAACCAGTTTTCGGTTATCACTGATATGTCTTCTGCTTAAGATGGCTTTCTTATGTGACATTTGTTCTGCTTTCCCATCACCTTTAATAGCTAAGAATCGTGTGAGAGGTTCACTTTTTTCAATATGTCTAACATACACAATTTACTCTTCACTAACCGAACTATCAGTACTCACAACACTCTCAATGGAAAAACAACCAGATTTCTTTACATCATCCATCATAATTCCAGTGATTTCCTGGGCGTAAAAGTCAATAAATGTTTTTGCTTGTTTGTCATTTGCTTAAAGGTCACATGCAACGTAAAACACAACTTTGCAGATTCTGATACCTTCGGTATGGACTTACCAAAACAAATCTTCAAAATGCAAATTTAACTTATAAAGTTAAAAATATAGCGATGAAAAAGCGAGGGAAATCGGAGTTCAAACGTTTCACTAATTTTCCCCGACTTTCTGGGAAAAACGGGTTTCAACAGCTGGGCTGCGCCATAGCACGTCTTGCGCAGTGAAATAGGTTCGCGCAGCTTGGAAGCTGGTTGTCGGGTGAATACTGGTGAAGGCTTTGGTGTGAGCTATTTTTCTAATGTTTTGTTGATATCTCACACGCCAGCGCAAGCTTTTATATGTTATGACAGTAAATTAACTTTATATAATTTCATTTGTCTATTTCACCACACGCTCTTCTTAATTGAGTCACTTTCCCAGTTCGATACTTAAAAGCAATGTCATTATTTAGCGTTGTACAAATTTCTAACTGTGATATAGATATATGTCGTTCTGCATCTGCAAATGAACCAGCCGTTACACTTGAGTGCACACCCACCCGCTCTGACTGGGTTCGGTATCGGCTGCCGTTTCTTGGGAAGTAAACCCGAAGTACACAATATTGCACTTTTGATTTGCGATTATGCGCTTATAATTTTGTTTATATGATTTTTCATTTCCAGCAATGTATATTATATGTCATTAATAAGTGATAATTGTGTTTTAATTATGTTTGATTTTTGGTTGCATGTGACCTTTAAGTGTTTTGTTTGGGGATTAAATGACTACAGGTGTGCTATGTCTCTAAAAAATTAGGCGTGCCATAAGTGCACCAAGAACATTTTTTATCTGTGCCATTTCGATATTTACCGTGCCATGGCACGCTAATACATAGGGTATTTCGAACCCTGTCCTTTATTACAGAAAAAGGCCAAAACAGATGAAAGTTTGTGCAAGAGAGATACAAGCACATTCACGTCAATTCAAAATGTTCCGTACCCAGAACTGAATATTACCAACATGGGTACTAGCATGACCAGTCCCATAGAAATAATAAATTCTGTTCTGATGCAGAAATCAAACACATTTTGAATAGTAACGCACAATATCTGTGCTCATAACATGTCCGTCAAAATTAAATCGAGAATATTCACAGCAGGCGTCTTGAAACTAACCCCAGATGTGTTTATCAATACCTACCTTCGGTGAATCAAACTGAAAACATTGAGATGTCATCATCAAGCAGCCAGATACAAAGGGGTAAACGAAACTCCAACCACCCAACTGGTCAGTTACCAGACCCTCCACAATCCTCCCCTGCCACTAGTTTATTCTGAACAAACAAACATCCTGTTTTTGCCCTCAGCTCTGAGCCCTGATATGCTTATTAACTAGAATGTCATTAAATCATTACTCTGTGAACAGCATAATTTTATGTCACACAAGCCTGTGTGGACGGAATATATGTTTTATTGTAAGGACACACTGAGTCACTGACGTTAAGATTTGGTAACATTAGAACCTATAATCATAAGCTTGTGCCCCTGTGACTCAACTCTGTGCGGGGAAGGTGGCGCCTTGACAACTGAGCCACCATGCCCCTCCAAGCCTACGCAGAAAATGGGCACAAGAACACGAAGCTGAGCCATTCATCTATGCCAACCATGTTATCAAACAAGAAGTCGAAGTTATGAAATTTTTCACTGAGACAGTAGAACATCAAACAATTACCTGATTCAGTACCAATGTGATGCTCATGTAATACTTGTAGAATCTTCACAATAAATATTAAAATGACACAGTAAGCGTATAATTTGTTTTGTGTAGTTGATTGATTTTTCATGCAGCTTTAGGACCAATTTGGCACAGCTTGCATGAATATCAATTAACATTTGTTGAGAACATGGATTGGATATGTACATTCTAACATGATCAATCACTGTAACTTGCTATTGATTACCAGTATATCTGTCACTGCTGACAATGTTGAGATGTGTAAATACACGGTTAAGGAGTACCCTAACTGGGTAAACTTGTAGAGCCTAGATCCAACACAGTATTTATGATAAAAACACTTCATTTGTATTCAAGTTTTATCTCACTTAGCAATGTGTATTTCTTATTATCCTGATTACATCAAACTTGCTTCTTTGTCGCATTGAAAACACAGTCTATGAAGACTACGCTAGAAAACACAGTCTATGACGACTACGCTAGAAAACACAGTCTATGAAGACTACGCTACAAAACAGATCCTGTTTTCAAAAGAAGCAAAAACTGTGTTTTCTGTGTCCATTATGTACTGGACGCACAAATGTGTGTCACATAAAACCCTGATATTGTGTTTTCAATGTACCGCTAACCTGTATATTTATATGCACTAAGCTGAACCTCCAACAGCGAAAATACCCTTTGAATGAAATATTTGTTCAATATTTCTTCCTTGTGCATCCGACAAGAAACTAAAATATGGAACACATTTGCTTCGAGGCTGTCATAATGCATAACACAAGAAGTGACACAACTCTCGGCACAAAAGCTCTCAACTGATAATTCTTTGTTGTCTCTGGAACTTCAAAAACATTCTCTTTAAAAATTAGCATTCAACTATGTTTTCTGCCATAAATGACTGACTGAGTTTAGTTTTACGCCGGTTTTAGCAATATTCAAGCAATATCACGGCGGGGGACACCAGAAATGGGCTTAACACATTGTGCCCATGTGGGGAATCGAACCAGGGTCTTCGGCGTGACGTGCCAACGCTTTAACCAATAGGCTACCCCACCGCCCCTGCCATAAATGAAACATCATGCTTTGTATGAAGACTGTAGTAATTGTTGTCGAATGAACTGTTTCAATTAGATGTGTTTTTATGATTTGAAACCTCTGGTCATCTTTTCAGCATTGTTTATTTTCCAGGTTCATGAATAACTGATATGTGTTTTGACATCACTAATAGAAGAAATATCTTAACACAAGATTTTTCTTCAGCATACTCACGAATTAGTGGTGAAAATTGTTTATGTTTATGTTTTCATGTTGATATACGTAAAACGTATCCAAGCAGGTAACCCAAGTGCTTAGCCTATGTTAATTATTATGTTAAATATGTTCGTAGAAAACATGCATTATACAAATACGATAGCAATATATAATATCTCTGTTAAAATAACTGCTTAATTATTCTGATAATGGAATAGAAATTCTTTGATGCTATGTTATCGGGTCGTTTTTAACTGAATCACCAGAAAATTGGACCAAAACATCTGTGCACAGCTGAGGCCTAAAAAAAAAAGCTTGTGGTTCCGATTTCCCGACCGACCCTAAATATTGATGCCGAGCCTAACAATTTTACTCACCACATAATAAATTAAATTTATTTTCTGACACATGAGTAATGTAAAAATATTTTGCCAAAAAAACCCAAAAACCTACCTACCTACCCTAGTTCTGAAATGTAGGAAATCGGAACCACAACATTTATTTTTTTGGGCCTGATTGCTATTTCCGGGTTAGTTGAACAACAGGTAGCATAACAGGAACAACAATTGAATTATAATGTCTAGTGATGTTTGATTGCAAGTTTCCAGTACATACATCCATGTTCATTTACAAAGTTTTATTTTTCACCTCCAACGATACGATCTAGGTTTTACTGGGCACAATACACAAAATAGCAGGTTTTTTTATGTCCATGGATGATACAAATTTACTTGGCCTTTGTTCTGTGTTATGTAATAGTTACTATAACGCGGGGGGTCATCCATGGACACCCGCGTTATGGCGAGGGATGACTGTAATCTGCAGCACAGAACAATTTTTTTTTCAAGATGTGAGTCCCTCCCATACACAATCTTTTATACATTCTATACGGTTTCAGTACCACCATTGTAGTTTGTGCAAAAATAACTTTTGAGCATGTTGAGTCTACAGCCTTGTCTACTGTCTCTTGACTTCCTATTTGGTACATGTTAGAGTTAGTCTATGGGTTTTAATTAACAAAGCTTACGAGACCGAAAGACATTTCCCCACTTGTTAATTTCTCAAAATATTTGACAAAAACATATTAATTTACCAAGATCAAGAAACATGTTCTATTTTGTCATGTATGTGATCAGTGTCATATTGCCCATGAAAATCAAAATATCACACAAACATGATCACAATCATGACACTGGGTTAATGTTACAGCAGAGACTATGTAATAAATTTTATTATCTGGTCTCTGGTTACAGTAAATCCAAACCACAAAGAACAGTACATGTGACATTCATGCAGTTAATAGATGGTATACATAGCATGATAAATAGCCACAGAAGTAATCAATATGCACGTATGTATCATCATGATCATGCAGTTTTGGTTCTCTCCAATCAGGCAGGTTTTCACAGAAGAATCTCACTCTCAGAATTGTTTTGCTCAACATTACTTGATGTAGTGATGTATACAAATCAAAGTAATGTATTCAGAAATATATACAGTATATATAAATAAATACAGTGTTTAAGATTTGTGAGTAAACCTCTTGAACCCATTAGCCTGTAATATTTTACATCAATATCACTGGGGCTATGACTTTCACGCCATATTTCAAGCACTATATTGCACTATGTACACTATATATAGACCTATTATCACATAGAGGGGTTCTGGGTAGAGTTTGGCATCTGCACAGTGACTGTGAGGGTCAAGTTCAATTCTACACCGAGTAATCTTGTCCAGTTCCCTCTGGTTTGCAGATTTTTTTGACATTATGGACAAACATTTCCAAATGAATATAGATGTCATGATCGGTTATGAAATTGCCTTTTCAGTTTCTACAACAATCTAATAATTTGATAATCGTTGGGATCGGATGTTTAGGTCCTCATGGATATTAGTAATCATAGAGTAATGTCACAAACTGGGTCACTTCCAACTGTCAACTGGTGCATTCAATCAAACCACATAAGTTATTGAAACCGCTCAACATTAGAATTAAATAAGAATCCGCTAGTTACCTCTTGGACTGTTCTTGCGTTAAATTCGTGTACAACTGTATGTCCACCTGTGATCTGCGCCATCCCTGTTTATTTTGATCAGAGAGTTTTCATTTGTCCTCCATCTGTTTCCCATTCGGTCAGACAACAGTCGCTTGTTTGGCAATCGAGATTGCGGCTACTTTAAATCGATCGCCTACTGCTACACCGATGCTCTTTGAACTAATAGTATTATCAGTATATGTATTATATACAACAAATTGCCCATTAATTACATTAAACAGTTACTTCGTCACAAAGCACCATTTTCTGCAGTATTTCAGTTGTGTACGAAACTGCGGCTAAGATGGGTGCATTGAAAATAGGTACTCGAAATAAGAGCGACAAGTGAGTACCAGTAACAGGTTTCTCATAACTTCTTGAGCAAGTAGCCTTGCATTTATTCAAACACCATAGTTAATACAAATTAGTAGAAAATAAGTAATACTAATTATGCAATGTAGCGTTTCTAATACATGTACATCTGTTTCAACACTTTAATTAATTAATTTGAAATACCCATTCAATGGGCGAATTCATTGATAACAAGGTATCCAAATAGCACAGTATCTATGTTCACTCAGAGCGTGGTGATCATAACTATGCTGCCCAGTGATCAACTATGTGCCTTCCACTTAACTCACGTTTTATCTTCATACAAATACTACAAGCCAGTTACTAATCTCGTAAATATATATATGTCGAACCATCTCTTTCCTCATTTCAGGTTTAATTTACAGAATCTTCATATCGTTTAATATTAATAATAGGATACAAAGGGTTTTATTATTTTTAAAAATGTCATCGAGTTTCGGTTATATATATTTACCTTTAATAACTAATATCAAATGTCATTAGTGTGTTCATGAAATCCTAAATCCTAAATGAAAAGTATCATTTGTAAACCTAGTTTCTAGTGAATTATATTACAAGAAGTATTTGTTCAATCTGTCAAAATCTGTCAGACAATAATCTAATGCCTACATCAAACCGATCTTTGCCAGCTTAATTTATAAATATACTGTTTGCTCTAATTTCATTAGTTTCCGAAGTCTTATTTCCTATGCTACCAAGGGCAGATAATGCTTTCATAATAACAATCATTCGTCACCACTCGCCCCTTTCCGTAACCTCCAAGGCTATTCGGCTTGTCCGGGAATAACACGAGTTGGATGAATAACAATATCATGTTTGCGCGATTTTTGTACGTTCCCGGACACCGTTCCATAAAGCACAGTAGAGACGAATCACATCAAAACAGCCAAAGGGTCACAGAAGAAGAACGATCTTCTGCAACACTTTCTTGTCGTCAGATATATATATTTTGATTCGGTCTGAAAATGATTTTTCCCCAACTAGGACAAATCGAAAAGGCAAAAACAAAAAAAGGATCTGTGGAAACAGCGCCACATATAGTGATATTTATCATCCACAGAAGAAAGATTTCATGTAAAACAATAAAACCTATTAATTTTTCATGCACCATGTATTTGATTAACACAAACATCCATGCATACTAAGATCCAAATTTAAACTCTTATAATATGTCATTTTGGTCCATCATTGTTTGATCGGCATTAATTAAACGTAATATATTAAGCACATATTCTAACATTCTATGCATTAGTTACAAGATTTCCACATGCATGCTCTGCGCAAATAGCACCCTGATAAACACACCACACCAATATCAACATATAGGTATCTACTATAATACATATACTTATAAGTATTTTATCCATAAAAGTGCCATGTATTCACTTATACTTATAGTTGTCAACAGACTAGTTAACCATTATAAACACTAATTGTGCCGGACCGCCTACGTGGTGTAGTGGTTAGAGATTTCTCAATTGTATTTCTTTCGCAAACTGTCCAAGATTTTATTAACTGTCTTTCAATAAGCAATGCCATTTAGAAAGTGGTCAAATTTAACATTTGTTATATTTGGGATTCCACTTTCTCGGTAAAGTACAGATTCTAGTACTTTTATTGAGTCTCATCCGGGATTCGAACCCACACCCTCAGTGTCAGACACCGCTAGCACACAAAGTCAGCCACCTCAACCCACTCAGACAGCGTCCACTAATGGTATCTGTACTTTACTGAGAAGTGTAATCCCACATATAAATTAGGGGTGGGTATTGCAGAGAATTTTCATATTGCGATATATTGCGATGCGGAAGCGTATATTGCGATATGTATTGCAATATATTGCAAGGATTATGTTTTAACAAAAACTACTTATAAAAGAGTTAATGCTTGATTATAAAGCAAAAACACAACAAAATCCCTATAATTGATTAACCTTTTATGAAAACTTTTAATCATGATAAAATACAAATGTAAGTAACATTTGGCACTAATGAAACAGGGAAAAGAACAATTCAAAAAACGGAAATATCCGAAGATTTCCGAGAGTTACGAAGTTTTCCGAATGCATGTCAAAATACCGGTTTTCGATCAGCGTATCGCAATACGTATCGTTTTCATGTCTGAACCGGTTAATACCGGTAAACCGGTTATATTGCGCAGCCCTAATATACATGTGTTGAATATCTTTCACAAACTGACCAAGATTCCTCAGTGAAGTTGACTTCCATCTAGAATTTACCTAAACTGTCCCTATGAATAATATCTACATGTTGCATTAATAAAACCATATGTTGTCACCGACTGTCCCCAGATCGATTCCCACATGGGTACACTATGTACAACCCATTCCTGGTTTCTTTCCCTTGATACCTGACGCGGTGGGGGTAGCCTAGTGGTTAAAGCGTTCGCTCGTCACGCAGAAGAGGCCGGGTTCGATTCCCCACATGGGTACAATGTGTGAAGCCCATTTCTGGTGTCCCCCGCAGTGATATTGCCGGAATATTTAACATTGATAAACGTGGCGACCCTTTACTCCCACCCAACCCCCACCCAAATAAAAAATGAATGGAATGGGTGGGTGGTGGTGGGGTTTGTAGGGTGACGCGCTAAAAAGAATTTAACCCAAAGGCCAAAGTTACAGACGTTATCGAGACAGAAGTTATCGAGTCGCCAAAACACAACAATGATTACTGTATCAAATACACAAACAACCAATGGCTATTTCTTGTGTTGTTAAATTTCTTACCTTTTTGTCAATACAATGATTTGTATTTTCGGTCTTCAACGAAGCATACAATGCCGTTTTATGTCATATGATGGGCCTTTGGCACAATAAATAATAATCACTTTTAAAAGCTGGTGAGAAATAACAAAGGCAAGATATTTTATGGATGACAACCTCATTATTCTATCACGATGCAACGTCTCCGTACATATCCTTATATCAAGCAAGAGTGATGTGTCTCACTACCCGTGCTGGGCAGTTTATTTTGAAACATTCGCCTGCCACAAAATCTTTCAAACTAGATAATGCGAAGTCTGCTACATGGCTAATGAGCCGAAGGATTAAAAAGAAAATATTCACTCTATTTCTATTTCCCATCTGTTTGCAAGGCTACTCCCTTCATATTTTGCAGATGTTGATGTTAATCTTTCACGTTTGGTATGCAGATGAATTATTGAAACAGTAACATGACTCATAGTCATATAAACGCAACACATAGAAAGGACACTCGTTTAAAAAACATCGTAACAGCTTTAATATTGGAGAGTGCCACTAAGTTACCCCCAATGTACAACAAACAAAAGAATCTCGACTTCGCACCACGTTTTCTAACCGAAGAACTGTGTTTATGGATTTTGAACAATCGTGAAAATACACCTCGCCTGAATGTCCTCGTTTGAGTGTTCTCGTTGAGTGAGGCATTTCAATTCTCGTGAAAATGGATGACATCAAGGATGTCAGTGTCTGTCCTTGTTCAGAATCTCTCTACATAAAACCAATGAAGATCAACTATAAACAGGTTGACCATCTTTTCATCTGAAAAGTGTCTAGCCTTGATATGGCTAAGTGTTGGTAAAACACCGATAGGCGACACTGTGCATCACGTTATGGTTTTGTCAGCTCAATCCGTATCTCTACTGGACACTTTGTACATGTATTTGAATATACATCGTGATCCCCATGAGTTACTTCAATATGTTTGAAGTTTGGTAATGCTAAAATGTTATTATTATTATTGTTATTATAATAACTATTTATATCTTAAGTCGACGACCGGTGACGGTCCGGGTAGAATGTATACATTCAGCAACCGGTGCTTGTCGTAAGAGGCAACTAACGGGATCGAGTGGTCAGGCTCGCTGGCTTGGTTGACACATGTCATCGGTTCCCAATTGCGCAGATCCATGCTCATGCTGTTGATCACTGGATTGTCTGGTCCAGACTCGATTATTTACAGACCGCCGCCATATAGCTGGAATATTGCTGAGTGCATTGTAAAACTTAACTCACTCACTCAAGCCTACAACAAGTGTAACTCATTACTATAATTACTCTTTTTGTCTTAAGGCGACGTATGAATTCACAAATTCTCATATTGTTGAAGTCGATTGCAAATTGGTCCACACTATCAAACATAGACTTTCTCCTTTATATACTTCAGAACAATGAGATTCGTTCTTGGGACATTATTAAAGAACACGACGAGTAAGTTGTAAAAGTGTGCAGAATGAAGCTTTGATTAAAACTAGGTGTGAATTACATGGGATGGATTTCACGTCTTCAGTTATTGTCCCACTATTGCAGATTGAAAGCTGAAACTCAGGACAGATTTTAATCTTCAGCTTTCAGGACGGCAGATTGAAGTCTTGAGTTATTAGATGGGTTCAGTAAAGTTAGGATGGGGAAACTGGATAGGAATTAAAGAGAAGCAGTAATGTCATTGCAGGTCTTATATAGCGTGATATGTTGTGTTTGTAGAATGGAATACAAAAAGCATGGGATGCTATGAAGGTTCATGATAGGTATGTGTTCAAACATTTATCACTTTCACATGATGCCCTTGCTGTAATATTGCTGAAATATTGCATAAATCGGGATAAATCCCAAATCACTTAACCAAAGTGCAGCATTTTGCTGTACAGAGTTAATCTAGGGCATTCAAGGGGCAGTGGGGTAGCCTAGTGGTTAAAGCGTTGGCTCGTCACGCTGAAGACCGGGTTGAATCCCCACATGGGTACAATGTGTGAAGCCCATTTCTGGTGTCCCCTGCCGTGATGTTGCTGGAATATTGCTAAAAGCGGCGTAAAACCAAAACTCAGTCAGTCAGTCAGTCTAGGGCATTCAAGAAACCAGTTATTCTGAGTTTGAATCCTAGTTTGCTCCAATTATGTTTCAAGGTTTATCAGCACCATACCTTTGCTCCTGAGTGTCATTAAAGTTGTAAAGATCTCCGATATGCATCACTTTGGAATTTTACCTGTATTCGATGGGTGAGTATGGTTTGACGTGGGTTTTAGCAATATTCCAGTTACATGAAAGCATGGGACACCAGAAATGGGCTTCTCACATTGTACCATCATACACTGTGAGGAGAGTCAAACCCAGACCTTTGGTGACATGAGGGCACGCTCTAACCATGACGCTACCATGCCACCCATCATCTGTATTGATCTGACATCATGCGTTCCTGGAATACTGTTCATAGCAGTGTTAAAACAGCACTCTCTTCAGTTTAGGACGACCGCCTCCGTGATGTAGGGGTTTAGAGCATCCGTATGAGAGCGGAAAGTCACGGGTTCGATCCCCGACCTCGTCATACCAAAAGACGTTAAAATATGGTACTTGTTGGTCCCTGCCTGGCGCTTGGCATTAATGGGCACATCAAGGACTGGTCGGCTCGGAGTCAGTATAATGTGTCTGAGTGGTATTCATGCTTCACTGCAGTGTGGTATCTCAGTGGGCTAGCACTATAAAACCAGCTTCAGTCTGGGCTAGTACAAGCAGCCACACATACACATACACACGCATGCACGTCGTCATATGAGCGAAATATTCTCAAGCACGACGTTAAACCCAATTTCACCTCACCTCAGTTTAGCACAGAGCCCCAGTTGGTTGTATCCCTGCTGGGTTAGTGGGGTAGCCTAGTGTTTAAAGCGGTGGCTTCTCACGCAGAAGACCCGGGTTCGATTCCCCACATGGGTACAATGTGTAAAGCCCACTTCTGGAGTCCCCTTGCTGGAATATTGCTAAAAGTGGCGTGAAACCATCCTCACTCACTGTATACCTGTTGTTGTAGCTTGCTAAGCTTGAGACTGAAACGGTTCCTATGATGCATGTATCCATACAACTATCTGTATTAGAGGGCCATTAATCTGTTTGTCCTTATCTGAAAGTGTTGATTGTTTAAAGTCTGTCTTGATGTAATTGAAGACTTGTTGACTGCTGGGTACAGCAACTCCTCACTAAGGTGAGGTGAGGTGAGGTGAAATTGGGTTTAACGCCGTGCTTGAATTTTTTTTCGCTCGTATGATGACGTGCATGCATGTGTATGTGTATGTGTGGCTGCTTGTACTAGCCCAGACTGAAGCTGGTTTTATAGTGCTAGGCCACTGAGATACCATGCCGCAGTGAAGCATGAATACCCCACTCAGACACATTATACTGACCCCGAGCCGACCAGTCCTTGTTGTACCCATTAATGTCAAGCGCCAGGCAGGGACCAACAAGTACCATATTTTAACGTCTTTTGGTATGGTGCGGTCGGGGATCTAACCCGCGACCTTCCGCTCTCCGGTCGGACGCTCTAACCACTACACCACAGAGGCGGTCTTCATCACTAAGGGGTTGGTGGGTTAGCCTTGTGGTTAAAGTGTTCGCTTGTCACATGAGTGACACCTGGTGTCCTGGCTGATATTTCTGGAATATTGCTTAAACCGGCATAAAACCATACTCACTCTCGTCATTACTTCAATATTATAGATATGAATGTTTTATTTTACACACACTCAGAGCTACAGATAACTTTTTGGGTCGTTGAGTTATGTACTCGCTTGTGTTAATCTCAATTGGGTATCCTAATGTTCCTTTGAGTAACCAAATAAAGTGTACCCACCTCACTCAAACTCAATTGGGTATTTTGACATTTTCCATTAATTGTAAAAATATATTTAAATTTAAATGTTGGTTTACGTGTTTGTTATTTATATTTGATCTGTAATATGAGAAACAATAAGAAAGACTGCAAGTTTCCAAGTTCATGTGCTGAAATAGAACCTCTCAATATTCCTCAGTTATTTTATCTATATACCGGTACGCAAGCTAAGATTTGACATTTTTGTGTGTACACATGTAAGATCAAATTGATTGAGTATTTACAAAAATTCAAGCGTACTTGTATGCAATAGACTTAATAGGAATTGAGTATTCACATAAATGTTTGCGTAATTTACGCAGATACGCAGCTTATCTGTACCTCTGCACACCCTGCTACTTGCCTGCAACTATTTCTAGTTATATGTGAGACCATGTGTAAGTGTGAAGGATATTTAATGCTTATTATGGGAGGTGGGGTAGCCAAGTGGTTAAAGCGTTTGCTCGTCACCCCGAAGCCCCGGGTTCGAATCCCCACATGGGTACAATGTGTGAAGTCCATTTCTGGTGTCCCTGCCGTGGTATTGCTGGAATATTGCTAAAAGCGGCATAAAACTAAACTCAATAATGCTTGTTATTGCTGTATGACTGGTTCAGTAATGTGAAAAACATGCAGTTTTGCTCTGCCAAGTTGTATCCATTCACACATCAGAAACCTACCGGCATTTCTGTTGGTTTGAGCCGCCATGTAGCTGTAATATTGCTGAGTGTGTCGTTAGTGAGTGAGTTGGGTTTACGCCTTCACCGAGTTGGTTTGAATTCCGAAATTCACCCTGGTTATGTCTTTAGGTTTGCCTGCACCATACCCACAGGTATGGATTCTCAGCAAAATAGTAAATTCTTGAGACTAGATCACTTGGGGCATTCCTTCCACATAATGCTGATATGCCATGTAAAAACTTACATACTGTCCAAAATGGCGAAAGATCTAACTCGCCAATATATCTGGGTCAGTTGGTCGGAGCAGTGTTGTTATTGATAGCCTGATATGTGAATCAAGAGTGGGTGAGTTAATTGCTACGTCAACAGTCTCTCAGCCATTGGTGGTCATTCCATGATATTGATATACTGTAATTTGAAGAACTGTAAGATCAAATGAAATAATATTGTAGACCATATATTACTATTCTAATATGGCAACTAGTAATGCATTTCAGCAAGTAGTACGATACTGTACTAATTGAGGTTGTGGAGAAGCCAAGGGGTAAAGCATTCATGTTGAAGGTCCAGCTTCGATTTCCTACATAGGTACAATTAAGCACATTTCTGGTGTCTCGAGTTGTGATATTTCTGGAATATTGCTAAAAGCAGAATATAAACATTCTCACTCACACACTCACTGCAAATATTTGTTGTGTAGAGATTTATCATCCAAACCTGTGTTGCACAGGAAATATTGCTTGTGTGAGATCAAACGATATCTCGAAAAAGATTTTGTACAATGCCCTGACAACGCTATGACATCATGAACTTTATGACCTCACAATGCTATGACATCACTGCACTGCAAGTTTAGTTGTTCAGAGATGGAAATTTTTCATTGAAAACTAATGAAGAGTGATTTTTTCTGATAAATAGAATCTCACCCTCGTGTCTTCTGATACCAAATGTATGAACACTCATTGATAAAAGTAAAAATATCCTCGGCAAGCTTTGGATATTTGTAACTTTATCAACTTGTGTTGATATAATTTATATCAGAAGACACTTGTGAGATTCTCTATATCCTCTGTCATGACAATGAATAGTATGTTTACTAACACTTTTTAACTGATATTTTAACATGTGATGTATGAAAAAGGGACTGTGATTTGATATTTTGGGGAAAGTGGGAGCGGCAGTTCTTTTATTTAGTAATTTCTTCCTGAAAATAAGAAATTATGAAAATGTATTTGGGTGAAGGTCCTTCCCAGATTTTCCCAGTCAAGCAGTTAAGACATCATGCTGAAAAGGCTTCAACCAAAGACTCCCATGCTTGTCGTAAGAGGCGACTAATGGGATCGGGTGGTCAGGCTCTCTGACTTGGTTGACACATGTCATCGGTTCCCAATTGCGCAGATCGATGCTCATGCTGTTGATCACTGGATTGTCTGGCCCAGACTCGATTATTTACAGACCGCCGCCATATAGCTTGAATATTGCTGAGTGCGGCGTAAAACCAAACTCACTCACTCCCTCAACCAAAGGCTGAGTTATTCCGATATGTTTCTGTTTCAGTGTGGTCATAGTGGTGTACAACAAAACAAGAAACGTCTTTGTTTTAGTGAAGCAGTTCCGTCCAGGTTAGTGGATTTTGTATGATCCCGTTGTTAGTTAATCATAGAAGTATTGTTGTTTTGTGAGCAGGGTGCCCAGATGCCACAACATCCTATGCATCCCTTGGGTGTGACAGAATCCGATGATTGTGGTTTGGAATTGCGATTTGCCATGATTGTGTTTGTATGTTTGCCAGCACCATACCTGAGCTTGTAGGTTTTACTACACTTGTACAGTGTGCGAAAATTTTCCAATTTTTGCTTGCCAGTCGGGCTAGCTATGTCTGAAAGTTACTATCCCACAAAATTATTCACTAGCCGGAAATTTGAATGTAGAAACTAAGCAAATGATTACAAAAATAGATGAAAAATATAGTTGCAGGCAACGATGAGGGCTCCTTAGCTTTAGTTGTATCTGAGGGCTAGAAATCATCGTCCAAAACGGAGCCAGAACACATTTTTGACAGGCGAGCGGATCATCCAAATACAGCCGGGGTCGCGGGGGTGATGTACCTTTTAAGAAGTTCCTGAGAAGAAATAGTTCCCTCTTTAAAAGGCTGTGTCTCAGTTGTTCTTGGGTCTACGGTCAAAACAATTAGTATTCTGGAATCACCAAGCCTTCATCTACCACACTGGCACTTTTTGTGCAGAATTTGCACATTTTTGGAGCAAACTACTCAGAAAACTGCTGAAAAACATGGCCAAAAACTGAAAACAAAAATAACTGCCAAACGGTACGTTTTAGCGACTTGACCCGTCCAGACAAAATTGTTGGGAATTCGATTGTGCATCTGTACAAGAGATTTGGAAGTGTTGGAACAATTAGTTCTTGAGAAATTTTGGAATTACTTTTGAATTATCTCCCCTTTGCTATTGGGCCTAGAGCCTAGAGCCTAGAGATTTTTAAGGGAAATATCTACACCTCGGTGCACATCTGTTGTGATTTTTTGTAAGCGATTTGGAGCATTGGTTTAGGAGTTATGTTTGGTACAAAAATCGGCGGAATAATAAAAAATAATAATAATAATAATGTTTAAATACGCAATACAAATTATTCACAGGGTGTTTGACAAACCTCGTGTCATCATACTGCTCTGCTAATGAATTTTTTTTATAGAGAGCAGAAGGGAGCGAGAAAGGGATGTTGGGGGTGCAAGGATCAACTTCTTGTACAGAAAATGATTTTGGAAGAGGCTAAAACATATCACCGCAACCTCTCCATGTGCTGGATACACTACAAAAAAGCATACGACTCTGTCCCTCATGAATGGATTCTGAAGTCTCTTTGTTGTATTGACCTCCCAGAGCAACTACTTGATTTACTCAAGTCTTTAGTGAGTTGCTGGTCGACTCAACTTGAGATGTACTCGCAAGGGCAGGTGCAGACTTCGGAATCTATTCCAATCAGAAGGGGAATTTTCCAGGGGGACTCCTTCAGTCCTTTGCTTTTTTGTTTGTCTCGAAATCCTTTGAGCGTTCTGCTCAACAGAGAGGAGGGTTACCATTGCGGACCTCCTCAGCACAGATCCCCAACACCTCTTACTCATCTTCTTTACATCGAGCTCCTTGCCAAAGGAGATACCAATTTGAAAGAACAGGTTCTCCTAGTCGAGTCCTTTTCCAATGATATTGGCGTGACATTTGGACTCGACAAATGTAATACTCTTCATTTGAAACGTGGCAAGGTAGTTAATGGTGGATCGGTCAAGTTACAGGGGGGAGGAGTTATTGAGCATCTTGTGGAAGATCAGGCCTACACCTGTCTTGGAATGCAATTTCGAGACAAGCTCCAGAATGCCCAAATTCAAGAAAACCTTCGGGCCGAGTACAAATCTCACTTAAAGAAAATCTGGAGCTCAGAGCTAAATGCTCGAAACAAGGTCAAAGCCACCAATACTGTGCCAGTCTTTTCCTATTCCTTTGGAGTAGTTGATTGGACAAAACAAGACATCCAGAGTCTTGACCGCCTGACCAGAAGGATCATGTCTGATAACAAAGCCCACCACCCTCGTTCCTCTCTTAACCGTTTATATAGGCCAATCAATTCTGGAGGTCAGGGTTTGATTAATGTGGAGGCTCTTCATGATAGAATTTTAATGTGTACTTTTGCACATATTTATTTATCGGATGATCCTCTGGTGATGCATGTGAAGACTCATGATGAAAGCAAGGAATTCCACAGTTATTTTATGTGTGCCAAGGTTGTTGGACAGAATCTGAAATTTGAGGTTGATGGCGATGTACTGCTGGACGGTACAGCGATGGGAGTAAACCAGGTGAAGTCCTTCACCAAGTCTGCCCAGAGTCGGTCTGTGGTGGAGAAGCTTTCTGAGAAGCCATTGCTTCGTGTGTACATGCAGTGTGTGGAACAGAATAGCAATCCCACCGACTACTTCGCCTGGATGAAGTCGGCTGGTCTTAAATGTGAAACTGAGGGCTTCCTTTTTGCTGCTCAGGACCAGTCACTTCCCACTCGCAGTCGCCTAAATGTGATTCTTAAAGAAAATATCAATATGAAATATCGTCTTTGCAATGAATTCACGGAGACTGTCCAACACCTTGTCAGTGGATGCCCTTCCTTGGCACAAACAGCATATCTTAAACGACATGATGGCATGGCTCGTTGTTTTTACTACAGTCTCTGACATACCTGTGGCTTTGAGTCTGAGGTCCATCCATGGTACGACCCTGAACATGTCCAGGGCATCATGGAAAATGATGCTTTCAAACTTCTCTGGAAAAGGCCCATATACAGCCTTAGAAGAATTCCTGCCAACAAACCTGATCTTGTCCTTTTTGATAAAGCCAATGAATTTATATATATCATTGAATTTTCTGTCCCTTTTGACACCAAAGTGATTGGCAAGATTCAGGAAAAGCATACTAATTATGTGGACCTCACCTTTGAAATGGCTCGCTTGCATCCCAAGCACACTGTCGTCAGGCTCCCCATTGTTCTCGGTGCCCTTGGTTTGGTACATCCAGATCTCTTGGCGCAAATCAGGAGAGTGCCCAGGTTCTCCACTGGGAGTACGGCCCTTCTGACACTCTGGGTAATGCAGAAGGATGCAGTGTTGGGGAGCCTTCATATTCTCCGGAAAGTTCTTGGTGGGTTCGACTAGGCAGCGTTTCCTGGGAGAAGTCCCATTCACTGTCTGGGCTGCGTGTAGAGGGGGCGAGGGCCCAGAGCTGATGATGAGCCTTACCAGCCTGACTGTGCCAGGATCACCCGAACCTTCTCTGCTGCATACTATCTTTAATCTGTAAAATAATAATAATAATAATCCGAACGATTACAATAGGTCTCCTGTCTAGAGGCAAGGAGCCCTAATAAGATATATGTCAGCATGACACAGGTTTCATCATTAAGCTCCTAATATAATGAACATTTTTATCAGGCCATAATCTTGCATGATTTGAAAGTATAATTGTAACTTAACAAATCAGAGAGAGTGCTTAAAAAGGCAAATGTATAATTCTTACCCATCTGTGAATGGAGTGTGTCTAGTATCTGATCATTTCAGCTATATACCTCACCTGTGCTGAACCTGAGGAGAAGGATGGCGTGACAATCATTGACACTTCCAAATATCCAGGATCTCTTGGTGTCACTTATGAACTTTGTGCTGGCATCATTGACAAGAACCACAGCACACAGGAGATAGCCCAGATGGAACTACTTGAGGAATGTGGCTACAAGGTGCCCCTTGACAGCATAGAGATGGTGGCTTCCTACAGGTGAGTGACATGGTGAATGTGGCTACAAGGTGCTCCTTGACAGCATAGAGAAGGTGGCTTCCTACAGGTGAGTGACATGGTGAAGGTGGCTACAAGGTGCCCCTTGACAGCATCGAGAAGGTGGCTTCCTACAGGTGAAGGTGAAGGTGGCTACAAGGGGCCCCTTGACAGCATCAAGAAGGTGGCTTCCTACAAGTGAGTGACATGGTGAAGGTGGCTACAAGGTGCCCCTTGACAGCATCGAGAAGGTGGCTTCCTACAGGTGAGTGACATGGTGAAGGTGGCTACAAGGTGCCCCTTGACAGCATCGAGAAGGTGGCTTCCTACAGGTGAGTGACATGGTGAAGGTGGCTACAGGTGCCCCTTGACAGCATCGAGGTGGCTTCCTACAGGTGGTGAAGGTGGCTAGTGACATGGTGATGGTGGCTACAGGTGAAGGTGGCCCCCCTTGACAGCATTCCTACAGGAGGTGAGGTGGCTTCCTGAAGGTGGGTACAGGTGCCCCTTGACAGCAAAGAGAAGGTGGCTTCCTACAGGTGAGTGACATGGTGAAGGTGGGTACAGGTGCCCCTTGACAGCAAAAGAAGGTGGCTTCCTACAGGTGAGTGACATGGTGAAGGTGGCTACAGGTGCCCCTTGACAGCAAAGAGAAGGTGGCTTCCTAGGTGAGTGACATGGTGAAGGTGGCTACAGGTGCCCCTTGACAGCATCCAGGTGGCTTCCTACAGGTGAGTGACATGGTGAAGGTGGCTACAGGTGCCCCTTGACAGCATCGAGAAGGTGGCTTCCTACAGGTGAGTGACATGGTGAAGGTGGCTACAGGTGCCCCTTGACAGCATCAAGAAGGTGGCTTCCTACAGGTGAGTGACATGGTGAAGGTGGCTACAGGTGCCCCTGACAGCAAAGAGAAGGTGGATTCCTACAGGTGAGTGACATGGTGAAGGTGGCTACAAGGTGCCCCTTGACAGCATAGAGAAGGTGGCTTCCTACAGGTGAGTGACATGGTGAAGGTGGCTACAGGTGCCCCTTGACAGCATCGAGAAGGTGGCTTCCTACAGGTGAGTGACATGGTGAAGGTGGCTACAGGTGCCCCTTGACAGCATAGAGAACGGTGGCTTCCTACAGGTGAGTGACATGGTGAAGGTGGCTACAGGTGCCCCTTGACAGCAAAGAGAAGGTGGCTTCCTACAGGTGAGTGACATGGTGAAGGTGGCTACAGGTGCCCCTTGACAGCAAAGAGAAGGTGGCTTCCTACAGGTGAGTGACATGGTGAAGGTGGCTACACAGGTGCCCCTTTCTTCTACAGACATGCTAAAGCAGAGAGGTGGCTTCCTACAGGTGAGTGACAGGTGACATGGTGAAGGTGGCTGGTGACACGGTGCCCCTTGACAGCAAAGAGAAGGTGGCTTCCTACAGGTGAGTGACATGGTGAAGGTGGCTACACGGTGCCCCCTTGACAGCATCAGCAAAGAGAAGGTGGCTTCCTAAAGGTGAGTGACATGGTGAAGGTGGCTACACGTGCCTTTTAACAGGATAGAGAAGGTGGCTTCTCACTTCCTATTGCAGTTATGCAAGTGCTGGTCCCAACTGATTTCGGGACATGGACAGAGATGGCCAGGGAGGACCAGAGAGGACAGGACTGTAAACTGATGTTGAGCTAGGAGTTTCAGACACCACCGCCACTACCATTAAGTGCTGACCCTGGCACGTCATTGTTGTTGTATGCAGTTGTTATGTATAGGTTAACACAATGTTAAAACTGGCACTTGAAGAGAAACTGGCTTGATTGTATCAACCTTGGTTTGTCCTGACTAATGTGGATATCTAGTACGCCTAGGCAGTGTCATCAACTTCATGCTGTAATGGCTGCCATGACATATACCCCAGGTGGTGGGGTAGCCTAGTGGTTAAAGTGTTCGCTTGTCACTCCGAAGACCTGGGTTCGATTCGCCACATATGTACAATGTGTGAAGCCAATTTCTGGTGTCCCCTGCTGATAAATGGTGGAATATTGCTAAAAGCGGCATAAAACTACACTCGCTCACTCATGTCCACCCACGATGTGTGAATTCAGGAGCAATGTGTTACCTTGATGATTGTGATGCATTTTGGCAACATGCTATCAACCATCTGTTTGCCTCATCCTGCCTTGAACATTTAGACTGCACGGATGATGCTGAAATAGATCTGACTGAATCAGTCAGTAATCACACTCCATCACTGTCTCAATCCATCAGTCACTCAATCCTTTCACTCAGGTTTTCACTCAGTCTCTGACTAAAGTGTCCATTAGCTTCATTAAAGGAACTCATGTTAGTCATCATACAAGGCAGGGCTCCAGATAATTGTTCAACATCAGGAGTACGTACTCATTATTTGTTCAATATAGGAATACTGGAAAACCTTAAGTGTACATGTAGAGTACTGAATGGAATTTAATGGAGTATCAGTAATCTTGTGTTTCGTTTCATGTATGCACCACAACATTGCTCGTCTTGTGTAAACAGGTCAATAAACAATAAAACAAGACTTTTTCAGATAAATACGTTTGTAAATGATTCTAAGACCTTACACTATTGCTGTGGTGCGTATTTGCTACATTTTCTAAATTATTTCCTACGGTATCGTGCATATTTTTTATCCGTACATACGCCGATACGGCCCTTATCTGGAGCCCTGCAAGGTATGGTTGTCTGGATATATAGACTACATTATTGATTAGAGATATATTCTTTTTCTGATTGTCTCTGTTTTTATTAATTTTGTTCAGGAATGGAGTTGGAACAACAGGAGCTGTTCAGACGATGTTCTTCGTGGAGGTGACGGATGCGATGAAGGTGGGCGAAGGAGGGGCCGTGGCACAGGAGGGGGAGTTGATTGATGTCATAGAAGTTCCTGTAAAGGAAGGAAGAGATTTCATCAAAAATGAGAAATATAATATTCCATTACCAGTGTTATTTGGAATCAACTGGTTTTATGAGAATAAGTCAAGTCAGTATTGTTAGGAATCTTATTCAAATCAGTGTTTATCATCATAAGACATCTGACTGAAGAATCATGTCTGCTTGTCGTGGGTCCAAAGCAATGATTTTTGCTATTTAATGGTGCCACACTCATAAATATTCATAAATGACGTGGCTGCAGACAATCCAGTGATTCACCATGATAGTTTGGATAGGATGAGATGCAGTGAAGTCTGAGACTGACCACCTAATGAGGGTGATTGCCTCCTAACGCCAAAGAAAGGTCCCTGGAGACATGTTCCTATAGGAAATCCCCATGGGTTCCAAATCAAATGAAGTAGTAAGTTCAATAGGTTCTGATCGGATGTCAAACAAGCTTGCAAGATGTGAATAAGTGGTGTTCCGATGAATTTAAATAATCGAAGATTGGTCTCAGTGATCAAATGACCAAGCAATCGATCACATTTTCTCATAATCGAACACAAACGATTTTGGAACTGCTGTTTTAGTCTTTGAAACACTTGACGATGGAACATATCTTTGAAGTTGTCAGGGCCTGAAAACTTGTTTAATTCTTAGAAAACTCACTTCACTAACTGAAAAGTCATGACTGAATATTTCTTGAAGACTCCAGAAAGTTTATGTTCATGATATATTAGTCATCACTTTAAAGTAGCAAGTTGCATCATGTTATACATATCTGCAATAACAACCTGGATAGGAAAATCTGAAAATTGACGCTAACCAATTTTTATCGATGATTGTTCGTTGGTAATGAAGCAATCATCAATTATGAGATTTCAACCAATTCCCAACACTAGTGTGAATAGGTTGATGTAAGATTTTCCGTGTACATGTATTTAGTAGTACAGTGTAATCTCTGACCTTTTTGACACAGTTCTAACTGCCGTTTGTTAAGGTTTTGTGTTTGATGTCATGTATTCTAAACAGAAAAGTCATCATGAGCAACATAATTGAAGAAATTGTGATACACTATACGGGAATAAAGACAATGATTATATTCCAAGAGTTGTTACTCTGTCAAGTGCCCCATATTCACGTTAGACAGGATTGGGGCGCGGTGGGTGAGCTGGCTAAGGCGCCAGGCTACAGAGGTGTGAGGTTGAGGTGCTGGGATCGAGCCCACCTGTGACCGGGTGAAAAAACGTTGTGTGCAGACTCTTTCCGTGTTGTCACGATCCCTAGTGTACAGTACACAACCTTGTGCACTTAAAAGAACCCACGAATCCGTTGGTATATGACCAGATGGTGGCCACATGAATACGTGCAAACACCTAGTTGCGGGTGCAGTGAACTTGACAGGACAAAGTACTGTGACTATGTGTCCCAATCCACCCAGCTGTGAATGGGTATCCTCGTTAGGATGAGAAAGCCACAATAACTTGGTGCGCCTAGTGGCAGCAAGAGTTGTATACTCCCCAGGGAGTTGAGATTGATAATACGATGTGCCGTTGAGATTGACATCCAATGATCGAGGGGAAAATACCAGCGCCTTGAGCATGCACTAGTTGCGTGGATATGTGCTATATAGATATCCTAAATATCCTATAAAGTAAAAGATATTAATCTTTCTGAACCTGCTTGGTCCTATGTGAGAGGACTGGTCGGCAGCAAGGGTCGGTAAATTCTGCCTGCTATATTGGATTCCTAAAGTGACAACGGTGTCTGAACGTTGCGATATGCATAAGGTATTGCGGGTTATCATAGTCTGCACTCTATACACTAATAGTATAGTATGACCAGGAATTATTAAAATTTTAGGAATGTGTTTAATTAGATTTCTAGTATAAACAACCTTGACCAACTATTAAGTGCTTGGTTTCATTCAAGAGAGACAACTCCGTTTATCCTTTTTCATTAGTTTGTGAAGAATTATCCCCCTTTGTTTACTTGCTAGCAGACGACATTTTTTGTGATCCTCAGTATGGATGATTTAGAGAAGAGGAAGGTGATTTTAGAGTATTATAACAAGGACATCAGATCAGCTAAAGTGATTTCAAGTAGAACAGGCATCCCTTTGTCCACTGTTTAACGTGTTTTGAAATATATTGCAAATGGATATGGCATTGAGCACCAGGGAGGCGCAGGTAGGCCCAGAAAATTGACTGTCGGTGACAGGAGGCGGCTTGGTATTCTTGTTTCTAAAAACAAACGAAGGAGTTTAGAAAACTTAAGGCTGGATATGATTGATAGAGGAACTGTGGCTGTCTGTAAGGAGACAATTGGAACTGAGCTGCATGCAATGGGGTGGCAGAAAAGTCGAGGAATTACATCACCGATCATGAAACCTGAACAAAAGGAGTGAAGGTTGAACTAGTGCTTACAGCATAGAAATTTTAACTGGGACAATGTGATTTTCTCAGATGAAAGTTCTGTGTTGCTGTTTCCTAATACACTGAAATTCTGGACCAAACAAACTGAAAAACCTTTGTATCAGCGCCCAAAGTACCGTCCGAAATGAAACGTGTGGGGTGGCATATCTGTGTTAGGGGCAACGCCCCTCTGTGTATTTGAAGGGAATATGAAGAGTGAGCGATACACAGATATTCTCGAGGGACATTTACTTCCATCTGCTCACGTGTTCTATTGAAATGTTAAGATTTTCCAGCAGGACAACGACCCAAAACATCCTTCAAAGCATTCACAGGCCTGGTTTCGGACCCAAAATATGACATTATTAGATTGGCCAAGCTATAGCCCTGACCTAAATCCAATAGAAAATGTTTGGGGACTTATGAAGGAAAGTGTCAATAAGAAAAATCTGACAAATATTACTGAAATGAAAGAAGAGGTGGTCCGATATTGGGACAGCATGGACCACGACTTTCTAACTTCTTTGATCAGTAGTATTCCCCGCCGCATTGAAGCCTGCATTGCTGCCCATGGTGACTTGACAAAATACTAACTGTTCACCTGTCTTTGAATCTGGAGTTATGTTCTGCTAATATTCACATTTAATACTTGAGTAATGAGTGAACACATTTGTTTTTACAATCTTTAAATTCTCAATAATTTCTGTTTGTACTGTAGTATAATAGCACCTTTTTTGTGTTGGATTCCCCCAGCTCCCTTTGTCCAAGATCCTCCACAATCATACAAACAACCAGGGAAGGACTTTCATAGAAAGTATTTGAAGCAGGTGGGATTCATATCATATGGATTCCATCCAAAATTGAGGGATTGTTTCAACGGAGCTTTTGGAATCCCAAGAAGAACCATGTTCAATACTGTCAACTTTATTTCAACGTATTTGAACATTTTTTTGTTTTGATTTACAATTTGTTCATGATATTGACATGAGCTTCCAAAGAGCTACGACAGTTACACGGAAGATCGGTCTAGCGCCAGAAAGCAGCGTACCCATTATTTAAATAGACCCAAAGCTAAAGGCCAATGGGTGTATTTCGTCTCATACTTCCAGTGATCACTGTTGACAGGTGTAAGCGTGCATGTGCTGTAAGTAAGATATCTTATATTCCTGGATATAAATTGTCAGTGTAACTTTACGACTGAAACGACAGTTGCAGGTATGTCGGCATGCAACAGGAGAACAGCCTGTAACCGACATTAAATACTGCATGCTGCCATGTCACAGTAGACAGACAAGGAGGAACATGTGGTTTCAGGTCATCCTTCGCTCTTACCAGTCTGACTGATCTTCAGTAACCCATGCTTGTCGTAAGAGGCAACTAACGGGATCGGGTGGTCTGGCTCGCTGACTTGGTTGACACGTCATCGGTTCGCAATTGCGCAGATCGATGCTCATGCTGTTGATCACTGGTTTGTCTGGTCCAGACTCGATTATGTACAGACCGCCGCCATATAGTTGGAAAATTGCTGAGTGCGGCGTAAAACTAAACTCACTCACTAACTTACCAGTCTGAAGTCAAATGATTCAAGGACTAACAACGGTTGTATGGGCCCTGGAAGACAAATAGTGCGTGGTGCGTTTACGATAGTTTGAAACATCAGCTGCTTGACTTGGTTGCGAGAGTTAATAAGCTTTATTCCATATAATATTAATGCATGTTGTTTAGTCAAATACACCGCCTACCCGTGAAGATCCTGGTTAGAACTGGACTTCAGTAATCTAACGTGATCGGGTGGTTTGGCTCGCTGACTTGGTTGACACATGTTATCGTATCCCAATTGCTTAGAACGATGCTCATGATGTTGATCACTGGATTTTCTGGTCCAGACTCAATTACAGACTGTCGCCATATAGCTGGAATATTGCTGAGTGCGGCGTTAAACAACAACCAACCAAATACATTTCAGACAGTGTTGAATATGAAGTGTTGACGAACTTTGTTTTTTTTCGTAAATGCAAAATATATACTAGTATCTAATCATACATGACTTTCGGTATGTGCGTGCGTGCGTGCGTATGTGTGAATGTGCCACTCACTGAAATATACACGAGGACATTACGCTTGTGTACATTAGAATTATGAAGCAGAATGGGACAACAAAATAATCAAATACTATATGATATATTTCTACTTATCACTATATGCTTTAACTCTTTTCCAGTGTCAGTCTTGAGAAAACATATTTCGGAGTAAATCTGCCTTATGAGAAATTAGTACCAGTGCTAATTTACTTGATTGTTTTGTATTTCAAATACTACAATATATCAAACAGTCCGCATGTTTTTCTTAACACAGACATAAGTAAGGTAAGGTGAGGTGAGGTGAGGTGAGGTGAGGTGAGGTGAGGTGAAATTGGGTTTAACGTCGTGCTTGAGAATATTTCGCTCATATGACGACGTGCATGCGTGTGTATGTGTATGTGCGGCTGCTTGTACTAGCCCAGACTGAAGCTGGTTTTATAGTGCTAGCCCACTGAGATACCATGCCGCAGTGAAGCATGAATACCCCACTCAGACACATTATACTGACTCCGAGCCGACCAGTCCTTGTTGTACCCATTAATGCCGAGCGCCAGACAGGGACCAACAAGTACCATATTTTAACGTCTTTTGGTATGACGCGGTCGGGGACGCTCTAACCACTACACCACGGAGGCGGTCACAGACATAAGTAATGTTTTAACTATCTATATAGACCATTAACGCACGGATCAAATCAGCTGCTTTAAGCTGAGGTAACAGGAGGGACAATTTGCGTGCGTGGTTTGGGATATTTCTTAAAAAAAACCGACGTAAATAATTTGAAAAGTGTTTTGAATGTGACTTACAAGTCACAAACTTTGTATACGTGTTAGATAATAATCCTAATTCACCAGCTGTGTACTTTCTTTTACACGTCAGTTTATGTGTATCTCCTTCCGTCATGTCAATACTGTTTGACAGCAGAGACCATATAATAATTCTATTATATGGTCTCTGTTGACAGCATGTCTGCGATGTACATGAATGTATTAAAACGCGAGTTTTGGGGAATTAGCTCGCTTGGCAAGAGCTCTATCCACACCAACCCACACACAACACCACAGCTGAGTAAATAAACAAGGAGTTTATTACACAGCAGTCACTGAACGATTTTGCATAAT